GAGGACGTTTTTTCCCAGCTTGTCTTTTGGCAAATAAGAGTATCTATTCTGTGAAGATGATTCTATATGTATGTATTCTATGAATTCAGTCATCGTTTCTGCTACTGGGGACAGGCCTAAGGGCATATTGTATTTGCTACTCTCAGAAGATCTGGTCCATTGGCCAAGTGAAACAGTTTAGAACAAATTTGGTGCTGTGGAAAGAGCCTTCCAATGGAATGATAACAGGAACGCTTGTGTGAAAGTAGGAATATATCTATTTTTAAGATTTATTTATTTATGTTATTTTATGCATACAGAACTGGGGCACAGGCCAGAGGTGCAGGGGCAGTGAGAGGATTCACCAGAGTCAGAGTGGGGATCAGAGAAGGCTGACTACGAAGTAGACTGCTGAGAGGAGCAGCAGGTTGGTCAGGAGAGGTCTGCCACGCCATGTGGGTCACCTCCGGGGTAGGGATCGAACTCATGCTGAAGTAGCTTTAGCCTCATAGTGCTGTGCTTTAACCCGCTGCGCCATCCGGGAGGGCCGGGGATATTTTAAATATGACTTGTCTTTTCATCCCAACTGATGGGGCTTCCTTTGCATAAAGGAAAAAATGAGGTTACTCATGCTGGAAAAGTTAAGGTGGAAAAGTTTGGATTCCTTAAAAAGTGGGGAAAAATGATACTTCCTAGGGTTTGGGTCTTTGCCCAAAACATTGTTTCTAAATCATTCATTACTTTGCAGATTGACATTGTTTGTCTTTGTATAAGTTATCTGATAAGGTAGACAAATAACAATACATTTACTTGGCGTTAGGAATGTTCTGAAAACCTTCAATAACTCTAAATTTGATGAATAGATATATAAACAGTGCACGTTCATTCAATTTTCTCAGCTAATCCAATTACAAAAGGAATTCAAAAACTTGATTACTGGTTCATGGTATCATTAGTGGAAACAGGAAAAACATTTTCACAGTGCATGTGCTTGAATTTTCAAAACAGCATACTCACTGGAGTTGAAGACAGAAATGTTCCAAGTTTTTAACCAATATGAAAATTAGTGGCAATGATTAATAACCATATAGACAAACACCATTTCCAATAAATGTGGAAATGAAGTAGGATACTAAATACATTTAAGTGACTTTGATCATGTAAATATTTCTAATCCTCACTTCTCATCTGGGTTATAGCAAAACCTCTGTCTACTCTTCCAGACTATCCTCTGGTCACTTCCCAATTCATTCTCTGCTTTCCTGGCAAATCCAGTTCTTGTAAATGCAAGTGGGACCGTGCCTAACACCTTATTTAAAGTCCTTTCGTCCTCCCAAGACTCGAGAAAGCCACCCAAGCACCTGGGAGTGGGGTGATAGGTGGAGTGCAGGACTCTGCATGAATCTTGTCCCAGGCGAACCAGGACATGTGGTCAGGAGAATAAGGCTATATGTTCAGTCTTTCTTGCAGAGAAGAACAGATAGCAGCTACTCATAAAATCCATTTCATCTTTATTTTCTTTTTCTCTGCATTCACTACTCTGTTAGAAGCCCTTGCACCATGAGGCTGTGGTGCAGGCACACCCTTAGCATTCAGGGTGCATTTAACCAAGGTATCTGAGATGATATCTGACACTCAGGACCCCTCCAGTGTGTGTCTATAGAAAGACCACATTGTCAACCTCGATATTTCCCCCTGTCCATTTCTACCACTCTGGCTCACCAGGATTATTTGTAGAGCCCAGGACAGAGTGCACAAGGAACTCTTACTTTTTTTATATGGAAAAACTGTATCAAAACAACAAGCTAGGAAATAAATACCTCCCATCCTTGTACCTTGGCAAATACATCCCTGCACCATCAGAGGTCCAAATGCAGACTTTTGAGCAGTCTTTTGTTTCATGAATGTTGATGAACGCTTACTCTGGACCGTGGACCACAGCTGGCCCCTCTTGTCCCTCCTCCCCCACTCCACTTCTACCCCTGATGCCATCTTTCCCATGGAAGTAACACCTGCACAGGTGCACACACCTCAGCCTACACATTCAAGCTCTGTTCATCCTATACTTCCTGTTGCTGCGATAACAAATCACTCTAGTGTCATGGCTTAAAATACTCACCTTTGTTTTCTTACCAATCTAGAAGTCTGAAATCTGTCTTCCAGTGCAAAAACTAAGGTATTCACATTACTGATTCCTTCTGGAGCTTCTGAGTGAGGGTCTGTTTCCAGGTGATCATGTCTCTGTTTTCTCGCATCTTCAAAGCATAGTAGCACCTTCTCTGCTCTTTCTTTGACCTGCCTCTGCTTTATAATTAAACCTTTATGATTACATCAGACCCACCTGGATAGTCAAGGATCATCTTCCCATCTCAAGATCCTTAACTTAGTGGCATCTGCAAAGTTCCTTTTGCTACACGAGGTACTATTTACAGGTTCTAGTTAGACTGGCTCAGACATGGGGGCAATTATTGTAAGAACCATAAGTGGACTCAGGAAGGACAAACCCCAGAAGCAAGTCTGAACAGGTGGTAGAACCACACACACTTGGGGCCACTTAGGCAAGGGGATGGGGTGACTGCATGCCCGATGTGTGGTTGGGGAGCAGGGGAGCTGCAGTATGGGGTGGGGTCTGTCCCCTGTCCCCCGAGCCCCGCCCACTCAGCCAGAGGAGGACATTCTCAAGTTCAGCACTCAGGGCAGGCACCTATGATGGCTCCTGGTATTATCTAGGCCCTTTTCTCTTGCTCTATGTTCTACAAGGTCTGTCAGAGGGAAACATGTTGGCACATTGTTTTCCTCGTTTAGAAGACCTTCTTCTCTTTTTGCCTTTGCTTGCCGCGTGGAGCCCATTCCACACCCACTCGTGTTTTGAATCGTCCGCACTGGCTTTCCCTTCCCTTGACGCTCTAATTCCATCCTTCCGCCACCTCTTCAGTGTGCTTAAAATACACAAGATTTCACCTGTTTGCTGTGTTTTAGGAAAGATGCTACCCAGCAAGCAAGTTATTCCTGAGCCCTACAAAAATTGCAAATTCATTCCTCTTGTAATTCTCTTCAGTTTTCCATTTTCTCCCACCATTTGAAGCCTGCAGATTTTCTTTTCTCATCAAATTTAAAATTACTTTTCTTGTTCTACTCATACATTCCATATTCTATTTTGCTGGGTCTTGGCCGTCTTGAAAAATCTGTCCACACTGATACACCATATACAATATTTTCCCAAAAGCTGTTTTCATTTCCTTTTATGTTTTTGAAAATCCCCAACGTTTCATCTTAGTTTTCACTTCATCTCGTTAGTGCATGGATTTTTTTAAGGGAGCCAATATGTGTAGGATTGTAATGTGGTTTTGAAAGAATTATTGGGTTTTGAGAGTTTATGAATTATTTTGCAGACTTTCCTCAGTTATAGGAGGAATATAAAGAAACTGAGCAGGGGGTCCAAGATAAAAAAAAATAGCAAACTACTAGGAAAATTATAGATTTGAGGCCTATGGCAGGCGACGGGGAGGAAGGAGGACAAGGGGCTGTGGCAATGATTCGTAGGTGCTGTGGTGGTGGGACATCTGCGGGGACTCCCCTGGTGGGGAGACAGCAAATCGTGTCAAAATGAACGATGATATTAGAAATAAAAAATAATTAAAAAATCAAAAATTAAAAAGGGATATATAAAAAAGTAAATCTTAGGCAATGTTACAAGCCAATTACTGCAAATCATTCCACATTAAATTATGTTACTTACATAATTACAATTTTTTCTTTAAAAAATATTTTGAGGGTTTTTCTTTAACGAGCCATTATGTACTATAAAAGACCTAATGAAAGGAAAATGTGGCAATTTAAACTAAGTTTTCAACTTGATTTTTTTGATGATGACTCCATGATGATATTATATTACAGTAATATGTGCTCTTGAGCACAGATGTCTGTCTTGTTTATCACTGTGTCCCTGTGACGGGCCAGCTGCCAGTGGTTAGATTTTAGTAAATAATTGAGTACATGAAGATGTAATGAATGAATGAATGGTAGAATTTCAGAATGGATTTTAATAGTAATATAAACCATGGTATCCCAGCCAGAACGTTGAAATATAAATTTTTTGAGAACTAACAGACACAGAAATTTGTCATGATTTAGCTCTGTATAGTTCCTTTTTAAAGTTCTTACCGAACTAAAATACTGATAAGTTTAAGTATTTTTTTTCAAGATTTATTTATTGGTGCATACAGAACTGGGGTACAGGCCAGAGGCTCAGGGGCAGCAAGAGGCTTCATCAGAGACAAAGTGGGGAGCAGAACAGGCAGATCGACGAAGTACACTGCTGAGGGGAGCAGCGGGCGGGTCAGGAGAGGTCTGCCACGCCATGTGGTCACCTCCAGGGCAAGCGGGAATCGAACTCATGCGGAAGTGGCTTTAGCTTCTCAGTGCTGTGCTTTAACCCGCTGAGCCACCAGGGAGGGCCAAGTTTAAGTATTTTAAAAGTTCATCCGTCATAAGTGCTTCTTGATTTGTCAGGCCAATTAAGTAAAAATAAATAGAATTTAAAAAATTAGTAAGATTTGCAGTCTGAGCAGTAATTTACAGAGTTAATGGTGTTAACTAAAATGGTGTGCATTCAAGATAATGGTGACTGTTGAAATAGTCTATGAATTGAGAAGTTTGAATATATTTTGTAAATATTATATTGGCTTTTATATTATGGCATTACATAGATATTAAATTACTAAATATCTTCAGCTTTATCATCATTAGGGGATGACAAATGTGAATCTCTGGTCCTGAGATGAAGGGAGGAAGTGAGGGAAATAGTTCATCTGCATATCTTTTTCTTTATTCTTCTAGTAATCACATCTGGTTACTTGACTTCTAAAATAATAAATTTGTGTCAGACTTCTTTAATGTGAAGGTATATGTTTCACAATTTCAAAGGCTAACTTCACTGGTGTTTGCACTTTTCTTGACTTGTATTTTTGCTGTTTTAATCTTCACATTTATGGAAGATTTTTTTTATTGTTTGCCCTCAGAATGGCTTCACTCCCTTATACATGGCTGCCCAAGAGAACCACATTGATGTTGTGAAATATTTGTTAGAAAATGGAGCTAACCAGAGCACCGCTACTGAGGTAAGACGATCAGGGCTCACAGTCTTTCATTTTAATGCCCCTCTTCTTTATGTCCAGCTGCGAAGGATCTCCAGTACCTCCTGTCAAATATGTTGCAGATGATTGTGTTGCTACTGGCCTCCGCACCCTCAGCCCTGAGCCCAGTCCTCACAGCTCACTGAGTGGCCCTTGGCTTGGGACTTATGTCAGTTTATTCACACGCTAGACCGTGCTTCTGTCAATCTGCTGTGCTCTGCCTCTGGGAGTTTTCTATTATTCTGAAGTTAGATTATAGTAAAGTCTACCTGCCTCTTTTATCAACATTTGATCTTTATTAGGATCCATAATGGTTTCTAATAAGAACCATTCCTGATGATCAGACACTGTCAGAGGTGTTTGCATGTACACGCTTTCATGAGGAATGGATCGCTGTGAGAGGCTGCTCTGTCGGCTTGGCACAGAATACCGCATGCAGGTGTCTGGTTCTCATGTGGCCACGGCTGCTAGAACCCTCAATCTGTGTAGTTTTACTGGCATCTTCTTTCCTCCCCAAGTCAGGATTATCAGAGACTTTCAAAATTGAACTAAATGCAAATGCTCCCACACACTGACAGGGGCTGCAATGTGTTGGGAAGACACCAGGGTCTCCCTCTGCTCTAGTGTCTTTACAGTGAGCCTGAAGACCACAATCATCACCCAGTTGTGAAGGCCCCATCCAGGGGCTTTCTGGTTTGGTTTCTGTCTCCTGTTTAGTTCCGTAAATATCCTTCCCCCGGTAACTGCCCCGGATAAGCAGCCTTTTCCTTGAGTTTTCTCTGTGGACTAAGCTTCTTGGATCAAAAGAAATTTGTGGAACGATTTGGAGGAAGGTATAGGTCTTCCATTATGTGCAGTATTATATTGCTCACAGAGAAAAATCATTAAAAGACTCAGGCCCTGGAAAAAGAAGATGCATTTATTGACATCAGTTTATATCTGGGACACAAAGGGGCTGGATTTGATTTGGCGGTGCTAAAACTAAGCGTCACTGAGTAGCTGATGCAGCTCATGTCAACTAAGCAGCTAATTTAAAAAGTCAGATTTCAGAGAGATGAGTGTGTTTTAATGGAACAGTATGAAAATTTCAGTGATTTTAGACTCCACATTTCAGAAACTGCTACTTGTCCAGTTTTTGGTGACAATAAAATTCACAGTAAAAAAAAAAAAAAAAAGAAGAAGAAGAAGAGATAAAATTAATTTAGCCTGAAAACTGGGTTCGGGACATCTCGACACAAGAAGAGGCCGGAATGGACAACTTAGAACATAGCTGTCTCTTTCCTCTGAGTGTTTTCCAGTTAGCAGACTTGTTTTGAACTTTCCTTCTCATTTTTGCTAAGGCAACTTTGGGAGAATTGCGATTTTTTGTAGAGAATAGTGATTTTTTTAAGTGACTCTCAGAATCCCTTGAGCTTGGAAAGAGGGCCTTAGCAGTCATGGAAACCGGGGGTGTTAGAAACCTGAGCAGGAGGGGAGGGGGGCTACCCTCACCCTCTTTCATCCACAATATGCAGACTGTCTTCCCTTTTACCCTCCCACGGTCCCTCTGATAAATGTGTAAAACTTCTGGCCTGCAGTAAATGATGACAGAGATGTTTGTCACCCAGGAACTATAACTTTTAATATCTAATGTGATTCCCTTTCTTGACAGCTAAGTCATTAAGTGAAGTAAACTCCTTCTATCCTACATTTTGGGGAGAAGTCATAATAATATTTTAAATCTGTTTATAGTCCCATTGGGAGAAAACTTTTTTTTTTTTTTTTTGAGAAAGCCTGCTGGAGCCAGTAACATTCGGGTAGTTTATTCTATATAGTTAACAGAAATCACTACTAATGGGACTATATTTCCTGGTTGTGAATGGAAAATGCATCTGCCAATGATGAAATGGCTTCAGGTTCTTTATTCTGCACATACTGATTTTTTTTTTCTCTTACCCTTTGAGTACAGTATGATTTGTATGACATGGACCGCTTTTTCCTGCGGCTAATTCTGTAATGAGTCATGTGGAGGACTTTAGGCAAAGCTGGGAAACAATATGAGATTGTATCTCTGCATTAACCCTTCTGAGAAATTACCAAAATAAAAAAATCTGCATTTAGGTCACTTTATTTCCTTGAAAGCAGGGTCCTTTATCTGTTATGATTGTTTTCAGTTATCATTTATTTAAAGAATCCTTTATACTAGAGAGTGATTCCACTCACACAGGAGACTTAACATTTTTAGCATATGGCTTGGGGAACTCAGCTTATTGGCATTCTCAGCTGTCTTAAGACTCCTTCAGTCTGCACTTCGGTAACATTTCAGTCCTGCTCCAAAAATACACCTTCATGTAACAGAAAAGTTAATTCCTCTCTGGCTTCTATACTGAAATGTAACTCTTGCCAGTCAGTCAATCACATGAGGTTTTGAATCCTCGCTTAGAGCAGAATGTGTCCTTTACTGGTTCTTTTCTAAAGACAGATAAATAAGATGTAATAACAATAATAATCCAATCAATAAAAGTAATACGATTAAATAAAAATAATAAAAACGTGACATAACTAAAAAATCCATTTTTCCCGGTTGGAGATGATAACGAGCTCACGTGACTAAACCCGGGGGCCAGATGGCAACTTCTCCCTTGCCCGGTTTTGCTTTGCAGGATGGGTTTACGCCCCTCGCGGTGGCCCTCCAGCAAGGACACAACCAGGCGGTGGCCATCCTGCTGGAGAATGACACGAAAGGGAAGGTGAGGCTGCCGGCGCTGCACATCGCAGCGAGGAAGGACGACACCAAGTCCGCCGCCCTCTTGCTCCAGAATGACCACAACGCGGACGTGCAGTCCAAGGTAAAAGCGGAGCGCGGGCGGGCGGGCCAGCGCCCAGTTCCCCCTGGGGGAGGCGGACGGAGGCCGGTGGTCACGCCACATGCCGCTGGTCGCTGGCAGAGACGTGACTGTCGCATGTATCTCAGGAAGAAGGGGGCCGCCTTCGGGGCACAGGCACCCAGGATGGTAAAGAGAATTTTCTGTAAGTGATAAAGGCCGGCGTGTTAGAAATCTGCTCATTTGCTGACCACCGGAAGTATAGAAACAGAGCAAGGAGGCTGTTTTGTGACCTGGCTTTTTTCCGTGCTGGGCATTTGGGCAGGTGGGACCAGTGGATTCAGTGGCAGGGAGCAGACGGACTGTTTGCTTGGCTTTGCACTGTGTAATATTTTCCCTCTTCTTCCCTCACCACACTGCTTCAGATGATGGTGAATAGGACAACCGAGGTACTGTATTGTTATACCAAACTATATCCTGTTTTTTTCTTTAAATTTTCTTTCTTTTTTTTTTTTTTTGCCCAAATAGAATAAATGCTCACTAATTCATACTAATGACTGGGACGTCCATTGTTAGGACAAGAACATTAATTTCGAAAGCTTTCCCATACGTAAGACAGCTGGATAATGCAAAATGATTTAATGCCACATGTATAAGGAACATTATTTAAGCAGTTCAGCTATTTATATAGCGTATTAGAATAAAGCATGAAACTCTTCCTTAATATGTGTTTCACTCACTGAGATTTGCTTCTCGCTTTTGCCTGCAGGAGATAGATACTGTCTCCATTAAATGAAAACTCTCAGATCAGATTTTTATGAAGCAAAAGGAGGGCAGTTTCCCTGCCATTCTTTTATCCTTTTATTTTATCAGTAGTTCTTTTTATTTTCTGTCTTCTTTACTGCATTATATGTATCAGTAATGGTACCAGACATATATAAGTAAAGCAATTGCTTTTGTCTGATTTTCTTACAATAATTGTCATGAATTCTGTTTTCCAAACACCACTGTCAGTGATATCAGTAAACAAAAACTTTTGATTCAGAAGCCTTTCAGAATGGGCTGTGTGGCAGATATGGTGTGTGTGAGTGTGAGTGTGTGTACTTGGCTACTGCCCCAGAGCGACTAATAGGAACACACCTGTTGTTGAAAATGTATTATAAAAATTAACCTCTATTGAAAAACAAGAGACTGTTGATGGGGGTCATTTCACTTCGCTGAGCAGATTCTTTCAGGATGATTGGGCTATGAGCCCGTGAATTTCTGGAGCATTCACTTAGAATTTACTGACAATAGTACATTTTAAAAATAAATCTCTTGTTTATTAGCAAATTGACACCTTGAGAAGTGAACAGATTTGAGTGATTTATATTATTTGTTACTTATCTCTGCATGGAACAGATTTAGTCAAGGACTAAACTGAAAAAGAGAAATTAAAGGCCCAGCTGCTCAGTACGTAGGGCTTTGCATCTCATCCCTCTGCTTGATCCAGGAGCCACGGCCTGTGAGGCTGGGCAGACAGTGAATTCGTTTATTTTTGCAAATGAGAAAGATAATAAAATTATACATGAATAATTGGAAAATGATTCACCAGCAGTCACCCTGCCTTTCTGAAATTAAATTGTAACTTCAATAATAGATGCACACTCAGGATATGTCTCAGTGACAGGAAATACCAAGATAAAAATGAAAAACATTCAATTACTTCCCAAAATATAAAAAAAATTGATGTTTTATTAAATCAAAGCCAGGTTGTAGATTGATTTTCCCCTCCATTTGACTTGAATATTTGGAATCACGTAAGCATCAAACAAAAATATCTTCACCACATTTGGGTTTGGTTTGGATGGATAGTTACTGTTCTTATTTTGTGTCTCACTTCTCCACAGCCAGAAATTATTTTCAGCTACTTTTGCTGATAGCAGAAAGGAGTTTTGGTGCCTAAGGCACCCGGATACTTATTTAGGGCACTTTTAAATTAACAAAATATATACCAAATTAAAAAAAAAAAATGTGGTTGTAAATCTAGATACTACTTCTTGAAAACAAAGGTTGTTTTTTTTTATTTCCAAATGCAAAAGAACAATACAAAATAATTTCAAAATTTAAAGATGGTCAGTTGACAGCCTTTATTGCTTCCATCCTCTGATAAATTATGAAAACTATGGAAAGAAAGGAAACCTTTGCATATCCTAGTGAGAAAGGGTTGATATACCTCTGTTGTGAAATAGCAGAAATTTCTACACTTTTACCTGAAAGAAATTGAAATATACTTTTCTCTTTCTTAAAGTTGTTGGAATTCTGAGACCGAACACATTTGGCTGGCCATATATTTGATTTAAACCACTTGGTTCAATCACATTGTTTTAGCTATAAAACTGTGTTTCATTAGCATTTGAAATTAGCTGACTTGGTTCCTTAATGGTCACAGTGATGCCAGGTCTATGGCTTCATCTTAATTTTTTTTCATGATAGTGACCAAGTCTGACTACAGAGATGATGAAAATGCCCTGATTGTATAAACCGTGTGAGATTAACTGTGCAGCCTCTGCAAGAGTTTCTCCCAATGGCAGCCACATGCTGCTTTTCATTACAAGGGAGGGAAAAAGTGAATCAGTGTCTGTAAAAAACACTTTTTATTCCTAATGCGATTAATCCTATGGCTGAAACCTGATCTTGTTGAATACTACTCTCTTTTCCTCTAAAACGTAACCAATTCTAGAAACAAGGTTTTCTTTGATCTCCTAAACAGGTAAACCACTGAGCTCACTAGAAATAATGTTGCGGAGAAATACTGGCTGTTTAGTTACCTCTTTAGCTATGAGTTTACTACCTTACTGCCACATTGTGGACATGTCAGGGGTTTTACTGAAGCACCTTGCATCTGAATGGCAGAGCTCAGAGTTTTAGCAAGACAGTCACCACATGATATCTTGACTCACCTAGTGACTGCAGTGTGGGAGGGAGGTGACTTACTGATTCCCCTTTTCTTTGCTTCCTATAGAGTGGTTTCACCCCTTTACACATAGCGGCCCACTATGGAAATGTCAACGTGGCGACTCTTCTTCTAAATCGGGGAGCTGCTGTGGACTTCACAGCCAGGGTATGGATTAAATTTGCTTCTCACTTTAGCTATCAGTGTGTGGGCATTTGACTGAGGAACAAGTGGGCACCAGGAAAGATTTCTCTTTTCTGTTTCCTAAATCTGTGCTGAAGATAGTGGATTTTCTGTTGTTTTTTTTTTTTTTTTAAACCACAGGAAATCATCACTACCCACGAGAAAACTCAGAATGTTGTAAACTCACATGCCTATAATCATTCGCAGTAGTTAAGGAGGTGATTAATTCTGACATAACTGTGAGCTGTTATGTTTAATCACGCCATGAATCATGAATGAGCAGCTACCAATCAATAAATAATTAAACTGTTAAAATGTTAAGTATAAAATGTACAAGCACATTTTATACAATGTCTCAACAGTGATTATAAGGCGCACGGTTTCACAGGGAATGTTCTTGTAATGAATTAGTTTGTGAAAAGAAGTCTTGCCAAAATAACTTACAAAAAACATTAAGTGAGATGTTTGGGGACGAATTCACTTACATGATAATTATAAAACTCAGTATACTTCATAAATATCAGTTAATGCGATGTTTGAATATGTCCAAGAAGATGATGATGACATACAAAATATGAGGGACATTTCCTTCTCTACTGATGATGGCCGATAAAGTCAATAAATATAATCCACCTATTTTAATATTTTCTCTTTGAAGTCTTCTAAACTGTGACTCTATTATTTCCAAGTTATTTGTTCCCAGCATTATTCAGAAGACAGTTTCCTTAAGCATCATTTTTCCATTGGAAACTGTTCTGTGTCTATGTATTCTATTTTTAAGTTTGAGAACACCTGGTGTTGTAGAAAGAAGTAAGAACTTGAACTACAGCCCTCGCTTAGGCAGCATCTGAAATTCCACCTCTGTGACGCCAAAGGGCTGCCTCTGTCTGTGCACGTCCTGTGTACATCAGTCCCTGTGTCGTAGCTGTGGACTAACGTAGTGATGCGGTCTCATTCCATTTTTCATTCTCTAACTAGTGCTTTGTGGTTCACGTGCTGTTTTGGTCCTTACAAATCAAAGGCACTGAAACCATAGAAACCCTGGATGAGGGGACCAAACAGATGTCCACCTCCTCCATACCCCTTTGGTCATCACTGCCCTGCCCTGTCATACCCAACCTGCTCTTGTTTGGTCTTTCCATGGTGTAGAATGGAATCACTCCTCTGCATGTGGCTTCCAAAAGGGGAAACACAAACATGGTGAAGCTCTTACTGGATCGTGGTGGTCAGATCGATGCCAAGACTAGGGTGAGTGTCTCTGTTCTTTCAATTTCCTACATGAGTCTTGTCTTCCGTTAGCAGGCACCTGTCTTAGCAGGCTTTCCACACAGGCCATGCATTTGCAAGAAAATGACTATCTTGGGTTGGATGTGAACCTCAAGTAATATTTAAAGGCTTCCCATCATGAAGTGGAGATGATATTTGCTCACCAGTGTTTAGACACACAGAACGGTGGCCCTGTCATGGCAGGTTTGCAAGTCATCACTGACTGATTTTTCTGGGAACAGAGATCAAAGATTAGATTTATGCATCTCTGATTTGGTTAGTTGTAATTCTCAAGAACCCAAATACAGTAGGATACATGAAACTGTGAGATGATGACTTTGACAGAAAAGGCTTTAAGCCATGTTGAAAATCTTTTGCTTCTATCTTCTCTATTCCTGAACCATCTTCTTAACTGGCCGTGCTGTGCGACATTAACAGGAGAGTTGCTTCTGTCTTAAGGGAGCAAAGGACAGGTGTTATGTTGCACTTTTACTCCTGTCAACCTGGGAAGAGCTGGTGCCCTTCATTCATTTCAGACCTTTTAAGCGGAATATCATTCTGAGTTTCTACGTACTCCCTATAGATAGCAAGATGGGCAGAGAATGCGGCGGACTCTGAAGACATACCAATTTCAGGTCCTGCTTGTTCCACTTGCCAGTAAACTGTATGATAGGGACAGTGAGCTTCTTTCTGAACTTACATCAATAACAGTATCTACGCCGTAGGGTTGTGTCACAATTAACTTCTGGGTTTCTTTCTTTAGACACTTTTAAGTGGGGTAAATTACGTAGCTACTCTGAAATTTTGATAATATTACTGAAATGATATATGGTTACTTGATTAGACATTAAGCTAGTGCTTCAATACATTCATTCTCTGGGTAGATTTAGATGATCATAGATTTCAGCACAACATTAAACATTTCCACAATATACAAAGTGTGCTATGAGAAGTCCATGGAAGATGGAAGATAGACCATGTCCTTTGCAGGTAGTTTATCGTGACTCTGGGGTTTAATTCTGGGGTTTTACACTGTCAAAGGATAAAAATCAAATTTAGTCACCTTGCAAATCTTGGGGTCAGCAGATGAATTTTCGTGAGTGTTACTGTCTTTGTGCTTCGAGACACTATAGCAGTCCCAGACTACACACTCTGGGTTTGGATGGCCTCAAGAGTCCTTGCCTTCTTAATCTTGTTACCTCCAAGGTGTTTGGCCTGAGTGCCTGTGCCGCGGGGCATGTGGGAGGTCTGGGGTGCATGCTTTGTCTGCAAGATCCTTGCTGCAGGTCCGGAGTCTTTGCATCCGAGCTTATGTGGGTCCTGCCCTCTGCTTGGAGGGCCTTGGAGGCCTGCCCCTCTCCTGGCTGTGCTGTGGGTGTGGTTATTTGGAGCAGCTCTATGGGGTGCTACATTCCTTAGGCCCATACCTCCTCCTTTAAGTAAAATGTCTCCCTTTACCCATAACTGGTTCTGTTGAGACTCTAATAATTGAGCTCCACTGGAAAGACCACACTTTGTAAGTGCAAGGCGATGTTATCGTGGCCAGTGTCCTAAAGAGTCGCATATCGCCTTTCTTAATTCTTTTCTGGGATTTGCATTCATCATCAAGGAAGGGGATTTTGTTCTTATTGATCATCACAGTATCTGCTTCTTCAGAAGGGGCTCTCATCTGTATGGCTGCTATACCTTTGCATATACAGTTTGAAGGTCTCACTCCAGCGAGGCAGTGCATTTTCACAAAAATAAGACTTGAATCCTTCTTGTCTTTCAGCAAGTTAACAAATGTAAACCTACCTTGGTTTCTTCTTCTGGAAAGGAGCTACTTGCATTGTATTTCATCCAAGGCAGCCCTTAGATACACCAAAAACTGACTTTTTGAATTCATTGTAAAATTTGTAAGTGAAATTAAGTTTTTATTGCCAGGACATCGTGTTCATAACTTAAACAAAAGATGTTGAGCGCCTAGTTGGTGGTATGAATGCTAGAGATAACAATAATTAATAAAATAGACCAGGTACCTGTCCTGACAGAGAAACCAGGCTACAACACCCAAAGATTTAGGTTATTTAGGGTGCTGCTGATAGTTCAGCAATCAGCTCCCCAAAACAAACAAACAGGAAAAGTTGTTCGTAGCCTTTGCTTTTCCTGGTCCTCAGGTGTAAATATTCCCATTCTCCCCTCACGGTGCATTCAAGCATTCTGCCTTTGCTCTTTCTGGCCACAGAATTTGAAGAGATGTGCAGAAAATCACTCCTCCCTACTTTGTGCATGCTGGCTCCAGCACACCCCAAAATGTGTCCAACATTGAATGAGCTGTTTCCTCATCAGTTAAAAATACTTCCAGGTCTCTGAGGAGTAGGGTTTTCAGAGGAATTAGTTTCTTTCAATTATAGCTGTGACGGAAAGGCTTTATTCTTCTTCATCTACACGCAATCAAGTGGGAAGCAAATACTGAAATCAAGGACTCTAATCTGGGAGGCCAATTCTGAAACTATTATTTTTGATTATTAAACCAGAGGAAAATGGTTTGTCCTTTTTTTTTGTCCTTTGAAGAGATTTTAAAATAGATTTCTTTTTAGTTATTTCTTTATACTTCCTTAAAGCTAAAATAATAGCACTTCTACACATGGCATTTTAAAAAATATATAAATATATAAATTATTCATTTACTTTTTATCATAGAGATCTCCATTTCCACCAGCAATTACATTAACTCTAAACATTACTAATTTGTATATTCTATCAAGAAACTTCCCTTGATCTTTTATTACCTTTCTTATCAATGTGGCTTTTATTATCTGAAGAAAGCCAGCTTTAGGGAGAGCTCAAAAAGTCCTACCCACAGCTTCTCCCCAACTTTCCGCAGCTTTCAGTCAGTCCCTGAGGTTGTTTGCGCCTGATGGGTATTGTCACTGAGTAGGGATCAGGCATGAAACCTAAGGCATTTTACCAGAGTCCTCGTTTTTGGTATCTGAAAACAGGTTTATGTTACAGCATAAACCTCAGAGCTAGTTAAAGTGATACTAATTCAGACTTTATTAAGGACATTATTCTTTCTTATTTTTAAACTTATTTATTATTTAAATGTGGAGAAACTATGTAAAGATTATAGTTAAAATACTGACTTACATACTTCAGTGCAGACATTAAAAATTAATAAGGGATGATGAAAACAGAACAGGATCACCTCTGTTTGGGCCTTGTTATTAGAAGTAATAATTAGAGTCATAACAATAGTGGGTCCCCAATGCCATGTACAGAAGATGTTCTGGGCACCCTACTGTATGCTACAAATATCATCTCATTTCGTTTTCCGAGCTCCTTAATAAGTATTATTTTCTTGTTGAGAAAGCACGGAGCTGTTGGAGACAACCAAAGGAAAGGAGAGCTTCAGAGCAGGTCTAGCTTACCTGGGACACACAGGTTAGTTAGAAGATCCCATACAGATTCAGACTGCAGGGTCCATGACTGGAAGAAGCCTCAAAGCAGAAAGGAGAAGGAAAGATAAGGGGAGAAATGGTTATCAAAGTTAGTGCTGTGGGGGCTCCCTGGTGACACAAGGGTTAAAGTCTTAGCACTAGCAGGCTATGCCAGCTGCAGGTTATGAGGCATGAGTTCAATCCTCTGCCCTGGAGGTGACCCACATGGTGCCGCAGACCTCTCCTGACCTGCCCGCTGCTCCCCTCAGCAGTGTACTTCAGCTAGTGCTGTGGGTTCCCCCATAAGATAAATGGTCTCTCTGTGAAGTTCCTCGAACTTTCCTTGTAAGAATTATGGACACCAAGACAAATACCAGATGATTTTGCTCATATATAGTAGAATACAGAGAAACAAAGCAAAATAACGAGAAACCTCAAAACAAACACTAGAAATATGACTGCAGGTTTGAGAGAGCTGAAGGGGGGTGGGGAGCAGGAAAAAAAGGGAGGATGCAGCCCCAACAGCCTAGGGTTGAGGACTGTGGGTGTTGATGGTGGGTGTGGTGGGTGACATCCGATGGGAGAGGTGTGAACCCCTTCCCCCAAATCATGTACAGCACTGTAAACTGAGCCCAAATAAAAGGAAGAAGTATGTATATGCATATATGTGTACATTTATACTTAAAAAGAAAAAGACAAAGAGAGAACACAGAGACAGGAACTCTGGAGGGAAAAAATTCTTTCGGCTTCAGATGCAGGCTAAAGAGTATCAGTAAACTGCCCTTGCTAAGAAGTGGACGAGGGAGGGATGGGCAGGCCTGAAGTGCTGGACTCTGCAGGAAGTGTCCGAAGCTTTCCTGAGACTGAGCATGGCGGGCAATTGGATTTGAGATGATTCACATTTCTTCTAGGCGGTTAGATGAATGTAATATTTAGAACCAATTCAATCCTTCTTGTGCTTTGATTTTCTTGTGGGTTTACCGTGGGTCCTCCATCATTTTCTTTTTGTTATTCTGAGAGTGTTTTTGGAGGTCTTAACCTGACCCCAGGTATCCCCTCATGGCTCAGCAGCAAGGCAGCAAGTCAGGTAAGAGGAACAGAGGCAGCCCCACCTGCCGACGACGGCGTGTGGTGTCATGGTTTGTTCTGTGGATTTCTCAAACTCTAGATGTCAGTGAAACCTCCACCCAGAGGACGTTTGAGAAACCGCTGTCGCTAGTTCTCTCACAACTTAAGCAGCTGTTGCTGAGGGGTGCACAAGTGGTCTCCTCTCTGTGCCACTGCCCACCCCGTTTCTTTTTAGGCTCCTCCCTGGCAGGCTGTCACATAACCTGGCATCTCAACACTTTTTTGTTTGTGTGTTTTCCGGAAAGACAGCCTTTTCATGCTCATTTCCAGAAACCCAAAGCTGCAAGACCTGTTTTGGCTATTTGCTATCTGAATGCTGCTTTAAGTAGAGTCACCAAAAACACGATCATTCAAAATAGAAACACGCTCCCACTTGATCATTTGAGTAGAGATTGTTAAAGCACCTATTTATAACAGTGTGGGTGGACTGTATGGAGCACACAGGGTGTTCTGGAACATCCCTCGGGACAGGAACAGAAGGGTGAGAGGTAGAGGAGGTCTCCAGAATCTCACAGGAGAGAATTATATGGAAAAGCTCTTTCGGCAGGAAAGACACAACCAGACCAAGGACCTTCCACATTTGTATGCATTTCTCATGGACCAATGGCAACCAGAAGCCACTGGGCAAGACAGCCCACCAGTGCATTCTGGAGAGCTCCTCAGACATGGGCAAAGAAGGGAAGAGCATGCAACTGCCAGGGTAAATGGAAGATGTCTAGAGTAGATTCCAGAATGTTGGGTCAGAGTGTTGTCAACAGATGAACTTTCAGGAGGAAGGAAAGTGTACCCTGGGGATGTCGTCCTAGTGGGAAAGACATGGACAGTAGTTAGTGAGACTTCTGGATAAGTCATACGCTCTGGAGTTCCCAGTCTCTCACCCTCCCTTTCTCAACTGTTCCCTACTGTCTCAACCTCTTTCTGTGTAACAATATTCATTCCCCTCCCCGCAAACCTGAAATCACCAGTTAATTTATGTATTCAAGTCTTCGTTTTCTCTCTCACTTCTTGGTCTTGTCCTTATATTTTGCCTCATATTTCCCACTTACTGTGTTTCTTGGACGTGTAGCCCTCCAGAGAAACCAAATCCAAAAGCCCAAAGGTATTTTCAGGGTGGGTATCACTCTAGAATCAGAAACCACCAGAAAAGTATCAAGTTTAGAAAGTTGTGTAAGTAATGGAGCGTCTAGTTATGCTATAAATGCACTTGGTGCTCTTTATTTGTAATAAATTTGATCTTTAGGTACAAGTAGTTTTTTTGTTTAAAGATTTATTTATTTACGCCTACAGAACTGTGTTACAGGCCAGAGGTGCAGGGCTGGTGAGAGGATTCACCAGAGACAGAGTGGGGAGCAGATCAGGCAGATGGATGAAGTACACTGCTGAGGGGAGCAGCGGGCGGGTCAGGAGAGGTCTGACAGCCATGCGGGTCAGCTCTGGGGCAGGGATCCAACTCGTGCCGAAGTGGCTTTAGCTTCTTAGTGCTGTGCTTTAACCTGCTGCACTGCCAGGTAGGGCCAATTCTGTAGTTTTTAAATAATGAAAAACATGCATGGGAATCATAAGAAAAATCTGGAAATAAATGGCCCTTCATTTATACAGACCTCAGAGAGATTTTTAGGAGAATGTATGAAAATAGTGTCAATTCTAGACAGAACGTGGATGGACACCTCACCTAAGATGTGTGCTCCCAGCTGGGGTTCCTGTAAGTGGGTTTTCAGGGTCAGTAAATGGGACATGGTCTGTTTTCCTGTTATCTTGAGTCTCCCAACAGCAGCCAGTTCCATTGCATTGCACCCCCTCTCGCTTTCTGTTTTGTCTCAATCTTTCTCTTTGTCTCAGTCAAGATTTCTCTGTCTGATTTTCTCACTCTTCTCCTCTATCAGTTAACTAGCAGCCGTTCTGTTACTGCTCTGGAGAGTGGCTAGGACTAATTTCAAGGAACCCCTCCCCCCCTTCGCGGAGGCCTTGGAAACAATCTTGGTTTGGGCTTTGGTGTGTGAAGTCAAGCCTAATCTTTTTACTCCTCTTGGGCAGGATGGGCTGACCCCACTCCACTGTGCTGCACGAAGTGGGCATGACCAGGTGGTAGAGCTTCTGCTGGAGCGGGGTGCACCCTTGCTGGCAAGGACCAAGGTGAGTCGTGGTGAGCAAACTCACCACCAAACACCACCCTCTGTGTATCTGGATGTCACATGGAAGTTATTACCCCCTGCTACCGGTGGTGTTGGGGATCTGGAGCTGGTTTTGCTGTGTTCCAGAACAAAAGGGAGGCCTAACAAGTGCCTGTGGTTGCTTTTCCTCTCGTGCGCAGAACGGGCTGTCTCCTCTGCACATGGCCGCCCAGGGGGACCACGTGGAGTGCGTGAAACACCTGTTGCAGCACAAGGCACCGGTGGACGACGTCACCCTGGACTACCTGACGGCCCTCCACGTTGCTGCACACTGTGGCCACTACCGTGTCACCAAACTCCTGCTGGACAAGAGGGCCAACCCCAACGCCAGAGCCCTGGTAAACCTGGCCCAGTCCACATTCACTGAGTACAGGTCAAGACAGGCCGGCCGCACTGGCTGACCGGGGCGGCCACCAGCAATGCACGGTCCAGGCAGATGGGCACCCAGCTCTGCTCGGGCGTCACCCGCACAGCTGCCTGCCCACCTCACAGCTTGCTGGCTAGTGCTGGCTGCTGAACAAGCACAGAGTTAGGAGAACCCCAAGGCAGCACCCCCGACACTGGCCAGTCGCAGATAGGCAGGAAACCTCTGAAGTGAAAAGCCATATTCAATGGAAGGTGAAAGTTGAAAAATAGGAAATTTTCAAGTAGATGCTAGAGACCTCCAGTAGAGGGAAGATAAGACTGAAAAAAGTTGAATTTCATTAAACTCTTCTGGATAGAAAAGTTTTCAAGTGGTGGATAGATCTGACCTTGGGAGACAGTGAGAGGTGTCACCCAGGAAGGACTCACTCGCACATCCTCTTAGGACTGCTGACACAGCCCCGGGCTAACAGGACAGACAGGCGGCGCCTCCCTGCTTCTGAAGGGGCTTCGGAGAAGCTCTTACTGGCCTCGCACAAGGGGAACCTTTAAGGCTACCCCTGTGCAAACTCTCTCCCCAGGAATCCCTGGTGTTGAGTCAGTCTTCCTTGCCTCACTTAGCTCCTAACCTTCATCACCAGAATTATTAGGCATGGGCTTTATGCCTATTGTTTCCTAATTGTCAAATTAAAGGAAATCCTTCCCGCCCCCCCCCATATGTTTACATGGTTGACGTCAGTTAAATTAGTCTCCAGACAAATTATATTTAGAATGAGACAATGTCAGTAGAATGATTAAATCTTAAAGCTTATTTTTATTAGAAGTTCTCTGTTGTATTCAGTTTTTGTTTGTTTGTTTATAATTTACCAGGGATGCAGCTAGACTTTTAGGATTATGTGCCATTATGGTAGGCTATTTGTTTTCTCATACTGAGAAAAATTCTTTTCAGTTGCATCGCGGTCAGTAAGCTAATAAAGTCTCACCATGTAATTGGTGCAGTCTTCTAAGCACTGCCTATACATGTGGTTTTTTATGGTTTTCCCATCAATGGAAAATGACAGACATTGTGAAAGTAATGATTCTTTAGGTTAAGCAACATCTTACAATGGCTAGTGTAGAATGAATACTGACAGCTAATTAGTCCTTACGGGAACATGCAAAATCACTAACAGAACTGCTAGACTAATGTAGACTAGATATGACTGTTTATTCATAGGAGACATGAAATAAAAATAGGATGCTTTATGACATAAACACAGTAAGTATGGGAGTAGTCAACCTATTTTCAGATAATTCCTCCCAAATCCAGCACACTAGCCTAGTTTTTTAAAAGCTAGTTTCTTGAAGGCTTCTTCTCTACATTTCTTTATCCCTGAGGAGTATCTCTGTCCAGTGATTCCAGAAATTCTCCATACATTTCTTGAAAAGTACTCAGGGACTTAAATAGCATTTATTTATCCAATAAAATATAGGTGATTGCAACAGGTTATAAAAAGCTTTAGATATAAGATATGTAGCATCTGGATAGCAGATATTATCAAACTAGTGACCCACTCATAAGCAGCACCTCATAAAAACATTTAAACATAAGAACTGTAACGCCCAGTAGATATTAAAAAAAAAAAAAAGAAATCAATATAAATGAAAAGTTCACTTAATTTGCAGCACCTTCCCCCCGAAGAAAAGGGTAACAAAACCAAAGCATTTATTACTGAGGCAGTCCTGTTCTTTGATTTTGAAAGTAAAACAGCTGAACATTTCTCATGTGCTCAGAAATGGACCTTTGTCAGAAAATAACGCGCTTATCCTGGTTGGATTATCAAGACGTTTCCAAACACAAACCCACCCTGGAGCTTCTACAGTAGGATCACCCTTCTGTCTTTGCTCCCTTGAAGGGCAGGTCCCTTTCTTCCCTTTCTTCCTGATCTCTCTGTAACCACACACCCAGCACAACATCCAGGCCCCCACAGGCTAAGCTGAGCTCAGGGCCTCCAGAACACACCACTCTGTGCTTAGCACCTAGCAGCAGCTGCGGCTTGAAGAAATGGTAACGTTACTGTAACATGATTGCTTGCGATGTGCCAGCATGGAGTCTTGTGAAAACCGTTTCTGCATGTCTCCAACTAACCTGATTGTCTTTTGCACAGAATGGTTTTACTCCACTGCACATTGCCTGCAAGAAAAACCGCATCAAAGTCATGGAACTGCTGGTCAAATACGGGGCTTCCATCCAAGCTATCACAGAGGTAGAACAATGTTTCAGCCTGTCACCGAACAGCCCTTCTCTCACTCCTTCCCGCCCTTCCTCTCATCCAGCTTCTGTCCTCTTCACTCGAGTTTTCCTTGATCTGAAGAAGCCCCACAGTCCCCACTGGTGCAGAGGAGTAAAATTTGCTGTTGCTTTGTTTCGCAGTCTGGCCTCACACCAATACATGTGGCTGCCTTCATGGGCCACTTGAACATTGTCCTCCTTCTGCTGCAGAACGGAGCCTCTCCAGATGTCACTAACATTGTGAGTATGGCTTGGGTCAGAATAACCCCAGGAAGAGAGAGTGCGAGCAAAATGCGCACATGCGTGTGTGTGTGTGTGTGTGTGTGTGTGTCTTTAAAGCCAGTGGCTGAGCTGCAGAAGGCCCCAAGACAACAGGCCATTGAGGGAAAGGCTGCAACGTGACGAAGAAGAGCTTCAAAGGGGAAGCAGTGTATTAGCAAATGAAATGGGAGCTGTGGCATACAACCCCTGTCAGCTTCCTGGAGCAGATGGACAGACCATCTTTAAATACATTGATTGAAACAGAACACTTTATCAGAGCATGAGTGATTGATTGGAATACAGTTTTCATCCTCAGGTGCTTGAGTAAACTGTACTTTGGGCCATTTGAACTAGTGAGTCTCCCACCCTCCAGCATATGGAAGCCTGATCAGAGACGTGCCAATGAGAGCTTTTGACTTAATACAAAATTCTTCCTCCATCCATGACATGGGTATTCCAATTTTTTAGCCTTACTTCATTTGACTTTGTTTGCTGGACTGGTGTCCTCTCCTCCAAAAGAGTTAGACTACTGCAACATTTTTGTGTGTCCCAAGATAAAAGTTGAACTCCAGACAACTTTCAGTTGTTTGGTAAATTTATTGGATAGCCCAGAATCTCTCTAGCACTTTTCAGTTCTTTATATTTCTCTCACCTTCTTGGAGGGTGCCTCTTTAAACACTGACCATCCAATGCAAGTTTTCTCCCAATTGAACTTGCTATACACAAAAATACAGTTGTGTATCTGAAGCTGACGGGGGCCACTAGAATAGTGAGATGACATAAAAGTAGGCAACCCAGTGAACTCTCCCAAATAAATATTAGTGCTTATGATTAAAATGAATCCTATGTTCCAAGGCCATTGGCTGTCCATGCCTGCCAGTTTGGAGTTTCTCATCAATTTGAATTGTGAAACTATTCCATTAACTTTTTGTTTGTATTTCCTCTCACATTCTTACTTCTTTGTAATTTGGACACTGTTTCTGTGCTGAACAAGATCATTCAAATGCATGGACAAGATCCATGTGGAACATTTTGAATCTGAATGTGATTTAATACTTTTAAATCACATTATTCCTATTGGAGCATAAAAGCATTAAAGCATTTAAACATAAAGTCTGTGTAGACATTTCCGAAGTTATAATCCATTGCTCCTAAAGAAATAGTCTTCCATGCGAACCTTTAATTACTCCATTCAGGAAAAGAGTAATTTCACAACATGCCAATCTGAATTTAATTTGAGTCACTTCTTAGAATTTTAAAAGAAATCAACATCTTTCTTTTTTATGTGTAAAAATAACCATCTCCTTTTTTAAAATTGAGATCTGTACAAACCAGTACAATTCAAGAACAAAGACTCTGCATTCCTTACTTTGCATCCCAAGATCACAGGCAATGAAGATGCACTCTGAATTAGATTATAGTGCCCTAATAATGACATATCCAAGTATATTCTATGCAGTGCTTGATTGAAAGCCCCGAATTTAATGTCTTGAACAGAGACTTGCAAAATCATCAAGAAAATCTTTGTGGAGTGATTGTCTAACTCTCTGGTCATTCTTAATTTGTTTCTTACCTGGCCACTTTCAGATCATCTCACAGTGATGGTTTTAATCTATATGAGAACGCTCCACTCAGGGAAAAAAAAAAATTGCATAGGTTATAAGTAGCTTTTTAGGTAAAAACTACCAAAAAAGCAAATTCAGACAATAAAAATCGATAGCCTTTAAAGGTTCCCAGGTTTGGCAATTGCTACCTTAAAGTTTAAGTTCCAATTGTTGGTCATTATTAGGTTCTTCATTTTTTGCATTTTCTCATGTAATCATCACATTCCCTGCAGCCTGTTAAAACAGATACTTGAGAGGGCGAGCAACATAGTCATCTCCACACATTTCCTACTCCTCTTTCTGGTTGTTAATTTTCATTTTTATGCCATGTGTTCTTCAGGGAGCAAACACCATATAGACGTGGTCGCCAGATAAAATACAGCACTGCCAGTTACATTTAAATGTCAGATAAACAATGGATAATTATTTTAGCATGTATGTCCCATGCAAGGTTTGAAACATAATGATGCTAAAATAATCATTCTCTGTCATTGTTACTGAGAGTTTCACTGGCCAATCCTGTATTTCCACTCACTGATCTGGCAACCCTGCAGTCAAGAATTCTGACTTTTCCTAGCAGTGGGATGCCTGCGACCTTGTGTGTTCTCAGAACGTGAGGTTCTGGCTGCTGGATCTGAAACTCTTTGCAGGTTGACGAAGAGCTGTGTGGTCACTGACTGCCTGCTTGCTTTGTCAGTCAGTCGTCTCCTGAACCCAGAGTCCCTACCCATGGAGCCTTGTCTGTTGCCTGAAATTTCGTGGCACTGTTGAATGCGATGCTCTCTGTTGTGCTTTGATGCTTTCCAACCTCATGCGGCCCAGGTGGAAGTCAACGTCGCTGTCAGTGGCATCGGTTCTAACAACGGGAAGAGGGCATGACAGTCAGTACCAGCTTTGGATGTGAGCGTACGTTCTCTGGCCAGTCTTGTTTTCGTCACCGAATCTAGTCCAGTGTGAGATGTACCAATAACTCAGTCGTGCAGTTAGTGTTGCTGCAAAGCTTCTTGTGTGAAAAGCTGACAAATAAATGCACTCTAATGCCTAGGCAGCTGAATGGCCAGTGGTAGCACATCCATCGTCCAAACTCTTCACCTTCCACCCTGGGTGGAGAAGACCCACCTTGGGGGGAGAACATCAAACACTTGAGGGGACTAAGAAGACCACAGTTCAGAGCACGACCAAGTTTTTCCTCTTCCTATAACCAATAAAGGGATTTCTGGCAAGGTCACACTTCATATTATATTGAAGAATTCTTAAATATAATTACTTCTTAGATATAATTAGTTTATGATAACAAAAGCCACGGTGTTGAATAAGATGAGATGCCCAACAAACATGAAGCTGTTGATTAACACAAGATTTATTGTCTCGTTTCTCTGTTGATACTCATGTATAAATAAGGGTGATATAAATCTAAAAGGAGACAGATAATTCACAGTAAAAGTCAGTTACCTCAGTGTCACTGAATAAGACTTGAACAAGACCATACCTACCTATACCTTTATGTTGGCTAGAATGTCTCATAATTTAGATTAGGTTTTTCCTCATCAAATTCATATATGTAAACATGATAAAAATAGGTTATTTTAAGTATAAAATAAGAGTATTAGAAATACTAGGGCTAGCACAGGAAACATTTTATAAAGCTGGGCTTGTAACATTCATGTGCATCCATCATTGAGTAGGGCCTCTGTGGCTTTACTTTTTAGGCGAAATTTGTCCTTGTCTACATACTTACGAAGATTAATAAAATTGCACCATTTTTATAAGACTTAGAATAGGGTAAAGCTTCTAGTTAGAAAATTTTATCTTTGTCTGTCTAGGGAGAGGTTGTAATTGCTGTGGGAAGCAAGTTAGAAATCATGTTCACCCAATATGGAAAAATCTCAACATCTACCCACAAAGTCTGAAGATGAATATTTGCAGTTGCAAAATATATATATATGATACTTTATAAAGAAGTTACACTTTCCTTAGAAAAATCTCAATGTGTCATCAGAAAATAAGAAGCTGGGCAAATCACGGAAAAAAAAAAAGAATATTCGAGTAGATTTCCATATTAGTTAGTGCTGTCAAAATCAAATCTTTTAAATCATACTATCTTTAAGAAATGGGACCCTGTACAAAGGACAAAACTGAACTGCGAGCTCTGACCCAAATGACATTTTAGCTCTTGTAGATTTACAAATTTATTGTGCAAGAAATCAGAAGAAATTATTCTGTGGATTTTTCAAAATATCCAATGACTAAAGTAAGTAGCAGTTTCATTTATTTGGAATACTCGCCTCGACTTGGTTGAAATCAGCCTTCTTTGCTAGAATAGGTGTGATGACTACAAGTGAAGACTTCTGTCCCACCACCCTGCTTCTTTACAACTGTCAGTTGGTTTCAATGAAGCCACACCTGCCTTCTGCAGAACAACCTGCAGCTCGAAAAGACACTGATTTTAAAAGCACCTCTGCCTTTGAGGTAATAATGAACACGCTTCCCAATGAGAAAACTCTGACATCTAACTGCTGTCTTTTTTTAATGCCCTTCCGTGGACTGGTGTATCATGCTGTGATGTGGCACCCGGGGACTTGGGAACTGGCCCAGTGTCCAGGGTGACCCTCATTACCAGATGACACTCCCCACAGTGTCCCACTTCCCACTCTGTCATTGAAGTGCATGTCTATTACTGTGCTCACGAGCGATCAATGAGTGACCATCAGGACAGTCAACTTTGTCTGACCACTTAGAGGACAGTCTCAAAGCACAAAGACCAGCCCGTAGTAAAGTAACAGTCTATTTTTTAAGAAGTGCAATTCAGTGTTTCCGGGAAATACAGCATCGTCTCATGTGATATTTTATGTGTACCGACAAGGCACTTTCACATTAAATATCTGTACTTTGAAGACTGTTAAATTTTGCCTTCATTATGGAAATGTTTATAGGGTGGTCTCAAAACAAAGACAAATCCATAGCAAAATAACAGTTTATTTTAGAAATCAATGTTGAATGTTGGAAAGGGACAACTTCTGCCCAGTGCCAGTGGTGTAGATGAACACGCCACCTTCATCTTCAGTATGTAGACTTTCTCATTGAAAGAGATCAAGTTGTCAGCACATCATAAAGTGTCACTATGACAGATTTTAGGCTCCAAGGGTATAAGACAACTTGCTATCACCAAAACAATGTACATTGCCAGGCTGATCGCGAAGCTTCACCTCCAGGCAGCCTGGACGTTGGGGTAGGTGTGCCACTTTGCCGCGCACTGATAGGCTTAGGCACTTGTTTTATCCTCATGAAGATGGAGATCATGCAGTACTGTGTTTTTCCAGACAAATTACGAAATAACGATGTCTTTTCAGAGATGGCTTAAAGCTTTTGCAAAGATCGCTGAATTCCACGAAGAGGCATGTCTTTATTGTTCTCTCCCAGAGCAGTCGGTTCACTCACTCCCTGGTCTTGTTTCCCGGCAGCGAGGGGAGACCGCGCTGCACATGGCGGCTCGCGCCGGGCAGGTGGAGGTGGTCCGGTGTCTGCTGAGGAACGGAGCCCTGGTGGATGCCAGAGCCAGGGTAAGTGGGCCCCGGCCCCTGGCTGACGTGACTCCTGTCCCCACGCAGGCTGCTCTTCTCCGTGTCCTTGTTTTGCAAATGTTTTGGAAATGGGAATGCCATGTTTGTTTTGGAAAAGCCTCAATTCAGTAAGAGATCTAGTCAGGTAAGAAAGAAGCAGGACCATAATACCAAACGCAAGATGCACCACCATCTCAAACATTTGTATTCAGAAAGTGCAATTCAGTGTTTCAGGGAAATTGCAGCATCGTCTCATGAGATCCTCTTCTGTGCTCCTACAAAGCACTTTCACATTACATATTTTTACTTTGAAGAATGTTAAATTTTGCCTTTACTATAGAAGTACAGGATACATAGTAAAATTTGCTTCTTGCCAATGAAGCTAATCAGATTTTCAGACATTCCTTACTAGCTACGTAACATGCAAATTATACTCAATGCTGTCCTCCTTTCTAGAATTAGTTCTCTTGTTCTTCCTTACTCTAATTTTACACATTGAGGCATTCTTCGGTTCCACTATGACAAAACAGGAGAATTTGAGTTCCTGGAGATTGCTTGGTCTGGGTTTCTTGTCTCCACTGCCTTCTGATTCACGCACAGGTTGATTTTTCTCTTAAATTTCACTTCCCCAAGTGCATTCTCCAAATGTCACTTCCTTATTTCTTCCTCCACCATCTTGCTTTATCTGTGCCCCGTGTCTTGTTTCTTTGTCTTGTGCTGGCTAGAGTGTTGTGCTTTTTCCTACTAGCCTTAGGACTCAACAACAGGGACCAGGTTTCAGGGCCCGGTGACAACCTCATATGTCAGGTGGTGTGTGTGTTACAATTGATGGACCCATGTCAACACACCACAGCCTCTTCCCCAGCACCCACCAAATCTGTGGTTTGCATCGTGGCTCACTCTTGGTGGTTTACATCCTATGGATTTGGATGAATGACGTGTACCAGGCCTTTGAGTGCCCTCCAGGATAGTTTCCTGCCCTAAACATTCTCTGTGCTCTGCCTATTTTCATTTCCTGCCATCAAACTACTGTTAAAAAAAAAAAAAAGTTAGTATGGTCAATCAATACACTCTGAGTCTCATGAACTTTTCTGTTTTTACCACAAATAGTGCTGTATTTCCCGTCAATTTTTTGTTAACCACATGTAGTCATAAAAGGGCTTCCCGCTTCTCTCTCGAATTCAAGCTACTTAAGATTTCTGACTGCACAATTTTTTAAAAAATATTTATTTATGTGTGCGTACAGAACTGGGGTACAGGCTAGAGGTGCAGGGGTGGTGAGAGGCTTCACCAGAGACAGAGTCGGGAGCAGAACAGGCCGACTAATGAAGTACACTGCTGACGGGTGCAGCGGGCGGGTCAGGAGAGGTCTGCCACGCCATGTGGTCACCTCCGGGGCAGGTGGGGATCAAACTCATGCTGAAGTGGCCTTAGCCTTTTAGTGCTGTGCTTTGACCCGCTGCACCACCAGGGAGGGCCCTGACTGCACAATTTTTAAATTACTCCTTTTTCACTGGAAATTTGATTATTTGTATGTCTTTCTGCCATTTTTTTTAATGATCTATTTATGCATACATGCAGAACTGGGGTGCAGGCCAGAGGTGCAGGTATGGTGAGAAGATTTACCAGAGACAGAGTGGGGAGCTGACCATGCAGATTGATGAAGCACACTGCTGAGGGAAGCAGTGAGGGGACAGGGGAGGTCTCCTGAGCCATGTGGGTCACCTCCGGGGCGGGGATCAAACTTGCACTGAAGGGGCAGGGGCCAGCTTGCAGGGCTGCCCTTTAATCCACTGTACAGCCAGGGAGGGCCCTGAAGTCCTATTTTAAAAATTTGAAAATCCTGCAGAGTTCATGTATCGCTTATTTTCTTTTCTGTGAATAATGGTATAATATACATATTGCATTCCTTTTTTGTAGATCCATTTTAAGGACAGGAACAAGTATGTATGGTACATGAAGAAAGTTTATGCTGCAATTTTTGAAAAATTTCAACCCTATTACCCAAATAATTTTCTTGTCATTTCTGTCTATCCTGAAACTCATACGATGGTGTTTCATCTCTTTCTCTTCCTTCTTAATCCTTTCAAATACATGGTGAGAGACCGCATGTGTTTGAAAAGCCACTCCCTGCCCCTTTACACCTCTTCCGCATTCATTCTCCGCTCTGGAAGCCAGCCCTGCTCTCACGTTTGCTGACATGTCCTTGGGCAGATTGTAAAAGCTATCCCTCTTTTCATCACTAAGGCGCACATGGTTTTCTTTTAACAAGAGAATGGTCTGACCTGGTTCTCTTAACACTAAAAAAATGTCTCTGCACACTCAGGTGGCTTCCTGCCCCTTACACCAACTATATCCTCTCTCTGCTTTCAGAGGCAAAGCTCTTGGCAACCGCCCAGTTTGTCTCTGGCCAGAGAGTTGCATTTTGTCTTTGGCGCCCAGCAGCCAAGTCCCACACTCATCTGCAACATTTCCAGGGACAACTTTTTAAGTCACATCACAATATCTTCTTTATCCACAGTGTCTCCTTGACGAGAAGCGTCAGCATTTGTCTCCCTGGCTTGCCAAGGGGAGTAAAGAACAGCACCCTTGGTTCTTTTATTCTTGGTGCCAATTCCCGGAGTAAATACTGTCTCTTAGTGAAAGCTTTTGGATGGGGCTGTGCAGCTCAGGACTTCTGAACTACATTTCTTGGGAGTTGCTTTAAGTAGAAACCTAAGTGAGGGCCGAAGCCTTTGTGAGTGGAGGAACAATGGGAGGTGCCCAGTCAACAATGACCAGATTCCTGAAATCTGCATTTTAAAAATCTAAGGAAGGTTTTGTGTCCAGGCAGGTCAGCTCCACAGCAAACTCCACAGGGAGTCGTGGCTGCACTGGCCACCCTTCCCCTGTGGGGCAGGGCTCCCGGGAGCTGTGAGTGAAGTCCGGGTAGGAGGCTGTGTCTGGCCTGGCACTCACTGCCCACTTGGCTTGAGTTGCAGGAGGAACAGACGCCCCTGCACATCGCCTCCCGCCTGGGGAAGACGGAGATCGTGCAGCTGCTCCTGCAGCACATGGCGCACCCCGACGCGGCCACCACCAACGGCTACACGCCACTGCACATCTCCGCCAGGGAGGGCCAGGTGGACGTGGCCTCGGTGCTCTTGGAAGCAGGTGCAGCCCACTCCTTAGCCACCAAGGTAAGGGGGTGGACGCCCACCTGAGGTGGTGGTTCTGCTCCACCGCACAGTGGGGAGAGGCGGCTTTGCATCGGGCGTCTGCATCGTCGCTTTCTTTTGGACTATTTTAGATTCATTTTCTAAGTGAGCAAGAGGGATTATCCACGTCTACGCGACATGATCAGAAAAGAATGGTGGGTTCTCCCCTCTGGTTAACACCAGCCGGTCTTGTTCTTTAAGATGTTTTCTATCGAAGAAGAATTCTATTTCCAGTGTAAAATGACTAGAGAGAAAGAGTAAGATTTGCAACTACATTGAACTAAGCTTACACATGAGGAAAACACAATTGCACCAGGCTGGATTCTAGATTTCTTAAGCACTTTAGAAGTCTCTAGAACCCTGTTGTCAGCAAGCCTGTTCTCTCATCTTTACCAACTACTCTGTAGTCTGTGAATGAACAGTGTGTGAATAAGACTGAGCTAGAGAAACACTCTTTATTAGTTGTTGTCATCTAAGAAAGGATGTACAGCAGCCTAGATTTTACGCCAATTCTGAGTTGCATGGGATGACAGAATAATTTTTTGCCCTCCACTTGGTACATTTAAGCTGAAACCCAACATACGGATGCGACTCTAACTGGAGCACAAGCATAGGAAAATCAAACAAGTGAAAGGCTAAGATGAGATCATTGTTTGTGGGCAAAATAATTCCCAGAAATATGGCAGTAACTTAGAAGATTCAAAAGACATTTCAGTTGGCTCCTGATAAGCCAACTGAAACACCACAGCTGTAGGAAAAGGACATTCAGGTAGGAACTGCCCTCCTGGGGGGGATCCCTGCTAGGCTTCCTGCTGGCTGTGGCCATAAGCTATTTTAATGCAAGGCACTGGCTCTTGATTCAAATGCTGAAATCTAAAGCCTCACAGGATTTTAAAAAATCATTTAAAGCAACAAATGTCTAGTAGTAACAGCGACTTCCTATCGTAGTAATAACCACATCTAGTAGTGATGACAATTACAAGCAGGAAACATAGCTGTAATAACCAGCACTATACAAATAAAGGCACACTGGTGATCATAGCCCAAGACAGACAGGGCGATTGTTTCATCAGATGATAAACAAATGCAATTAAGGTAAGAAAATTTCAGAACTAGAGAATGAGACATTGTCCAGTTACTCCCAAAGATTCTGAGCAACAGACCTAAGGCCATAGTAAATTAGGGCAGGAAAGAGGAAGAAAACATGAAGCAGTTCAGTTCCAGAGTGGAGCAGACCGGACTGCTGCAAGAAGTTGACTCATCGTCATTAAAGTTATTTAAGTGTTTATAAATACTAGGGGTAATGAAATCCCGAGGACATTAACACAGCGGAGAAGGGAGTTGTATGACTCAAGAGAAGCTTCCCAACCTCTATTTTGTGATTCCACAGTAAAGCTTCTCTGTGGGTTTGTCAGATAATAGCTTCTCCATTTCTAAAGGGGCTGGATCTCCTCCAGCAGAACCTCAAGGATCAGAATTGCATTGTTCCTTCCTGGCCGCTTGGCTTGTCCTGAGGACCTGTGGTCCACCTAAGTCACCCCATTCTTCGGGGCACTGACCAGAGGGTGGAAAACTTCAACCAGTGTTGCATTCAGTGGCTTAATGCAGGAATCAGGAAACACTTCCTATATTTGTCCCACACTTGGGAAAAGCAGAAGACTCGGGCTCTTCCAAGGACTTATTAGTACCAAATGTTCAAAAGAAACAAAAAGGAAAAACAACTTCGTGAACAATAATTTGTGTGGCCGGCCAGTGAAAAGGCCAGAGTGCTTCTGGGGTGAGAGGGGCTTCTGTATCGGCGGAGGATGGACGGGAAGATAAACCACAGCACAGACCTGGGCAGGCGATTTTGCTGGGTGTCCCACACCGGCTGTGGGGTCTCCCACCCCCACTCCCCCACCCCCACCCCCACCCCCAGGTAGCTGGGCTGTCTCGCCTGGAGGATGGGCTTGGGATCATGACCTAGGAAGTGGGCTGTCTTTGTACCACCCACACATTAGAGACTGTGGAATTGGTTAGGCACTGGAGACTCTGGACGTAAAACTCTGCAGGAAAGAAGTCATTTAAGAAAGCCTTAAAGCTGCCATGTGTTTAAAAGTCTGGTGTTAAAAAAAAAAAAAAAAAGGTCTGTTAACCAGCCCAGCATCTTGCCCACAGTGAGTATTTTTTTTGTGCCGCCCACCATTTTATCTTCGATTTCCGCAAAGAAATGCTGAATCACAAATGATCTCTAAAACTTTCACCATAGCTGTGGAAGTAGCTAAAATTTTAAGTGGTGGAAATTTAGATTTCAGGTATTATGACAAGGATAGAAGGGAACAGAGCGTGTGGAACAAAGACAGTGCTTGTTCCAGACCTGTTGATTTTTGAGGCAAGAAAAACAAGCCTTTATTTCACCGCTTCCACATTGGAGCCATTGACACTGGTGGCTTTTAGGAGGCCCAAAGCTATAAAGTCAACTTTTAGTCCCTAAGGCTTTATTATAAAATTCCGATGTTCACTCGATCCAGCTAAGCCTTTTTATATTACATTTTCATCTTTCGCGTCCTCCCTGCTTATGGCTAACAGATTGAATATTCAGTGTTTTTCCCAAGTGGAGAATCAACATAGTTTGCTTCACATGTTAACAGGAAATATAGTTTGTTTATTTTTAAGGAGACACAAGCGTATACTACATTTTACTTCTGTTCTTGTCATTTCCAGAAAGGCTTCACTCCCCTGCACGTGGCAGCCAAGTACGGAAGCCTGGACGTGGCCAAACTCCTTCTGCAGCGTCGCGCAGCGGCGGATTCAGCGGGAAAGGTAACGGTGTTCCGCAATGCACGTGGCATTACTCAGTCTCCTGGGACGCCTCTGGGTTTGAAATTCAAGATGGCGGCATGGGCTCCCTTCCACACACGCAGGATGAGAGGGCAGGTGGAGCCGGGTTCCCTGTGTTCTTACCACAAGACCCAGAGCTTCTCTATTAAGATGTTAATGCAGTAGTCTCGTGTGTTTTATTTATTTTTCTTATTAGTTTTGTTTCTTTTCTTACATCATTGTTAACTTTTGGCCAGTATTTGCTTTGTCCCCTCCCGAAACTCTGCCACCAGCAGAGGACCCATGATCCAGCACCACAGTCCCTTGTGCTCTTCCCGCCCCTGTTCTGACCTCGCCCATTGTATGCCACAGCTCTGTGACCAGCTTGCAAGTGTTGTCTTGTCACTGTTTGCCCTATATTCCCCTTACAAGCGAGACCATCCAGTAGTTTTCTCTTTCTTGTGACTCACTTGCTTGGCATCATCGCTTCCAGCTCTATCCATATTGCCACAAGTGGCATGAGTTTGTCCTTTTTGATGGCTGAGTAGTATTCCATGTATACATACCTCATCTTCTTGACCCAGTCAACTGTTCTGGAGCCAGTCAACTGTTCGGAGCATTTAGGTGGTTTCCCTGTCTTATGTAGCACTTTAACACTCCTATTAATGGTGAACGTGAAAAATGCCCAGTCAGCTCAACCTATCATTTCTAGTTTTTAAGTTTCTCATGTGAAAGTAAGTAGTTATTTTGTTTATTTTTATCCTTTCCCCCCCACCATTTGACTATATTAATTAATTAACATGGAATTAATCACTATATCCGTTTTCAGGCATCCCGGTAGCTTCAAGGCAGCTAACTGTCATTTATTAATGCTGACACTTAAACACACCCTTTACAGAACGGCCTTACCCCGCTCCATGTTGCTGCTCATTATGACAACCAGAAGGTGGCACTGCTGTTACTGGAGAAGGGTGCTTCCCCTCACGCCACTGCCAAGGTGAGCACCCCAGAAAGGAGCCTACAGAAGGGGTGACTGTGAGCTGATCTTGTGGGTGCAAGTAACAGTAGCATTTGATACCAACATTTTTTCAGAATTTATTTTTACCACTTGCTTCCTCAAAGCTTTTAAGATTTTTAAGACAATGCACTTCTGAACCCAGAGAGGTCACTCTTACTGCTGACACTCTGTGTCTGGGACACTGAAGTATGAATTTGAGAAACAGTAATGAATAGTTACCTAATAAAAGTGGTGCAGGTTTTTCCTTCCTCACTTTTTTTTTTTTTTTTTTGGTTCATTCCATGAGCTCAAAAATTTCCTCATGCTAGACAAGATTCCCCGTCTTTTCAGTGTTTCATCAGTGTTGACTCATGCATGCTCCCTTTTTATTTCCTAGGTTAGGAATGCATCTGGGGGTGGGTGGACCCAACTTCTCTGACACCCCAACATGGACTCCCTGTTTCACTTGGCCCTGTTTACCCTGAACATGTGTGTGGGTAACAAATTATGCATCCGGCCGTCACTCCTGCTTTTGGTGATCCTTCCTGCCAACACGGAGCACATCAGTGTTCATTTCAACATGGGTATTCCAGTGGAACGCTTTCCTCGGCCTGCCAGTTGACACAGTAGCTTCCTGTGTCGTGGCCACCGACCTGGCACATTCTATGGGTGTCTCGTGGTGATTCCATGAAGTGGGTATGCTAAGGGTATGCTGTGGTTTCTGGCTCACAGATGAGGAAGGGAGATTTAGACAGTTCATTGGTCAAGTCACAAGACTAGTCAGTCCCAGCCAGAGCTGGGATTTGACCTCAGGAAATCTGATTTCAGAGCTCGTACTCTTAACCAGGGGTCCACTGTGCAGTGGGGACCGAGCTGTCCTACTTCTAGGATATGAGTATGTACCTACCTACACACTCGTGTGCCGATGTAAATTATATATCTAGTGAAACGGCATGTGCTATATAAAAGTGTCTTCCGAGTACCTACACATGCATGTACACATACGCTTGTTTCATTGCTGCAAATAAACCAGAGTCCCACAAAATATTTAAACTTTCAAAAGAGGAGAGCCAGTTTTTTATCATTGTGCACACCATTCTGACTCCTTTTACCCCTTTCCCTGTAATCTCCTCAATTCTGCACTTATTCTCAGTCTTTCCTTCTGTGAGGATATGTTACCTAAAGACAGTAATCATGTCATTCACCTACGTGTCCCTGTGATGACTCCTCAGAAGGTGGGTTTTCGCTCAGTTTGCAGGTGGAAGAGAAGAGCAACTCTTTCAACAAAATAGAAATGACGCCCTGATTAACTTTCCAGGCTGACCATTCCCAACACAGTTCGAGAGACTTGACACACACTTTCCTTGAGCTTTTGCTATGAAAAAAGACTAGACTGCAGCAAAACTATAAAGCCAACATCTCTTCCAAAGAGACCTTCCGTGGGCCCTCCCTGGTGGCACAACAGGCTAAAGCACAGCACGAAGAAGCTCTGCACAGCCACTATAGTACTAGTTTGATCCCCAGCCAGGGAGGTGACCCACATGGCACAGCAGACCTCTCCTGGCCTGCCCACTGCTCCTCTCAGCAGTGTGTTTCAGTTGATCTGCCTGTCCTGCTTCTCATTTTGTCTCTGGTGAATCTTTTTACACTGCCCCCCCCACACCTCTGGCCTGTACCCCAGTTCTTGTAGGCATAAATAAATAAGTCTTTAAAGAAAATTTTAAAAGAGAGACTTACGACTTTAATTATAAAATGGTGCATATAGTTTTCCTTGACCTCCAGCCTGCTCAGGGCTCCTTCCTCACTCTGAGGCACGCCTGGCCGTGTCATGATGAGCTACCCCAGGCCTGCACTCTACAGCCAAACAGTAGGACGTGTGTGGGTGACTCTGACATCCCGCTCACTGCCCAGCCTGTCAAAGAGCAGAAGCCCCTCAGCTCTGTGTCCACTCTAAGGGGCTTCCAAGTGGTGGGACTCCCCCCTCTCCCCACTTTCCACCCCCTATTCACTGCAGTTGCCCAGCCCACCCCTAGGGTACCAGCACACTTAATACCTTGGGTACTAAGGTATTTTTTGCTTCTTTTTTCCAAAGTCCAGAACCTTCTTTTACGCCTCACTGTGTGTGTGTGTGTGTGTGTGTGTGTGTGTGTGTATTGGGGGGAGGGGGGGAATTCCAAAAGTTTTGCTCTAGATGGAGAAGGGAGTCCCCTGCTCTCAGACCTTGTAGGTCAGGAGGGACCTCTCGTATTATCAAAATCGACACCCTCTTTGATGAACCCGTGTCTTAGCAAACCCTCCCACTGTCCTCCACACAAATCTCTGACTTTACCTACATCTGCAGCTTCACGCCTATCCTTCCCTAAGCCCGTTACGTTCACCTTGGTACTTACTGATCTTGGCACAGTGCCCTTGCTGCACAAACTAGAGAAAATGGGGCTCAAGAAAACAGGTAGCTAAAAGATGGGGTAGCAGAAGGAAATACCTGAACTTACAGTCTCCATGGAACTGGAGGGCCCCGTGCCAAGGGCTGTGCTTCAGAGCACCCGTGCCTGGAGCTCTATGCCGGACTCCAGCGAAGGTCCCAAGGAGAGTGGCTGAATTTCAGCAGCTGGGGAGAATTTCACTTATCTCAACTGAGATGTCCTGTGTTTGCTTAGAGAAGGAGAGCTACCGCAGAGAGAACTTAGGGCCGTTTGATCAAGACATTTAAATTCTTAAAACTGCTTCTTAATGTTTGATACATTTTCTTAGACCTAACAAAATGACATGGCCCAAAGCGACTAGCTCTTACCGTGGCTTCCCCAGGGCTCCTGACTATTCTGCTGTCTTCCCTTCGATATATCATCATTAATAGAAAGCTCCTATTTTTAATTTCTCTTGCATCTTTACATGGAAAATTCCACCAGACTTGATGAAAGGCAAGAAACCAGTGTAGGTTCCAGACTTAGACATGTTCCAGAATTCTTTTTGCCTGTTTGATTTTTTCTTTTAAATAAAGATGGGGTTTGGGTTTTATTCTTTGAAGCAAAGTGAGTTTCTGTTGTCCTCTTCCCAACTCCCACAGAAAACTGTAGTCTCAGATAGTTACTTTTGAGCCAGTGGAGATGAAGAGGTATCAGGATGTGCACTGAACATTTGTTTTTTGGTCCTGCCGCCGATGGGCCCCTATTCCCCTAACATACACCACTTTTGTCATTTGCTGCCTTTTCCAACATAATACAACCACATAAAGCCAGGGATCAGGCCAAACTTTAAGTCTGGAGGCTTTTGGTGGTGCCCTGGGTACCTTGTAACCCTGGTCACCAAGATTTGGGTTCTGTTGGTTAGAAGCTTGTGATGGTTGAAAGTTTGAACTCACTATATAGCACTTTTAACTTTTCTGTTGATTCGCAACTCTTCTTTCCTTCTGTTATGTGAGGGGATTTGCTAAACTTGCCAGGTATATGGTAAAGCTATACTGCTTGGACACAGAGTATTTAAATTGATCGATCTATTGATTTCCAGAATGGCTACACACCTCTCCATATTGCTGCCAAGAAAAATCAAATGCAGATTGCGTCCACTCTCCTCAACTATGGAGCAGAGACCAACATCGTGACCAAGCAAGGGGTGACCCCACTCCACCTGGCCTCACAGGAGGGCCACGCGGACATGGTCACCCTGCTTCTGGACAAGGGAGCCAACATCCACATGGCCACCAAGGTATTCTGTCTTTGCCTCTTGTTTTTATTTAATCTAGAGGGGGGCAGAAGCCAATCAAAGATAGCTGGGAACAAAAACGTAAAATGGGGATGTATTCAACAAAACGGGTATTTTAGGGGAGTGTCAGACAGCAGAGGAGCCAGGCTGATGAGGGATTGGAGGCCCTCAGGATGCCAGGCACACAGGCCCCCGCCTGAATGGCTGAGTCTCGGCCTCCCGGCTCTCCTCTGCGGTTAGCTTCCTTCACTGGTGTGTGGAGATGTGCCTTTTCTGCCTTTCCATAGATGGGCTAAAGAAGTTACCCCTAACTCCCAAGAGCTAGCATGTCTGTAGTTCCGGTTGTCAGCCAGATTGCCTGAGCACTTGTTGGCCATAATTCCTAATTCCAGATAGACAGTGGAGTCGAAAAGACACCTGCCAGACATAAGACGTGTATTTCAATTTTGCTTCCTGGAGGCTACATGCCTACGTTTTCAGGCTACCGCCAGACTGTGGCCGGAACTGACCTGACCTGACCAGATCCTCCTCCTTTTATTGTTCTTTCATGTTTTATTAATTGCTAATGCACTATCGTGGTATGTGCAGGTAAGCAGAGTAATTACTTGGTGTCTTGTGTGCAATCATTTTATATCAAATGGGTCAATTTGTGGTTCTACATAAAAGAGAGGGTTACTTTTTATGCAGCCTGCAGCAGAAGCCTCCAGGCAGGGCTGTCTTGGAGACAGGGACTCTGGTCCACCTCCTGTGACTACGCATTTCCCGTTGATAGGAGAGGGTGTCTGTGAAAACGTCGCTGACTGCTGTGGTTATACAATGGTTCACCTGCAGTTGGTTACTGAGTTATTGAACAGGAACCCCAGATGGGTTTGAAATGAAGGTTACACGAAAGTTTCTCAGCTGAGTTATTACAAAGAACATTAGCACCCAGTGTTTATATGATTGGCGGAACGTGTTGATTATCTTCAAGAAGAGGTCTTGGCTGCAAAGTCACATGGATGGGCAGTTTGTCTTCATGCCGCAAGGTGCCTTGTCTGGGAGCAAACCAAGAGTTTTCCGGGATCTTTTGCTCACACATATAGCTGATGTATTGTGTCTTCTCCAACGCACCCCCTTTGCATCTGCTCTCTCTGCAGAGTGGGCTCACACCCCTACACCTCGCAGCCCAGGAAGACAAGGTGAATGTTGCCGACATTCTCTCCAAGCATAAGGCCGACCTGGATTCTCATACGAAGGTAAAGCGAGTTGCTGTCAGTGCCGCGGTGGCCCCTGGCCTGGCCCGTCCCGAGCCCCTCCTCCTCCGGACTCCATTCTGAATGCATTCTGGTCCACTTCTGCTCACAAATCTAAGGGGCCCCCCATCCTTGCTGGGGTCAAGTCCAGGTGAATAGCAAAAAGATGCCAGTTTCGCAGGCAATTTCGGCCAGTTCTCTGTTACTGGTCAGCTCGTCAAGATGCCTTCTCATTGCTCCAAGGCTGACCCCATGCCCTTGGGCTTGGGAAGTTTTTCCTCTCTCTGCCATTCAGTCTCTCAAGCCCATCTTAGTCACAGCTGTCATGCACCTGGACCTTCCCGCCAGTCAGTTTCTGTTTCGTGTTCTCTGATCATCTTCCTCGGGCCTGTCTCCTAGCTCCTGGTCATATTCAGTCCCACACGCCTCATGTGTGGGGTTAAGTTCCTCATGACTGGGGTGTGCTCTTGTCCATGGGATACATCTAGAAGCTATTGAATAATATTTAGAGAATCACGTAGAATTTCTTTGCATCCTGTCCTAACTGAAATTCTCCTAAGTCTCTCTCCCCTGCAATATCAGCCACTAAAGCAGTACTTACTTTGTTTGGTTTATTTTTTCTTTAATTATTTATAGCTTGGTTACACTCCTTTAATTGTGGCCTGTCACTATGGAAACGTGAAAATGGTCAACTTCCTTCTGAAGCAGGGAGCAAATGTCAACGCAAAAACCAAGGTAAAATATTTGTACTCCTTTTAATTTTCCAGAAGAGTCAGCCAGATAGACTCTTCCCTAGTTCACTGTACTGCGAGGGCAGGCTTTTCATAAAGGATGTCGTTCCTTTGAGTCTTTTCATTGCAATAACCATTGATACCCATGTCAGTTCATTGCAGAATCACTTCTATTACAATGTTAAGGTAACTAACAGTGATTTCACAATTTGCCACTGGGAACCATAGACAAATTGCTATCGTCTGCATTGTTTCAGTTCCTTGGTCCTCTCCCCAACGCGTGTTCCCCTTGGCAGGAAATACAGAAAGGCTCCCAGACCATATGCCTTTCATTTCTAGTGAAATCACTCACATTCAGAGTATCACCTGGCCACCCTCAGAGAAACTGTCATATATAAGGCCTGATTGCAAGTTCTCAAGGACAATGCAGAATGGACTGGTTTCTACCTATTTTCCCAGTGGTCCCTGAAGGGTTCTATTGAGCGAAGCAAGTCAGATAGTTCAGATGGGAGTGTGTACTCCATTTGCTTCAAGAGGAAGCGAAATGCGTAACAGAACTACTGCTATTCTCTATAATATAACTTGAAGCTGCAGACTTCTTGTCCAAAGAAATTTCTATCTGCTTTTTGGTTTTTAGCAATATATACACCTAAATGTGTATATCAATATACACACATACATGTATACATCCATAGACATATATGTATTTGTGATACACAGATTTCAGAAATCTGCCGTTAGAGCTATACAACTACATAGTTAGCGCTACACACACACACATACACACACATGCAATATGTGAGTATATATGATACATGTTCTAACTGCAGTTAAATAGCTATGTGACTTGGCTGATATAAAATCACATGAAATCATTCAGGAGTTTCTGGGATCATTCAAGATGCTACTAGTTAGAAACAAAAGAACTTTTGGAAGCCAGATTTTAATATCCTCTTAGAGGCATGAATATAATCACACCTATATATATTAGCAAATGAATTAAAAATAATTGTCAGCCAGTGTTCCTCCGTAAAGGAGAATGAATTAGTTCAATAAAGGAGAATTAACTACTTCAAGATGCTACTAATTGGAATTATCAGGTACGAGGCCCTCACTGCACTCTTGCTGAGTTAGGTCACCATCTGCAGGGAAGAATGATGTTCTTGGGATCCCAGAATCCTCCCGAGAGGAAGAAGGAGGCCACATCAGGAGACTTAGGCACAACTTCAAAATGTTAATCATATATTTTTGTTGCGTTTAACAGTGAAACTAGAAGCTAAATGTACTATTTAATACCAATGGCTGTCTGGTATTTGATCTGTACCCAAACGTACATTTGGTTGACAAAAAAAATCTCATTTTTAACTTTTTAGGTGTGTATACATGAATTGTGTAGGTTTTAGTTGCTTTTTGGAACTCTGGTTCAGGGGGTGAGTAGATACAATACCTCCAATTATGTTATTTTCATAAACACTGCAGAATCCTTTCACACGGAGTGACATTTTTTTGTGGAAGGAATTATGTTTTCCTCCTCACATCTCATGTGTAACCATAGTGACTTAGAACTTGTTTTGTTGCTATGAAAATGTACTGCCTTTCCTCCTCAAATTTTCATGACTTGGTGTAAAAATCTGGAAAAGTGATTTTGTATTATGGTACTATTAGTTGCTTAAAATGGAAGTGAAACTTTGACATTAGCGAGGGAAAATAGGTTTGGCTAAGTATATTTAATTTGCAAAGAGGGTATAGAACTGCAATGTGAATACAGTACTTTTTTTTTTTTTTTTTTAAATAAGATATACTACAAGAGCTTTTAGAAGCGGGATGGCGGGGATTGGGTGGAGTGAGGAGCCAAAGTGACGTTTGCTAGCACTTTTTGTGCAACTTTAGATTGACGAAGAGTTTCATGAAGAACATAGCCCTTCCCCACCCTTGAAATCTTGGCCATTTCCATTTTATAAATGAGGAAAATTAGTCTAGAGAGGCTCTGGGGTTTGCTAGTAGTTGCTAGAAGAACTAATTCTAGGCAGTGGATTAAGTTTCAACCTAGTGAGTTTTGTTTTTTTTTTAAGTTTTTAAATTTATTTATGCGTATAGAAATGGGGTACAGACCATGGGTGCAGGGGCAGCAAGAGGCTTCACCAGAGGCAGAGTGGGGAGCAGAACAGGCAAAGTAACAAAATACACTGCTGAGGGGAGCAGCGGGCGGGTCAGGAGAGGTCTGCCCCGCCATGTGGTCACCTCTGGGGCAGGGAACCAACTCACACTGAAGTGGCCACAGCTTGGCTTAGCTTCACAGTGTAGCGCCAACCTGCTGAGCCACCAGGGAGGGCCCCAACCTAAGTGTTCTTGTAAGAGCTTCGGGGTCACTCCATCCTCCAACACAAATACCCACGTGTCCAAGCTTCAGTCAGGCCTGGGGCATCTTCTTGGCCACAGTATCCACTCAGGAGTCAGCGACATGTGAGTTACTAGGATAGGAGTCTGCTTTAGCATTATTAATTTATGTAAGCACAGCGCCTCCTGCTTGGCACATAACATGTGGTTAGTAAATGGTTACTGAACATTTTCGCTCAGCTGATACCAAACAGCAGAACGACGGTAACTTTGGTTGGTACTCGCGAATGCCATGGGAAGGAAGAATGTCTAGGAAATAGAATGTCCCTTCATGTCCAGTCCTTCAGTGTCCCTCCATTCCCTGATGGGAAGCAAGACTCCCTGCTAAAGCTCTGACTTTGTCGGAGTCCCTGGGATTGATAGATGGCAGCGGGACTGGGCTCATTTCCTGATAGGGGTGTGTAGTGGTCAGACTGGAGCAGAGGAGGGACGCTTAGACAGACAGACAGACAGACAGACTGTCACAGTGCTCCACCCCCAGGAAAAGGCCACATGAAAGCAAGGAGGGACTATCCTGGCATCTTTGTGTAAACACAGACCCCTCCTCCGTAGTCTATCTCTTTGTTTCTGCTGTTAGCTGCCTTTTTCCTTTTTTTTATTTATTTATTTTTTTGAATTTTGTTCTAACAGTATGGAAGAAAAGTGAAATTTGTATATGCTAAATTGACCAAACTCATAGATCAGAATTTTTCAGTCTATGTGACGTGACCAGAAAGAAGGGCCTTCAGCTCTTCAGGTAGACCAAACCAACAGATTCTCACTTGCACCTCCAGGTAGACAATAAAAGAAGCAGCCTGACAGCCTTTGGCTTTCACAGGTTTGGGACCTGGAGTGACTGGACAGAAATAACACTTGTAGATTTCAGTTTCGTCATTTCTGAAATGGGGGGGGGGGGATGTATTCATTTACTCGGTCATCTGTTCCATCTTCTGGTCATCCATTATGTTTTGAAGCAGTCTTATTTTCAAAATGATAAGAAAGATTAAGAGACAAAAGGTCCAGTGTCTGGCATACAATTGCTTACTGCAAGGTGGGTGTTAGTGTTTTCCTGCCTGCATGGGCCAGTGTGATTTAATTAATTCACCATGTCCCTCCCAGTGAATTTCCAGCAAGGCTGGCCTCACACCCACCTTCTCTGCAATTCTTCACAAATCAAGGATCCCAGGTCTTTCATTTGAGTGAAAGTATAGACCAGAACGTGAAAAAAGAACCTATTTTCAAAGACCTTATTTACTGAAACTGGGTCACTCAGTTCCAGTGAAATTTCCCTTTTTCTCTCTTTTGACCAAGTCTGTTCTCTGGAAGGAACTAACCAAACATCCCTAAAGCTGATGGGAAGGGCAATTACTGGCCAAGTCCCCAGGACCCAACAGTGGTTTGCTGGATCCCCGCAGCTCTGCTTAAATGGTCTTGCGCTTTCCTTTCTCGCCCCTTCCCTCCCTGGGAACCATCCCTGAGATAATGCTTTCCCAGAAACCTTCTTCCCAGTCCCAATTTTTTTTTTTTCCAAGAGTTATTTACTTATGCATACAAGAACTGGGGTGCAGGCTAGAGGTGAAGGGGTGAGAGGATTCACCAGAGACAGAGCTGGGAGCTGAGCGGCCAGATCTACTGAAATACACTGCTGAGGGGCGCAGCCATGAGGCATTAGAGGTCTCCTGTGCCTTGTGGGTCAGCTCCCTGACCGGGGATCCAATTGGTGCTCCAGTGACTGGCCAGAGATGATAGCGCCGCGTCTTTAACTCCTGCGCTACCGGGGAGCCCCTCCCCAGCCCCATTTGTGATGCTTATGGGTTCAGTTCTATTAATCCTTATAGCCTGGAGCCCCTCTTTCAGAAGCAAGACGCCTGTCTTTGTTTAGCGGACCAGAAGGTATGAGGGAGTGTGCCGCTCAGGGCTGGGACCTCGATGATCGCGCTCTCCCCCAAACCAAGCCTGCTGCCCAGCCCTTCAAAGTCAAGGCTAACCTAGTTTTCCTTCTCCCTCTGCTCTGGCTGCCGGGCGCCCCGCCACGCTCACGCACAGAACGGCTACACGCCCCTGCACCAGGCCGCCCAGCAGGGCCACACGCACATCATCAACGTCCTGCTGCAGCACGGGGCCAAGCCCAACGCCACCACCGCGGTAAGCGCGCCCCGCGCGGCCGGCCCGCCCGAGCCCCGCCCAGCGCGGCCCCTGCTCCGAGCTCTCCGGGAAGCCGGCGATTTCTGGAAAGCCTCTGCAGCAATCTGTGTGACTCCGCCCGCGGTGCTCGCCTGGGAAAGGGGGGCGGAGGCCCGCTCGGGAAGTGGGGGCCCTGCACTTGGCGGCTGCGACGCGCGGGGCTTCCAGCTGGCGCTCAGATGTGAGCGCCCGACACCCCACCCTCCGGGCCTGCTGGAGGGAGCTTCGTTTCCGACGCCGCAGCCTGGGACCCCGCTCTTTCTCGGCGGGAGCCTTTGAGATGTAAACGAAGCGGTGCAATTAAACCCGCCGGGATCTCGCCTGGAGGGGGCTGGGTGCGCCCGGAGAGGGGCTCGGGGTGTGCAGCTGCCTGCGCGCTTCTGCACCGCTGGAGCGCCGCGTGTTACTGGCCTCGGGGTGGAGAGACGGTTTACCTGCAGCAGCGGGCCTGGCCTCCGAGGAGGCTTCAGTGGTCCTGGGCTCGCAGAACACTCCACGGAGCGTCCCCCTCCGAGCCAGAGGGACTTCCCAAGCACAATACCGCACTTGTAGAGTTTGACAACCTTTGGGGTGAAAGCAGCCAGGGCTTCTTATTAGAAAGAGCAGGCAGAGGCAAGCTTGTGGTGTTGCCATGGTGACCGGGCTATAGTCTAAAGAAGTTCCACAGACAGAATCGGATGTCATGGTAAAAACTAGTGATTTTCCTAAGCCGTGCCTTGTTTTGGAAGGAAGTGCTGGCTCCTGCGGAGCGCGGGTGAGCTCATTGGCTCCCCCCAGCCGCCCTCCCTCTGGTTCTCACTCTCTCTCTCTCTCTCTCTCTCTCTCTCTCTCTTTCTTTCACTCTCTCTCTCTCTCTCTCTCCCTCTCAGAATGGTAACACCGCCTTGGCCATCGCCAAGCGTCTGGGCTACATCTCCGTGGTCGACACCCTGAAGGTGGTGACCGAGGAAGTCACCACCACCACCACGGTGAGTACTGGACCCCTGGGCGTCTGGGCTGCCAAGCCACTGGCTTCTCACTTTCCAGCTGTTCAGCGCTTTTACTTCGGAACTTCTGGACAGATCTGCAAGTGAGCAGATGGTCGTGCCTGCCCACGGCGTGGGGGTTTCGCGTTTTTGCTCAGAGGAGCGTGAGTGGAGCTTGGAGTCAGGTCTGTTTCTCGCGTGGGCTTCTGGTCTGCTGGCTCCCGGCCTTTTGCGGGAGTTGGGTGTGGCCCCGACTGTTGGCAGCATGCCAGGACGTCCAGGTTCCCACAGCCCCGGCAGGCGGGCGCTGGGGAGGCCACTCAGCTCTGACACCGGGCCCAGTTACTTCCGTGCAGCACAGTCCATCCTAACTTTCTTTGCTGTTACTTTTTTATTTCAAAAGAAAGTTAAGTATGCTTCTAGGAAGACAGAGTATATAGTAAATGTTTTCTTTTGGGGGTTTTGCATGTGACAAAATCGTGGGTGATCCTCAATGCCTGTTGCCAGAAACTCAAGAAGAGTGAAGGATGGGGATAGTGAGTCCCGGGACCCTGGGTCAGGACAAAACTTACAGGGGTCTCTAAGAGGGAGCCCCAGAGGTGAAAACAGCTCTGTTTGTGTTGTTTGGTGACACTTTCCTCAAGCAGGGAACATGCTCTAAGACAACAGCTCTTTCATCTCTCTCTGTAAAGTAGATGAGAGCAGCAGTACAACTCCAAATGTTCTTTACAGTCAGAAGATCGTAAGTCAACAAATAAATTCAGATGAGCGTCCAGTAACGGCCCCCAGTGAGGGAAGAGGCAGAAAGTGTCTTAGAACACGAGGTTCTTGTGATAGATGTGAGAAGAAGGGAGGAACATGGCTCTGAGGCTGGCAGGAAGTCCCCCTCGGCATACTTGGCCGTAAATGGAATACAGTTGATTAGATGTGAAGTTTTAAATAGAACAGAGGATGATTTATTAATGATCTGCAAGACACAGCCTGAGTGTCCATGGGAGGGAATATTGCTGCTTGCTTTAACAAGCAGAATCTTAAAGCCATTGATCAGTCCACAGGATCTTTTTAAAGATGTCAAGTTTTGCTTGAATGAATTACATGGGAGGAAACCACATCAGTGACCAACTAGAACTGTATTCCTGAGCCACTCATCCACTCATCTGGATGAGCCTCGTGGCTTTTGTCTTATTAAGTGATTTCTTCTATCAGGAAAATCTTCACATGAAGAGCATGTACATATATGTCTTCCTGTGGCATCTTCGAAACAGTGTATGTTACAGATAATATTACAGTGTATATTACACAGTGAAGCCCTGAGCGGCAATATTGGCCAGGAACATCTCGGTTCTTAGAAATCCCCTCTTATGTCAACTTCTTTACCTTGCCAAGCCCTGGTAATCAGCATGTGCATTTTGATCAAGTTACCACTAGATGGCGTTCGCGAATTTCTGGCTACTTGTGTGTGGGTGGGGGGGGGTGGTCTTGACCTGTTTTTCTTACTTTCGTCTCTTAACGAATTCATTCCTTCACTAGTTGCTGGATGTTGAATGCATCTGGAGTCTGGGCAGGGCACTGATCAATTCGCTGATTAGTCGATCAGTGAATAAAAGATCACTGCTCTCCACCAGCAATAGTAGGTCCTTGGGAATGGAGCGCGAGATAGTTTATAAGAAAATCAGCCCTATAACACCAAAACTTTAGAAGCGAGATGGTTTATAAGACAATCAGCCCTATAACACCAAAACTTTAGAACTTATGTGTCCAGTCTCAAAGAGAGCTCACCTTCATAAATATTACAAGGAGTGAATGATTTCACAATACAGATCTATATTTAAAAAGTGTAGCTAGTAGCTTTCTTTAACGAGTTCTCAAATTTGTTAGAAAATTTGACTCCAGCACCTGTAGCCCTGGGGGTATAAAAACATCCTCTTCAAATTCTCTGTAAATGCCTTTCTTTTCTGAATATGGTTATTCTCCATGCTGTCTAGCTGAGCCGTGGTCCAACAAAAACCTCTGAATCTAAAAATGAACTTGGAGGTGAGAAGCCGCTAACAAATTTAAAACATAAGAACATTTTGCTTTCCCTTGAGATCCTAAGAAGTCTCCACCTTCGTTAACTAAACAAATAACCTCTTTTTCTGAGCCACATGTTTTCAAGCTGCCTTGTGTCTCTTACAATTAGAACCTTTTCTTAGAATTGTGAGTTTTACTGTTTTGTGCAATGGAATCTGAGGGAAGGATTGGAAATACGGACTTATTCCTGCCTGGCAGCGGGTCATCTGGCTTTGCACTTTCTCCCTTTGGGAAAAAACTTTTATTCATGCCTTCTCACATGATCATTTCATGAATGGCAGTCTGCGTAATAACTAATCAGTAGTAATCCTCAGTTACAGACATGCCAGGCATTGTGGACAAATCTGGCATTCAAGTTTAGGTTGTCAGACTCCAAAGTGCGGGTTCTGGCTGCTCTTGCCCACTGATTCTGGCTGGGCTGAGAGCAGTTTCACAGAAATTTTGTGAAAGAAATCTTTCCTGTTGATTATTCATTTAAAAAGCCCAAGAAAGGGCCCTCCGTGGTGGCGCAGCGGGTTAAAGCACAGCACTAAGAAGCTAAAGCCACTTCCGCAGGAGTTGGATCCCCGCCTGCCCCGGTGACCACATGGCGAGGCAGACCTCTCCTGACCCGCCTGCTGCTCCCCTCAGCAGTGTACTTCGTCCATCTGCCTGTTCTGCTCCCCACTCTGTCTCTGGTGAATCCTCTCACCCTCCGCATCTCTGGCCTGTACCCCAGTTCTGTCTGAATAAATAAATCTTTAAAAAAAAAGCCCAAGAAAATAGTACTTTTCTTGGTTTTCCAGGGAAGCCTCCTCTCCAGTTGTATCATTTCCTGGCCTACAGATTAACTAGAGATGATTTGCACCTCCTCACCGAAGGTAGACAAATAGCACACAAGATGATTTGGTCATTGTGTGAAAATCACTGGAATGCACGTCCTTGCCCTGGAAAGGTAGTGGGATACAGTCCACTCTGCCATCGTTGGAGCCATAGGAGGCCCCATGTGAAGAGCCAGGAGGCTCCCCTTTCATCAAGAGACTTTTCCTGTGCTCACGCTCCTTCCAGTGTTCTTCACAGCATGAATAAAATCAGTGTGTGCAGAGAGAAGGAAAGCCGTTTGAAACAGAAAAGCCACTGCCGCAGAAATGTCTGGGGCATTTTGGAATCGTGGTTTGTTTCCTGAATCCTGGCTTTCCTAACTTTTTTGGGTAAGACTCAGCAGGAGGTGAGACTGTTGAGCCTTCTCCTGGGATTCTGGTTCCCTGGGGCTTGCCAGAACAGATATCAGTGACAGGGTCACATTCTTAGAAGCAGAAACGAACAAGCCCTGTTCCTGCTGCCATTCGGAAGATGGTGCGTGACGGCTTCTGCTGAGCAACAGGTAGTTATTTATATTATTTGCACCATTTAGAGCCACGATGTTGGGGTTTGCCGGTCACCTGGGCATGGGGAGGATAAACTGCTGAACTAAAGTAAAAATGGTTGTTTCTCGTTATCTTCTAACCCTTGGGCAAGTTCTCAGGCAGCAGTTAAGAAAATGTGAACATCCAAACTCTAAATCTTACCTGATGTCATCGGTGAGTTAAAATGTGAATCATCCATCAGCAAGTCCTTTGTTACCTTTTGAGGGGGAAGCCAAGAGCTTTTCTTTGACAAAAGGCCCATTCACCAAAGACACATTGTTTTTACGAAGAACTTCCCTTCTACATAGTGTAGTGTCAGCCAATCCTCTATCTCTCTATAAAACATTTTCCATCCTGTGTATGAGCCTACAGACATACTATGCTAAGTATAGAAATTTTTATTTTTTCTGTAGAAGAACTGGGGTGTAGGTCAGAGGGGTTGGGGGGATGATTGGATTCACCAGAGACAGAGTGGGGAGCAGAACAGGCGGATCTACTGAAATACACTGCTGAGGGAGACAGGAGCGGCCTGCTGCACCCTGTGGGTCACCTCTGGGCTGGGGATTAAATCAGGCCATATTAGTGATAGCGCTGAGACAACCCCTAGGCCACCAGAGAGCCCCCCCCCCCTTTTGAAAGTTTTCGATGCACATTTTCCATCCGCTGATCTTGTCTCAACCACACCTAACTGAGTGGCAGTTACTTTAGTGACTCATCTGGGTTGACTCTGTTCACTTCTCTTTGTTTTCAAACCATTTACCTTACTTTTTATAGAAAAGCGTATTTATGTAATATTTCATTTATCGCCAAAAAATCATATTAAGTGCACCGTGGGTGCTGTGACTCCTAGGGTCGCTGCCACTGAGTGTAGGCACAGGAGGTGACATTCTGGCCAGGGAGAGGGCCGTGTGCGTGTGTGTGTGGTGTCGGGAAAACATGGCCACAAAGGAAACGGGGGGAGGGGCGGGGGGGATCTTGAGGTTCCTTTGCATTGTGCAAACAAGATTATTACTATTTATAAAGCAGTAAGTTCGAAGCCTATTTTTCTTCTTTTTGTTTTTTTACCTCCCCCTAAATGTTACAAACTCGTCACTCATTATTCACTCCACATCTGTCATATTCTATTTGCTAGGCCAGAAGAGCTTACTTAATTACATCCTATTTAACTTGCCCACAGCACACTGCTCATTTCCACTTGCGAACTAAGTTCTAATCGTGACCTTAGAGTCTTATGTTCTATTGGGCGGGATGGCCCTGATCATCTAATTATATCCTTGCTTTCTCTGTTCTGTGGCGCTACAGTAGCATAAGCGTGTTTATGGTTGTTGAACCACTATTCAAAGGACATTCCACTTAAAAGGACAATGTGTTTTCAATTTTTACAACATTACTCATAAGGGGGAAGTCTTACTTAGCATCCCCACGACAAATATTTACTGACGACCTTCTAAAGGTCAAGCCCTGGGTTGTGTGTGATGCATGCTATCTTACGACAGTGCACAGAGAGGACATTTTAACATCCAGCCAGAAAAACGTCGACACCTATCTGATCACTGTGTCACTCCATGTGGGGTGCACGACATTGCTGATGGTAACTTTGGTCATATTCACTGACCAAACTAAGGCATGGTTATTTCCTTTTGTATGAGGGCAAGCAAAGAAAGGACCCACCCTCTGCAGCATCTGCCCGGAGAAATTGAGAATGTCAGTCAATAAAACAGCATCACTTGAAGAGGGTTGCTGTCAGTTTTCAAATGAAGACAACGATTATGAAAATGTTACCTGTAAGGACTTGAGGATGTTTCTATAAGGATGATGTGTGAGAGATTGTCATCACTCTTCAGACAAGTCTCCATCATCTACACAGCAAAGCTTAAGCACCTTAACTGCCTATTTATTGTGGTTCTGTGGCTTAAGTTGAACATCTCATTCTCATGTTAACAGATTCTTTTTTTTGTTTGTTTTGTTTTCATAGGAGTGCTAAGTGATGAACTTAATACACTTTTCCCTACAGAAACTTGGGGAGATGGCTTGGAGACTCAGCTGTCCTTAGATGATCTTTAAAGTCATGACAGTCAAATATATATTAATCACTGGGCTGTCTCTGGTATATAAAACGGTGCCTGGCACATAGTAGGCATGCATAATGTACCTGGGTACCTCCATCAGTCCAAAGTCACAGGCCCTTCGTTTTTAAGATTAAAAGGAATCTTCAGTGATGTTGATATGCTAGACAACATTGAATATTGCCAAGCAGTGAGCTCTGTTCCAAAGACTTTTTATCATTTTTATTTCATTTCATCATCATCATTGATGTAGTAGTCTCAGAATCTCCATTAGAGATGCGGAAACTGAGGCCCAGAGAAAAAGGGAATTTTCTAAGACTTTAAGGTGTAGGGTGAGGACCCGACCCCGACACTCAGACTCCGGAACTGAGTTCTCAGCCACCCTCCATCATCAGGAGTGGAAGGTAAAGGCAGAGAAGCAATAAAGCCGTGTTGCAGCCCAGTGAAATGCTACCAGGATGAGTGATGTCTGCAGCGGATCATCACCTCCCAAGAGAGACATCGTTTTCTGCCCCAAGAGTTAATGCCTTTCAAGTTGCTTGACCTTCTCTTCCAAGGCTTTGTTTTTAATGACTTGTGTATGTCCACTGCTTTTTTTTTTTTTTTTTTAAGATTATTTCTTAATGCATACAGAGCTGTGGGTACAGGCCAGAGGTGCAAGGGCGGTGAGAGGATTTACCAGAGACAGAGTGGGGAGCAGAACAGGCAGATCTATGAAGTACATTGCCAAGGGGAGCAGCAGGCAGGTCAGGAGAGGTCTGCAGTGCCATGTGGGTCACTTCCAGGGCAGGCAGGGTTCGAACTCATGCTGAGGTGGCTTTAGCCTCTTAGTGCTGTGCTTTCACCCACTGCATCACCAGGGAGGGCCTCACTGCTTTTTTTTTAGAACTCTTAGGGAGACATTATTAACTTCATTTTAGGGAAGTCCTGAAAACATTACTCTGATTTCCTACTACTATGACTAATTATTAGCCCTGACTACTGCATGTGTTTTTCAAATGAAATGACTTTCTTCTGCACAACAAAACTGTAGTAAATGCCCATTTGTTTTTAGACGGAACAAATAAGTTTCATGACAGAATAAGTGAATAAGCTTCTGAAACACTCTTGCGGAAAGGGGCGCCTCCTTGTAGCCTGACTGCTCCCCGATACTGTTGACCGGGATGTCTGTGATCCTCTCGATCTTTGTTTGGATTTTGTTTCTCACTTCAGTACACCTGATTTTTGTCTTTTCAGACTATTACCGAGAAACACAAGCTAAATGTTCCTGAGACGATGACTGAGGTTCTTGATGTTTCTGATGAAGAGGGTAAGACATTCGCACAACCTTCCTTGACACCTGCAAGGATCTCACCCAGACAACACCTTTTTCCAGGGACCAAGTTGGGTGTGGATGAAAGCATCCTAGCATTTAAAATCACTTCTCTGCCTTTCTTTCAATATGCTTACTTTCATTGCTGGGCGAAAGTAGATTCTGATTATTTTCTCTTGATACTGGGTTTAATTTCTTACCAAACAACAAGAAAGGGAAAAAGGAAAGAAACTGAAAATTGCAGTTCAAGTATCTACTAGAGGAACAATTATTTTTGAAATAGAGGATAACTTTTTTATGACCTCAGGGTTTCTTAAAATAAAAGTTATACATCTTAAAATCCATACTTTCCAATAATTATTGCTAGCAGATGTTTTCATTATGTTAAAACTCACTTTTTATTTAAAGGTCTGGAATGACTTTAAAGTTTACTCCTTCGCTGGTGTTTTGAAAGAGCTTTGCGTTCTGATTGGTTCAAATATACAGAATCTATTTTAAATCCAGAGGAAAAGAGGTTTAAGAGAGGGCAGAAATGTAGACATAGCTAGCAGTAACTCGTGCAAATTCAAAAGAAGAATTGGGTTGAGTCAGAAAATGTGCCCTATAGATTTTGGGAGATAAAAATGAGCTAAGGCAGTGGATGTCCCGGTTCCCTTCAGGGAGCAGTGGGGTTTTTCCCGTGGGGTGGACAGCATCCTATCTCTGCTTCTACTGAAGCAGCTGATTTTTCTTGAATAGAGAAAATGTACTAAAAACTCATGAAGCAATGCATAAAACGTTTTGATAGTACAGCTACGGCCAGCTGTATTGTTTAAGCAATATTCAGGTACCTCACTAGTGCATTTGTTGGAAAATCCTCTCCATAAAGGATGGCACTGGGCCCAATAGTAATCACTTCATGGAGATGTGCTAAAGATATTTCTTTAGATTCTTCAAGATTTAATCATATAGTAAAGCTTTATGTTGATGTTCTTGTTTTGAAGCAATTTCTTAAATCACCTATTGATAGGAGACATGGGTTGTCTCACTTTCCTAAGAACTTCAAACAAGAGAGTGGACAGATGTTGGGTTAATGAATGATTGTGTGTGAAGGGATAGTTCTGGATAAAGCCAGAAATTCCATGTATTTATTAGAAGATAGTGTTACCTTCCATTCTAATACTTGCCAGCTAATCTTCAGCCTCCATGTAAACACACCATATTTTGTTTTGTGGGCTCATCTTTGTTACCTTTACTTGTATATTGAACAGCTCTTAAACAGTTTGGTGACCAGTTTGTTGATGGGGAAGCACTTAGCGATTCAGGTAACTTTAGAGGAAACTGTTGGGGTGAAAGCTCTTCTGTGCTTTTAATTTTTTTTCTAAACTCGCTAATCTGCTTCTTTTGAAATAGCATGTTTAATATGGATGGAATGGTGTGGTGTATGTGCATTCAAGTGTATGGATTTTATTAACCTGGTATCTTAATGACAACCATTTATATTATTAATGGTTTTGCAACTAATATTAAAACCTATCACCATAATTATATCATCAAATGAACGTAGTTAATATAGGTCTTCTTAGCAGCAGATTATATTGTGAATGTGGGAAAAATAAATTAATAGTTACAATGTGAAGTTTTTTAGTAGCTAGGAATACTGATAAGGGAAATTTTAACAATTACCTAAGGTGAACTTTTGCAAATAGGCAAAGTATATAATTTAAAATAGTAAATCTAGGCACTGATTGTTATTTAACTTAAAATTCATTCTGATTTTCACAATATTTGTTGGACAGTACCAATAGCTAATACATTCAGGACATTCATTGGGTTTACAGAAACCCCATGTCTATGAAAGAGCTTTTTGCACCTACCCGTTGTTTAAGGTCTAGGTACAACTATGCTATATAAAAGTTATTAGTGCTAGGAACTATTGATTTGACAGGAATATTGGCTAATGAGCAAGAATTTCTTTCTTGCTGAGAAAAGTTTTCCCTTTTTATATGTAGCCAGCAACTTAATAATGGTATTTTCCCCACAAAGAAATGCCAACTAAATAATTTGTATGTATAGGGTATATTGGAATATTGCAAAGTAACTTTCTAGTACAAAGAATTGGTATAAAGAAATGTGTCTGCTTGATATGACCAACACTTTCATGTTGTGTGCGGTTAAAGTGTCTTTATGGAAGCCTCCATAATTCCCATGGACGGAGCTAGCCACATGTGTGGAATGTTCTAGCCAATCTCTGTTGTCTTCATAGCTCTACTCTTTTTTTTTTTTTTAGATTTATTTATTTATGCATACAGAACTGGGGTACAGGCCAGAGGTGCAGGATTCACCAGAGACAGAGTAGGGAGCAGAACACGTAGATCCATGAAGTACGCTGCAGAGGGGAGCAGCAGGTGGGACAAGAGAGGTCTGCTGTGCCATGTGGGTCAGCTCCCTGGCAGAGGAATCTTAGTTTCCATATATCAAAACGTGCACCTCACCTTAAATGCCAACACAAGACAGTAGGTTGGAGTCTGCACAAAACTGTTTGGAATACTTGGACAATACAACAAAAGAAAAAGATCCTCTCAGTCCTAGAACCTGGAAATCAGAATTCTTTGAAGCTCATAAATAGGATGTGATGGGGAGAGTTACCCTGAGAATAGGAAATTCATTTCAGTTTGGTTATGATGGAAGACGATAGGGTTCGGTTTTCACTCATTGGTTACACATCAAACAAATCAGTTGATACAAGGGCGTATGTTAGCGGCCAATCGTTCTTTCACAAGCTTTCTGAGATGCAAATTCCTTTCCGTGTCTAGTAGAACTCTACTTAAACCAATAAGATCTAACAGCTTAAATCCAAGCTCTATTTTAAAACACATCTTCATCCCTCTTCCCCCCACTTGGCTTGAGGAGGGATGTATTTGTACTCTGTGCTCATGTAGGGAATTTACAGAGAGAAACAGATGGGCAGAGGGCGGGTGGGGAAGAAGATGAGTTCTGTTTTATATGTGCTAAATCTGAGCTGCTTAAAAGAAATTCAGGTGGCGAAGTCCAAGAGGCAATTGAAGTGTGACTGGAGTTAGTGAGAGAGGCCACGGATATGGAATTGTGTATTGGCAGGATAATAAGAGGGAGGGTCAGCTGGAGGGTCAGATATATCGTGTATTGGCATAAACATGATGAGAAATATTAACCTTCTGGGAATATGGAGGGAGAGGAAACTCACAAAAAGGGGAGAAGATCAGGAGAAATTTGTGGCCGAGAAAATTGGGAGTGTCGTTTTCCAAAGAAGGGCCAATTTTGTGCATTGATTACTTTGTAAAAATGGGAGAATGAGTTGGATAGATTTGACTGTGAAAGGAAGAGGAGTTGGACTTTGAATTGAGGCAGATTGGAGAGTTGGGGGGAGAGTTGCTGTTTCTCATAGGTAACAAGAACATGGACCATGAACATGACGGGAAGGACCTAAGGGCGCAGCGAACATGCTGTCTCGGGGCATGGAGAAGTAAGGGCGCAAGGCAGGGTGGGTTCACTTTGGCCCGGCAGTAAACACCTCACCTTCCCAGACAGGAAGCAAGGCCTGGCTGTCTTATTTTCTGGACACATTGAACACACTTCAAGCTTTGAGTTATCTGTAGAATTTCCTGCTTCTGGACCAACTATTGATTCTGTGAGCCAAACCTGTAACACTGGTCTTCAGACTTGGAGCTAAACTTTCTTCTTTCTTCCTTCTTCTTTCATTCTGGCTCATAAACCCTTTTATGTCTACCAAGGGATGACACAAAGGGGAGACAGGAGGAAGAGCACAGAAACCTGTAGTGTACTTTATTAATGAGTAGAGTACTGAGTAATTTTAAGAACCAAGAAATTGAATATTTTGGTTTGTATTTCTTCCCTGTAACCATCTTGGCTGCTAAGAGATTGCAGTTAGAGCTGGCTTTGAGGAAAAGCTTGCTGAAATGCAAAAGCAAATTGACTCCAAGGATGGGCAGGATGCTCTAACTGGGCTGGTACTAGGAATTTGGTAGCCCAAAGCACAGCTCAATAGTGTGAGATTCCTAGTGGGGTAGTGGAGTGGAGTGAGAGAGAATATTCAAGCAGTCTTTGGATTTTATTGTTTTTGGTGGTCCCTGGCTCAAAGGCATCAAATACAATTTGTTTTGCATGACAAATCCTACATCCAACCATTCCCTTCTCTGTAACATAAATAAGAGCAGACTTAGTCTTCCCAAATCATAACAGTATTCAAAATGAGGCTTTTATTCAAAAGTTAGGCTTTTATGCAAACCCAACGCCTTTATTTTGGTGAACCAATTCTTAGACTTGATCTTATTTTATCTGTCCCAGAAATAAGCAAAGGGACTCCACTTATTTGTGTCATAAAGACACTCCTCCATCAAGATTTACCTAATTATACACGAGGCAGGAAAGCATGGAGCGAATGAAAAGGCCCACAACGAAATTCCTAAACATGCTGGTCTTGTCCCTCTGTCCAGATACCCAGCTTTCTTCCTGGACTTTCTGTCCTTGCTCAGCAACATGAACACTTCTTGTTGCCCAACCACTGCACTTTGTCTTCTCGACGGGAGGAATACACAGAGCTCTCACTTGTGCTGCCTTTATCACCCTCCATCACCCCTCACACACTAGCCTCTCACCTGAAATGCCATTCTCTCCCCACCCACAAGCACCCAGCCCTGTGCCCAGCCCCAGCTCCTTCTTCAGCCTTTCTTTCTGGGTTCCTCTGGGATTTTCCTCCCCACACACGTCACCACAAGCCTGGTGATTCAGATTTATTCTCTCCCACTTCTGGAGGCCAGAAGTCCATTGGCCATGGCAATCCCCAGAGCTCCAGGGAAGAATTCCTTGTCTTGTCAGCAAGGCTTGATGTTGCTTGGCCTGGGACAGGTCACTCCAACCCACGCCTTCCTGTGACCTTCTCCTCTCGGTCTCTCTGTGCCCTTTCCGAGCTCCTCTGTGAACGTTCTTGTTGGATTTACCCAGCATGACTTCATCCGATGTTTACTTACTGCATCCACAAAGAGGAAGGCCAACTAAGGCCATATTTTGAGGCTCCAGGTGGAGTGATGCTGCTCATCCCACACTACCAGCTTAAAGGGTGTGTCTTCTTCCTCCGACCTTTTTGGTTATGAAAATGGCCTGACATGGTGTGTGTTGCGTCAGACGATATAGTTGCTGATCCTTGGCTTGCCCTGTCATCCCGTCTGGCTGTGTATGGAGCACTTTGAAGAAGACAGCATAGGCAAGGATGGGGGCACCACTTCAACAAACTAACTGTTTAAAAATGTAGCCCCAGGCCCTCCCTGGTGGCACATCGGGTTAAAGCACTGCACTATGAAACTCTCCAAAGCCACTGCAGCACAAGTTCAAGCCCCCACCAGGGAGGTGACCCACATGGTGCAGCAGACCTCTCTTGACCCGCCACTACTCCCCTCAGCAGTGCATTTCAGTAGATTTTGCCTGTTCTGCTCCCCACTCTGTGTCTGGTGAATCTTCTTATCCATCACACCTCTGACCTGTACCCCAGTTCTGAAAGCATAAATAAATAAATCTTAAAAAAGAAAAAAATGCAGCCCCTTCACATTTGCATTGTCAGATGAATGAAATATTTCAGTGGAATACAATTACTTGTCTTTATAATACATGCTTTTTTTCAAGAAGTATCTTTCCATGAATGAAATTTTACTCAGGTTTTCTTTTTTAGGTTGTCACCGCTTAGACCATTTCTTTATTAACAAACAATTACTAGCAATTACTATCTCCCTTACTCATTCTTAAGTGTTTCCTTATTCAACTCATGTAACTGCTTATGAAGTAGCCCCATTTCCTAGATTTGGAAACTGAGGAACAGAAAGATTAACTGACCAGTAAATAGTCGAATTAAATTTGAACCGGTTCTACATGTAATCATTCCTATCTGTGTCCTAACTCATTTGAATGATGTCACTAAAGGGACAACAAAAAAGAAATTTCGATGTCACGACTGGGAACCATCAAATATAAATGCACTGATTGCAACACAAAAATCTGATAGTGAATAAACCATGTCTCTATTTGCTGTAAGTTTTTGTTTTGTTTTTTTTTTTCAAGCTTTTTTAGACTTTTAAGTAATTCTGAGAACTAATGAGCTTTTGACATATGCCTGTGCTTACAGGGTTCTAGAGAGAGACGTAATGAAATGGGGAAGACATGTAATTTTTTCTAAACCTTTAATACTACATCTTCATTTAAAAAGGTCCTACTGATTAGAACTATTATTTTGTATTATTTTTATTTTTTTTTTTTATTTTGTATTATTTTTATTTTTAATAATATAATAGCTTATTTTTACATCATTTTGTGCCTTTTTCCATCTCAGTTATACTCCCCAGGGGCTTCCCATTGCATTAATAATTAACATATATGTAGCATTTCTGTTATGTATACAGAAAGGTGGTATCAATTGCTGAATGTGAAATCTGCAGTTTTGAAAACATCCTGTGTAAGTTCGTGAGCAGAGGAGGCGCCCTTACCATTTGGGGTTCCAGATGTGAGCCTGAGACTTAGCCACCTCTTTCTATCACTGCTCAGTTACTCACTTGATTCTTCTCCTTCCCTCTCCCCGCCACCCCTCCACCTTTACCTACGGGAAGCATCCAGTTTCCAAAACAAAAACAAATCCTTTTCATACTCTGTCTTTAAAATTACATTCCAGGTTGCTTGTTAAAATGTCACAATCTGCTCGCTTCATTCGTGTGCTCTTTCTGTGGTGTGCATGCGTTGTTATGGTTATAAGTTGTGTTATTATCTCATTGACTATATCTGCTATGTGCTTTGGAACAGTAGACTTTCTTTAGCATATTGCCAAATACCTGGAGAGACTTCTAATGCGAACATTATGCACACAATTATTAAAACTCTGTCTAGAATACCTCTATCTACAGATTGGGCCAGTTCTGATAACTAAGATAAGCTATAAAACACCTCTCATGATAAAGAGACAGCGAGGCAAAAAATCTGACTGACAGTGAAAAGAATGGCAATCTGGGTAATTATTTCTTCTTCGCAGTTCACAGGGAAGCACATCAGCTGTAGTTTCTCGAAGGGCCAACACCACATTAGCACGTGTTTCTTCAAGGTGCAGTGCTCCAGTGATGTCAGTCTGATTACGCTGACTTATCACGGCATTTTCTAGTTTCTACTTTAAAAAAAATTCTCTCCCCTCTTCCCTCTGGTTGTTTCCAGGTGATGACACAATGACAGGTGATGGGGGAGAGTACCTGAGACCTGAGGACCTGAAAGAGCTGGGTGATGACTCTCTGCCCAGCAGTCAGTTCCTGGACGGCATGAATTACCTGCGCTACAGCTTGGAGGGAGGCCGCTCTGACAGGTATTCACCCAAAGCTTACCCGTGACTTCACGCAGAAATGGTGCAGTGTGTTTTTGTGACAGTGATTGATGAAAGGTAGACATGGTGATCGGGCACGTAGTGGGACCTGTTCTTTCAGCAGTTAGCATGATACTGAATTCATGAGCAGTGTTTAAAAGCACTCATTTGCAAGAACAGCAAATGGAGGCAAGTGGCAATTATAGACAATTCCAGTGCCCTGGGCTTTATTTTTCGTTAGTGCCATATGTTCCGTGAATAAAGGTATGTTGGGAAAGGGACTGAAAAGAATAAATTCAGAAGGAAACTTCTTGGCACTGACTTATTTATAAAAACAAATCAGAATAGAATCCTATAAGAAGTTTCATCTAAAAAATAATCTGAGCAAAATCTGAAAGAACTCAGATCTTAAAGACAAATCTGGGGAGGTTTGTGTCATATTCTAAAATACAAGAGCAGTGGTGTTTTTGTTTTGTTTACTGCTTTTAGGGTAGCACAGTAGCAGCACTGGTGTTGTTATTTTTGGGGGACAAACTGAGTGAGAACACTTTATCCTTCCTCGTTACAAATTCAACTGCAAACTTAGGATCAATATGTAGTTGTCCATGTATTATAAAGGCTTGTGCTGATCGGTCATCTCAAGTTTAGAAGTATTTTTTTTTCTCTGCTCATTGCAAAGCTGTGTGTAATATATTGAGAATGTACAAAAGAAATAATTTAGAAATAAATCCATTTTAATGAAGAGTTAGCAAAATCCAAGAGTTTCTTGGGTCTGTTTTCTGGAGATCCGTGCCCCATTTCCTACCCTGTTTTTGTGCATGGAATGACAAGCCACATTTGTGGTTGTGCTGGAGGTGCAGACCCAACTGAGGTTGGGTCTACTGGGGTGGGGAGAGACTCAGCCAGTGACGCCGCAGAGCGTGGCTGTGGCTATGGCTCAAGGTCACCATAGGCGAGGAGCCCGAGTGAGACTGAATGCATTTGCAGCCTTAATAATATCACGAGCAAAGGCTCCTATGGGTGTGAGAAGCAGAGCAGGGTGGTATTGTTGGCATGTATGTGTGATGGAGGGTAGTCGTATTGCATTTTGCATGGACCGGACCCCTCTGACGTGGAGATGGAGGATAAATTTTGGAGTACAGTTATGAAATTGTTAAACCCGACATTTGGGACTTTCTGATAAAATAATATTAGTTGAAGTTGTTGAGAAAGGATTTGAACACTAACCTTGTTAGTAGCATTCCGGAGGCGAATTTGAGAAGTGAAACATTTGATACATCTACAAGGAAAAACTAGCCATATTTCGTGAGGGGTTTCATGGAGCAGTGAAGAAGACAAAGGAAATTAGGTGGACTCCTTGGCTTCGATGACTTAATAGAGGGTGATCCTTGCAGTGAGAGTATAAAAGGGGGAAGGCCTCGGGGTGGAGTGGGGGAGATTGGTGTTAAGGAGCTTGAGTTCCAGCTGTTGAGTTTCTGGATCCCCTGAGACTCCTGGATTTTAATAGAATTGAATTATTAGAAGACTTCACATTTCAGTAAAATGAAACCATTTGATTGGCACAGATATTTGATACTCTCTGAATAATCACATGACTGTCTCCAGAAAGTGTCTCTCTTCACCATGGTGTCTTTGACGATGAAGAAATGTCCAAAATGATCATTTCGCCTTCTCTCACAGCATGTAGGTTGAGTAAGACTTAGAACAATAGATCCTCTAAAACAGAAGTCAGTGGTTTGAGGATTCTCCTTAAACTGAATCCTTAAAGCAGGTCAGGACAGGGGACAAAAAGACACGCCCGCTTCTCCAGGACCACACCTGCACATCATGATCTTCAGGATGGAAATACAGGCGACACTTCCATGGTTTCCCATTTTCATGGTTTTCTTGTTTTTTTTTTTTTTTTAATTTTGCTTAGACAATCAGTGTTACCTTTTTTCAGTAACCATGTTCCTTTTCATTATCTCTTTATTTGGTATGCTTTCAATAGTATCATGCCCAGGTAGGTATCACATAGCATGACATCATGCCTTCCTGGACACATCCTCATCCATGCTCACTGCTCCATATGTGCGTGTGGTGATGTTCTAGAATTATGGATTTCTTTTCAAATTAGGATTGTCATGCATGAAATTGAAGGACCATTTGATCTAGAAGAGGGTGACGATCCAGGTATAATGTTGTTTCGATCGTCACAGCTCCACCTTGTGGTGGATAAACAGTTTCCGGCCCTGCATTAAAGATCAGTTCTACCTGGAGACCAAGCGTGTCTTATAGCTCAGTACTTCATGCAGTCTTTGTACTTTGCCTTCCTATAAATCTGGCACCATTCTCTGTATAAAAATCACAACCTAAATCTCTGAATTCCAAAGCCGTGGATAGATTATGTAATTAGCAAAACAGTGCCCCGTAGAACTTGGTGGGGAAAACGGTTGAGCCGATAGACAAGCTAAGCCAGTGCTTTCAAAAGGTTGACCCCCGCACCTGGTTTTCTCCCATTCACCCTATTCAAGCCGGGGAGCTGGGGCTGCCTGGTGTAAAATATCAAGCAGATCCTTGCTGTCTCTGTGGCTTAAGGTGGGGAGAAGCCAGGGAAGGGGAGGGAAATCAGTCAGTTCAATGAGGCATGTTTTTGCTGTTACTAAAGACCCTTATCCCCTCAATAATTTAATTCCCTTTCTTCCTCAATGTCAAGGCCAGGCCAAGGATAGTCACAGCAACTGGCAGCTTGTTTATCAAGTGGGCCATCGCAAGCCTGCTACAAAGCTGTAGGGCCAGCTGTAATGTAAGCTGTCTCGAGCAGGCAGGCCCTGCCCCACTTGTTGAGTTTCCTAGGACTTTAGGGTGCTCTGCCCCCACCTCGTTAAGATCCTTCATCTTCTCCAGGAGTCCGTACCTCATAAAATAACCCCCAAACTTTATTTAGGTCTCGTTATGTGATAAATACATGGATTTGTACAGATATTAGCACATAGCTTGCCACTGACCCTCTAATATTTGAGTTCCATTTTGGAGCCATAAAACTTACAGTGGAATAGGATGAAGACTGTATTAAATCACTATGAATTCCTTACCAAGTGATGATTTTCTCCACATAATTGGAGTTGGCTTTATTGGCACTTTATAAAGATGACAGTGCATGACTAACAAATCAGATCTGTTTGCCAAGTAAGAATGGTTTCTAATAAAAAAAAAAAGCCAACTTAGCCATTTAATCCATAATTCTACAGTGTTTCACTGCCCAAATACCTACTAGCTAAAAAGCAAGTGAAAATGTGCTTCTATAAATACTGTGAAAGCTTGCTTATTTCCCCCCTCCCTCCTGATATGGGCTTTGGGCTATTTTTTTTATGATATTAAATCATTAATTTTTGGATAAACATATTTAAAATATAATCTTGAAGTCATCAGTCTGTCCCTTGATGATCCAGACTGATGAGGAAAGAAGAAATTTCCATCTGTGCGAACGTCAAGTTTTACCCATTGCACTGGAGTCTCTAATCCAGAACTTTGAAATTCAGACAGATCAGAAATGCAGAGCACTGATTCTCAAGGCCTAAATCCCATGTGGAAGCCAAACCTCACTTTGCTCGGTGTGCACCGGCAGTTTGTTTCTGTGCTGGCAGCTGTGTCTGCGTTCTGCGTTGGCGCTTAGAGACTGTTCCTTTCGCGCTCGCCTCTCATCGCCACAGCAACCAGCTCTCTGTCTGCTTCACTCACACACACAGGACATGCAGAGGGAAAGTGCTGTCCTTTGAAACAGCATTGTTGGAGACACCAGAGACAAACAGGAGAACTCCACTTCCCCAGGAAGCATGCATCTGGCCACAGTTCATTTCGCTCTCCACCTTCCAGGGGAACACACCCACACCCCATCACCCACAGCCTGCAGCGCAGGGGCGAGAGGCTTGGACAAAATGGACAGTGAACGAAAATGAAACCTGTGCTTTCCTTTTGTATTCTCCCCTCCCCCCGATCCCCAATATGTCTCTTAGTGGGCAGCAGATCAACAGTGAACACCGATTTCAGCCCCCCTCGCCTGCAGTGATTTCCTCTCTGTAGCTTCTGTCCTGGCAGGGAACAAAGTACAGTTGCTGGTTTCAAACATTTCTGGGAAGAAAATGAATCAGATTAGGAGTATCAAGTTTTCACTTCTGGATTCCCTTGTGCCCGGGCCATTGAGCAGTAGGAGCCCGTCAGAAGTTGTGTCAGGTTAGCCACTGGACAGAGAGGTGACACAAGCCCACGCAGGTGACCTCCTCCCACGGTTGCGATGTGTGCCCCCTGGAAGCGCACTGGTAGCTAATAGCACGCTTTTTTCACTCTCCTGCTCGGCTCATCATTTCATCCTCCCAACCCTCCTACCACCGATGGTATATGACCATGGCCTGCCAACCTACCAGCCTCCGATCCTTCAGTTCCGACAGGTCTCACACCCTGAGCCACGCATCCTACCTAAGAGACACGGCCATGATGGAGGACGCAGTTGTGATTCCCGGTCACCAGGTACGTTGCTTGTTGCCTTCGAGGTTCTGCTGCTTGGAGAGTTGTTCTGTTCTTGTTTTTGTGTTAGTTTTACCTGTTCTGACAATGTCCAGAAAGAGCTTTACTCTGAAACAAACAAGCAAAAAAGAAAAACATCTTAATTCAGTGGTCAGGCAAGGGTATGAGGGTGTTTCTGAAACATGGAAAACATTCCCTTGTTTTTGTCAAGCAGAATTTTATTAAACTAATTCACTGCTTGTTTCTACAGCTATCCTGAATACTTTTGTGGAGATTGAACATAAAATGTTAGTTCGTTTATAATGTCTCTATTAAAGCAAAAAGCAAGGTAAGGTGTATTTCAGGTGTTCTAGATGAACACTACAGTAAACTACATCTGCCAGGGTTAAAATACTAGCTAATTGGAAATATTAGAAATTGTTATCTTTTAGAAAAGACGTGGCATCTGCTCTGGAATATTTTAACTTTAGGTCTGATTGTATGAGTTTGGGCTGTCCTCAAATGTGATCTTATAACAGTAACATTTAAATGGGAATACATGATTAGAGATACATTTCAAGTGCCACTCTGTCCACTATTTTTAAATGGAAGCTTTTTCTAGGTAAGCCACCTTTCTGTGATAACTTTTTTTGGATTTCATCACATTAGATTTTTTTTATGGTTAAAATAATTTATTACGACTTACTCAGGAAACTGTAGTGACAACATCACCCTGAGACTCAGTTTCCCAGTAACTCATAAAGCCAGTATTCCTGCTGCCCCATTTTATGTTATTTCTTTTAATTGTGTTACTTTTTTTTTTTTTTTATTTCATTTCATTACACTTTAGTTGAAGGGGAGGATTTTTTTTTTTTTCTTAACCTAATGTTCTTTGTATTTAGGTGTCCACTCTAGCCAAGGAGGCAGAAAGGAATTCTTATCGTCTAAGCTGGGGCACTGAGAATTTAGACAACGTGGCTCTTTCTTCCAGCCCAATTCACTCAGGGTGAGTAAATCAATATTATGTATCCAGATCAAGAGGTAAAAGGAGATGAGAGTGAAAATAACAGCTTTGTCCAGTAGCTGTAGCTGATGACTAGCTAACAGAGGAAATGACCTTTGTTTCAACTTGTAAATGACATGGCTTTATCCAATATGGCCTCTATCCACACAAGAATGCCAACCCAAGGCTTGAATTCAGCCCCAAATATAGGCCATTGTTTTAAGATAACTAGTGGAATTGCATCAGTCATCTTGCTACTAACCAGCATACACAGGTGTCATCTGTTGTTCCGTTTTGTCTTCAAGCCCCCTTAAACAGGGGGACATTTGCTTTCTAGAATGTTCTATTTACAGATATTAAGGTTGTGTTTAGTAAATATCTTTCCTTACGTATTAATTTGCTTACAATATTGTTTACAGACGTTTACAGAAGTCTACAGATAGGTAGAGGAGGCTGTTATGCTGGTTGAGGCATTCAGAGAAGGGAAATTTCTAAAAATCACCTTTAAAAAATTATTTTCATATATATATACACACACACACACACACACACATACATACATATATATTTTAACACTTCATAAACAGGCAGTGCCTTTTATATTGATTCATTAAAAAGCAGGAGTGTGACTTAATCATTTTAAACTTTGTGACTCCATAGTTTTGGGCTTTAAAAAATATTTTAAAACATTTAAACTAGCTTTGAAGGTGTGATTTCAATTTATAAAACATACAGTTCCTAAGGTGTTTTAACTTGTAATAGTGCACAAGTGGTTTTGCCCTTCCATTTTAGTAAATCATATAGCAATTTCATAATTCTATAGAAGCTATATATAGTATATATAAATATTTTTAATGTAATAACTTTTTTTAAAGCCCCATCCATATTTTAGGCAACTAAATGGAATACTTTGATGTTAGTGATTATCCCACATCCCTTCTACATGATCCCCAGAATGATTTTAAGTAGGTCTCATTTATTCTTAGTTTTCTAAAATATTCTCCTTTCCAGATAGTTAAACATTTTGGACCACATTTTAATTTGTTAAAGCTTATAGAATGTCATGTTAAATAGATATTGTAAATAACATAGTATTCTTTTCTTTGTTAGCTAAGTAAAACCCATACACCAGGTACAAGAGCTATTCAGGGAAATAAGTTCCAGGGGAACCCTCATACAAATGAATTTACATATTTTAAGTATATAATGACATCATTCTGAATTATTCAAAAAGTGGAATGTTGCATCATCCTGCTGCTAAATTTCTCAACAGCGATGAGCAAAAAGTGTTGAAGGAAGACAGGTCAGACTCCAGAAAGCACAATCAAATTTAAAGACCCCATCTGGCTGACAACCCCCATGTGGCTAATTGTTAATAGCTGGATTTACATAAGAACCAAAGTGTTCTGGTATTACTTCAGCTTGCAAAATCATTTACTTTTAAAAAAAGGTATGCCTCAAAGAAATCTTTTAATTACTGAAAGGAATTTAAAAAAAAAAAAACTCAGCTAAAATACATCGCTAATACATACAGTCCAATTGTATACAAATAGATATACGTGAGTAGTTATAATTGATTACTTATGATGAACCAACAGCATCAAATGATGAAAGATAAATCACTTACTAAGATAAGTATCTTTAAAATCTTGGTCTCCATAAATCAGTTTTCTGTGGTCTTCAGACATAATTGCTGGTTCTAAATATTTTTCTACTCTGAGAGTACATTAGTATCATTTGGGAGCTTTAAATATACTTCATCCCAGACCCCAACCAGACCAGTAACATCAGAATCTCTGTTGTTGGGTCCTAGGAATGTGTATTTTTGCAGGCTGTTCAAATATATGGTTTGTATTAACTATTAGAAAGGAATGATGTTGCATAATAAAATGTGTGTGTTAGGGAGAGCAAGATAATTGCCATACATCTCGTTCTTTCAAATACTTTGAATTTTCCATTTACTTAGGTGTTCAGGGACTGATCAGTGCTACAAAATACCATACCTTGTGCCAGTAAAGAATAGAGATTAAGTGTAGCCCTTGCCTTTAAGAACTCACTTGTTATTTGAAATCGAAAGACAATTGGTGGTAGATAGATAACACGATGGTCACCTGATGGATTCTGCAATCAGAATTCAGATCTTGACTCTAACACCCATATGTAACAGTACGCATGCTTCACAAAATATCCGAGTTTCAGTTCACTTAACTGTGAGATGAGGGTATATTATGGATCGTACAGGGGTGGTGTAAGGATGAAGTGCTTCTCACATCATTAGCATTTTGCTAGAAAGAAATATACTACAACTGGTGAATTGGTAAAAACAGTACTCAGTAGAATATGGCCATAGATATTTACACAATCTCAGCTTTCAGATCTGTCACAATTAATTACAAACCAGTTAAGCACACTGTATTCTGAATCCTCTAAATGACAGGATCAGTGCGGTTGCAGTTCACAAGGATAATGTTAGGCTTGTTTTTAGCAGGTAATCTAACGTCTACAAGTACCCCCATTATAGTCTAGCATAGTATTTGAAGAAACAAAATTTGATGGCTCTGGGATAGGAGACACTGTTGGTGGTACAGTGATTCTGAATGTCCCAGCAGTGCCATGATGTTAATGTACATGAGAAACATTTATCATATCAGATCATGAAGAATGATGACACACAAGGTTACTGTTTACTACTTTTATATATTATTTGAGGATCTCAGGTTTTCTGTAACGAACTAGTAAATCAGTAAGTCACTTCAAAATCTCCTTAAAAGAAAAAGTATTTTGTTGACAGAGAAGATAATAAACTTAGCTTTTATAGGCACATGCCGCTCATTTCATGTATGATATTCTGTTATCTTTCATTAAGGAATTTTAGACTAACAGAAGACACAGCTAATACCAATAAGCAGTATTAGTGCTTGTATTTGATCTCTGTGTTTCCAGTGACTAATTTCCATAACTACAGGAGAAAAGGTATTGGTGATTCAAATAATCGGTTCTATTTAGTAGAGATAGCCAATACCTGGCAAAAGAAAAGGCTGACAGTAATAATTTTGTTGTTGTCTTTTAAGGGCTTTCATCACGGATTCACTATGAGTCTAACCTCTAGTCATTTCTAGAATCTCAGTCATCCTCACCAACATAAGCCTGGGAAAGAATTTGAATTTCACAATTCTTCCATTTGATAAGTGCTTTATGGACTAGCAGATGTAAGGCACAGTTCCTCTCAATAGCTAATTTTGTGACTCACTTTAAATATTGTTACTGCAAAGGCCTTTATATGTTTTTGATAAACAGCCAAGTGCCAACAATTAAACATCAATTCCTGATGTTGTAGTGTAATATTTTGCCATAACTGGAAGCACACAGAAAGTGATCTTTTAGAGAACTTCATTTTTATAAAACAATTGCTAAAAATTGCTCTAAAAAGAAAACCTATCCCCCCCTCCCCAACAAAACATGTAGAAGATACTAGTTTAAGTAGTGAAAGTTGTTACTGGACCTCCACATAATTCGAGACTGGATCTTATTTGGCAGCGTTCACATTTATCTAATGTCAATAGCAGTTTTGTAACAAGGAGCAAAACAGAGTGGACTTCTGGTCCATTGATAATATGTCCAATTTTGTAGTATTGAGTATGGAAAACACAGGTGATCCCAATGAAGAGCAGACTCAGCTAGTAGCGAAGGGCAGCACTAAAAAGTGAAATTAGACAATCCAACTAATAAGGAGGATAGCAGTTCTCAAGGCCGGGGATGAAAGTCCTTAAAAAAAAGCACTAAGACTTGGTTTGCGTAGGTGATAAATGTTACCTACTCCACCTTGTAGATTATGCTACTGTCTGTCCTTGAAGCTATTCAAATCGTGCCTTCTCTGTTTGCATTTCTTCTGTAGTAGCCCACTTGGGCAGTATCGGTACTTTGCAAGTATTAAAAGTGTGAATGGAAAGCTTCTGAGTTCAAACTAAACCCATCAAATCAAAGGCTCAGTAACTTTCATGATAACACTGCTTAGGTTTTGTAGCTTTTCGGACACTTCGACTTGGTGAAGTGGCCCGCAAATGTTCAGTTAAGGTTACAAAATTCCTGGCCAGCGATTTGATGACATCTCCCCTTCCCTAAAGTGGGAGCCAGTCCCCAAGTCCCCAAGCTATGCTCTTCTCTCAGTCTTTGCATAGAGCTTTATCCATTTATATTTCCATCTTTTTTTTTTCAATGAGTGCTGTATTGGTATAGAAATAAGATATTTCACTTGACGTCACTTCTGATTTCCTTCTTTGTATTTCACTTTATCCAGTCCTCTGTGCTAAAGTATCTATTCTGTTGCAGCCGCACCTCTCCATGTCTTGACCGTGACAACAGCAGGTGAACGACTGTGTAATTCCTTCTCTGAACATGCGCCTACCCTGTTCCTTTCCCACCACCCCCTGCCTCTTTCCTGCTTCAGGATGCTTTAGTGTGAAGATACCTAGCCAAACAGCTAGAATGATGCCCTTTCAACCATGGCCATCACTGAGTTCCCCTTTCTCTACGATGGAGGGAAAGTGGGTGTTTTTTATTTTTGTTGGAAATTATGTGGGTGGGCCTTGGCCAGAACTACTATCGACTTACTGTGAAAATCTCCTTCCATCATGGGTTTCCAAATCTCAGCTTCTTTTGTGAGGAAAAAAGGCCAGGTTAGCTGGCAAATGCTATTCCCAACCATTCTATGTTGGGCTATTTTAAAGTTAATAGTGAAGGTTATCATTTTAAATGTCATATAGCAGGAGGGTGGGGTTTAACCTTCTAGGTGCGACAGGCCAAAACTTTAATAGCGCATTTCCTCACTAGTCTTACCCTTTGAATGCAACCTTTTGCTAGTTTGGAAAGCATGCTAGAGAGTGATTCTACTCAGTGCTCTAAAAATATCCATCATTCTGTGTTGTGTAGAGAGAGCTGTTTTTAAAGGGCCCTTCAAATGGCTGATCGTGCAGTTGTTAATGGACAGTCATCCATCATGACCCTCCACTGATCAGTCTGCCAATAAGGCCAGAATGATTTCCACTGTTAAAAACTTTTATAACCACCCTTTTTGTGAATACACATGAGTAGATCATGCTTCTAGACATGACATTCTGACTGATAAATAGCTGTTTGGAGCTTTTAACTGATTGGAGTCACCATCTTCAAAATTCTTTCCTTCGGTTATTCAGTTTAAGGAGCCGGGAGGGTTAGCAGTAATTGAGAGAATGATAGGGAGGAGGAACCACGGTGTGGTTTTCCTCACAGGACCCGTGTCAGACTTAATTTGAGCCCTCTTGCTAAGTATGTGTCAACCACTGAAGCACCCTGACCTGTGTTTCCATAATCTTTCACGCAATAACTAACTCTGAATGCTGCGAGCTCCTGCCCATCCCCACCCCATGGTCCTGGATGAATTAGAAGTGAACCTCAGGGTTAGTAACTTCTGGGGTGCAGGATGTACTCCTCAGCAGCCCAGAGCCGTTCTCTCTGCTGTCTCCTCTGAAGCATGCTCCTGTCTAGCTAATCAAATCGCGTCTTTTACTCAAGTCATCGGCATAACAAGGATGGGTTGCTTCTGCTTTTACACTTTTTAAATTGTGATAACATTGCATCTCACAATTTAGAAAACCTCGATATGAAATTTGCATGATGGCTAAATTTCACTGGGAGAGTAAAATATGCAATTAAAGCCCAACATGTCACGTGATATCTTTTGTCTGTGAAGTCGCCAGTGAGTGTTCAGTGCAGTGTGCGTATACATTGTCTGCAAAACTGCTCATTGACCCTGTAATCGTTTAGCAAGAATAATATTCACCTTTTGGCATAGTAGTAGTTTTCCAATTAGGAATTCTTCCAGAGCAGCTAGAGAGCAACACTTAAAGAGATGTTCTAATCTGGCTAACAGTAAACAGTAGACAGGCTGTAACACTGAAAGGCGCCTTAGACTTGATTTCTTTGAAATCTCTCACTTTCATGGATGAGAAAGCTGAAACCTGGAGACAGAAAGTGACTTACCTGACAAAGACAGATCTAGATACAGAACAGACATAGGCCTGGGAAAAACATGGTGGTTGCTGCAGCCTCCTGCACTTTGATAATGACAGTTTTATCTTCCTTGAATGGTAAAGTTGAAAAAGGTAATGAAAATTTCATCATCACATTAAAAGTTCTGGGTTCGTTGTCAACACTCAGTAATTGTCAGTATCTCAATATCTCTCTCTCTCTCCCTCCCACTCCCTCTCTCAAAAAAACTGATGGCAGTACCATTGGTTTAAAACACTGCATGTGACTAAGGTGTAAAAGTCACACCTGATCTTCAGGTGTATGTCTCTGTACCTATCACTTCCACAGTTCTGTTTTTAAGGTTTGTTATTGGTTTTGTCTGATCCTTTGTGTTTCTCTACATTCACCTGTAAGTGTTTTCTTTTAAGTTATTATGTTTTTCTATAATTTTATGACATTCAAAATGTAAATCTCAGAGGGTGTAAGAAAAGGAAAATGTGGGGACAGTAAATGAACCTTGTCATGACTTAAAGTCCTACGCTTTCCCCACACACATTAATCCTCACTATTCCCACTAGTGATGAGAGGATTTCCCCTCTCTGACAGATGAGGCTCAGTGTGAAGGCCCCCAGGGCGCCTTCCATCCATATTTACTGGGATTTCTAACTCAGCTGCTTTCATCTCCCAATGCTTACAAGCATAATCTTACCGTTTTTAAGTTATAAGCATTTTTTTTGAGGTATCCGAACTGTAAAATTAGTTTATAATACTCATTATTATTCAGAGATTTGCTTTTTAATCTTCTGAAAACATGAGAAAGCCAAGTGAACTGAGCTTATGATCCAGAAAGCCCAACCTCCTCTGTCTCCCTCTGTCCTCACTGCGGTATCAAAAATTCTCTCCTGCAACGACTTTTAATTTTGAAATTGTTATGTATATATCTCGGAGAACTATCTAGTAATTCTACTACCTGTCCAAATAGTGACACTTTCGATAGTCTGGTACTTTTAATGAACATATGCAAATGTTTACTCAATTTTATGTTCTGCCACAATGGGATGTACAGACTAGCACTTGAAGTTGATTTAAAAGACTTCTCATCTGCCCCTAGGTATAAACCTGGATCATTGTTTCTCCCATTCCATCTTATTGAAGGAAAAGACTTCTTAGAGTAAACAATTCTATAAATTCAGCTTTTTATTATTTGTTCTATCACCCTGAGTCTTATTTGCTTCAAGTATTTTCTTGCTCGATTTATAAGCCTTTGTATTCATTTTGACTGTTAACATGTATCTTTTCCAACTCTTCAGCTTCTAACTTGACATCTTCCCGTGTTTCTTCTCTCTCCTCCTTCTCTCTTGCTAAAGTAAAGTGTGTTACTGTTTTTGAGTCTGTACCTGTTCCTTTAGATACTTGGTGAAGACTTAGAGGCTTGTTTTCTTTGGAAATTTAATTTTAATTTTCTTTGGATTGTGCATATTGGCACCTTAATTTTTCCAGTGTGCAGGACGGAAGTGTCAGCATTCAAATCCAAAGACACCGAGAATTGAATTTGTCCACTTGCAGCTTCAGGCCTTCGTTCCTTTATTTTGACTTTCCAGTCTTCTTTTCTTATATAGTTTTCACTCAGTCCACAATTATTTATTTTGATAAATATAAACTCTTGGTTTTTGCTTACACCCATTTCCTAGGGAAATAATCATATTGGGTGTCTTATTTGGGAGCCGGAAAGGGCCTGTAGAAGAATATTTTACATTAACCAGAATCCTTCCCCAATTACTTTGCTATTTTATGAGCTGAAACAACTGAGTACATTGATTTGAGCCACCAGTTGTCCAGAGACCAAAGACTTAAATTGCTTCCTACTGTGGCTTTTCCCTCTCATTATTAGACACAAACAAATACAACATCTTACACTTACCGTTCTCACTTTTCCACTCATTTAGTTACTCCGCATTGTTTATCAGCTACCTGCCATGGGCTCTGTGCACACTGTACTGGCCCTGGAGGACCCAGAAAGAAGCTCAGAGCTCAAGGTCAATTGTTATGACACCTCCAGTCTCCTGTATGTAGGAGTAATTCATGTCTCCGTGGCCAGTGGATTCAGCAGTGCCACGAGAGCGAAACTGCGGAGCTTAGACTCTGAGCTTCTTAGCGGCAGCCACTGGGTATTTCCTGGGGTGTTGAATCCCAGTATCCTGGCATCCCAGTTCCCAGCAGGGCCTCTGACTTTTAGTGGGAGAGTAACAAACCCTGCAGGAGAAGGAACACGGACGATGAAGAAAACGAGGGCAAAAAGAATAACACCAAAAGCATAGTCACTGACACACAATCAGAGAAAGTCGTCAAGCACAGCTACTCACACATGGTTACAGCCAGGAACGTAGCTCCTTCCATTCACTTCTCAGCCAATGCTGCAGGAGGAGGTACCTGGTTTCCCAGATGGAGATACTATATATCACCCCTCACTGAACCAAATGTAGTGGGAAAATAATCGCATGTAAAGGATTATGGAAACCCCTGAAATGCCTTCCACAGGGACCCATGGTATTGAGGACTGAGAATACCAGGCAGATGAATTATGGTAATACTGTATCAGCTTGAGTCCCTGCCCTGCTCACCAAAGGTGATCGCAATCAAAAAATAAACAAGTAAAATCTGAGAAGTATTAATCACTACTAAGTCAGAAATATTACAAGGAGTTTGGAAGCAGCATTGGTTGACATCTAAATCAGTTCTTTTCCATTTTTAGTAACAAACAACATAAACAACACATCCCATGTCATAATACATGGAAAGGCACATAAGCCTTTATGTTTATGTAGGAGTGTTACCAGTTCCTTCATTCTTTCAAGCAGTAGCTTGAAAAGAAAGAGTTGAAGGAATTCATACGTAAAGATTGGTAATAAGAAAAGCAGCCGTTGTTTTCTCATTGTGTTTTTGATAAAGAGCAGAAACATCCACACTGCAGCACTAACTGTGGGTTCCGTTCCCCACCCCCCAGACTACACACTTAGGAGGGCTGGGTGTGAGTACTAGGTCAAGGCTGGCTCCTGCATGTGGAGAAGGGACCCCTGAGACTCTCCTGGTGGTCTCCTGCATGACTGCTTCGGACAGGCCTTCTGGGCTCCTTTGCACCCATTACCAGCAACAAGATTTCTGTGTAACAGCAAGCTTAATGACGTTCCGTGTCCTCCTTTGACGAAGATGCTAAGCTCCTTTTTCTTCACATGTCTGACCATAACATAAGTGTATTGTGTTTCTCTCCCATAACTTACCTTGATGGGATACCTTTCTAATGTCCCCATGTTGTTGTGGAGGCAACATCTAGGTGTGGTGAATCTGGTCTAGCTGTGCCGGACCCATCATCCACCTACCTGTTCCTGTTTTTTGTGCACAGGTCTTGCAAATGTAATGACAGCTGGGGAAGAGGGTGATATAGGATGTGTGTAAGGGTGCACACGCTGTTTGTGTCTGTGTGTGTGTGAGCAACAGTCGGATGGGCCGGTATAATTTTTGCTTCTTGACAAGGGGCAGCCTCAGAGATTTTACTAAATGTTACAACTAATAGAATAAAAAAACTCAAACCAGGATCTGCTGAGACCATCCAGAGGGCACAGCTTCCAAGTAAAGACACAGCTTTTGCCTTGGCACTTGCAGGAAGTTCCCTGGATGCCAGAGTTCTTTTTTTCATTGTTATCTAGGGGGATCTGTCGTTGTTATCTAGGGAGATCTGTCTCCTCTAAATCTGCCCTCATTGTTAAGTGTCCTCTCGCCTACAGTAAAGCTCCATTCTAACTCAAAAAAATAAATCATGAGCGGTGACTCTCTGCTGTCAGCTTGCTGTGTGTGGAGGTAATCACAGCTGACAGGCACGCTTAGGTCACGTGAGCCCAGGATTCAGAACATAGACTGGAGGGGACGTCTCTCGCACCTTGTCTTCTGTCCCCTCCCATCTCTATTTCCACCGCCATGGTAGAGCAGAGAGAGTCTTATGAAAGCAAAAAATCGCTTCTCCCACTAGTAAATTGGTTCAATCCAAAGAATTGCATTATTTTGTTTTCCTTTAGAATACAGTCAGTTGAAAGTCTATATCCTGGCTAAGATGATTTTGGAGCAGGACGCTTAACTGCCCTTTTCTTGTTTTTAATACCATAGAATTATATTAAAATGAGCAACGAAAATGTAATTTTGAAAAATCGAGTTTCTTGGAGAAACTACTTTTTCCTCTCTGCTCTATCCTGATAGTATTGCTCTATGTGGATTGTTTAGGGCACATACAGAAGGAAGCAGAAGTCATCGCATCTATCACAAAAGCAGATTCATCAGTTTTCCTTAGCTAGTTTTATTTCACTTTCTAAGTCAGTGGAACAGTTTTAGTGTTTACTCAGCATCACCCTTGTCAATAAAAATTAGAACTCTTCAATAGCGGGGATCAAAACACAACCACTAAAGCAATAACGCAGATGGAAAGTAAAGATGTTGGCATAAAGTAAGATAACTTTGGAAGACGAAATTTTGCCACCACATGTATACATGAAAGCTATTTGGAGAACAAAGCAGTATGGGGAGAAAGTGACTTGATAAAGCTTGTCTGTCTCTGATATTGCTAAACATGGCTAATCTTCTATTTTGATTTGTAGTTTCCTGGTTAGTTTTATGGTGGATGCCCGAGGGGGCGCGATGCGAGGATGCAGGCACAACGGGCTCCGTATCATTATCCCCCCCCGGAAATGTACAGCCCCGACCCGAGTCACCTGCCGGCTGGTCAAACGCCATAGGCTGGCGACTATGCCTCCGATGGTGGAAGGAGAGGGCCTGGCCAGTCGCCTGATCGAAGTTGGACCTTCTGGGGCTCAGTTCCTTGGGTAAGGGCTTCTGATAAACCTCCCAGTTAGTCACCAGCGCGCGTGTGTCCTCTACATTACTAGGACGGATGGAAAAAGGTACGTCCACACAGGTTTGGGGAGAAGATTGGCCCCTGTGAGATTTTTTTTTGAAACGTCAGAGGTCGCTGACTCGACTCACGTGTCTCTTACTCGGAGGCATGGTGAGAAACCTTCAAGATCATCATTATTCTTTTCTCTGGATTTAATCATAGCTGCTTGACTTTTAGTGTGGATAATCACGTTTAAGCCGATGGTAGGTATTTTGTATTTCGCATCCGATAACCGAAGTGGTCAAGTCATAAAGGAATACTACTACTTGGTTCCAAACACCATTTCCAATTCTCCTGAGGTTATGAGACAGTTGATATCTTCACTTTGGGAAAAGGTATTGCCTTTTCTAGACGGTCCCCAAATTTACTCTCTGTGTTTTTTTTTTTTTTTTTTTTCTGTTGTCAAAATTGCTACTTTGAGTCTGCAGAGGGCACACGCTGTCCAGTATCACTCTGGTCGGTTTTCCTTGAAATGACAAGACTCACCTCCCTCGTGCTCATTTTAGCAGTTTTGAGCAGAAATGAGCATTTCTTCTTTCTTCTGTTTGTTTGTATGGCTGCTATCACATGAAGTGGTACACATGCCAAGAAACGAATAGCTTCCGGTGAAACCTGGCAAAAGGATGAAGTTTTGGAGGGGACAAGTTTCAAAATACTTTGAAACAAAACACTTGTCTTTAAGTCTTGTCGGTGCAAGTCTTTGCAACTCAAAAACTTGGAGAAACTCCTCTAACTCGTGAACTGTTTGGCTTTGCCAGTGTCCTCCCTGGGAGAGAATGCCTCTCTTTCGAACTCAGGAAACATTCAAAAGCCCTGTGACTTGGAGCAATCTGCTGGCCGTTTGCTCCAAATTATTTTTTTTCGCAGCTGAAAAGACAGCCTTGTCTGTATGTCTCAACCGTAGAGTCCCACCCCCACCACGTCCTCCTGTCAGACAAACAAGAAATTTACTAGGGGCCCGTGAAGTTCTGGGTGGCATCAGAAAATGCAGTCTGGCTGAGTGATGCCCCTCCGATGCCTTCACGTGTCCTACCCACATGACACCGTGCACAGCCATAGTTTGCCTCCCCAAGCTCAGGAAGTTTCAGGCTTTCACTCGACCTCCCACCTGCCGAGGAATACCCATGAAAGCATCCGGCCCTCTCCAGAGTCTATGTTTTCATGATATTCCCCACGGCGTTGCTCCTGTGGAGCATTTTTGTTTTGTTTTTCTTTGTCGGCTCATGCCCTGGCGGTGAACCTCAGTAGGGGACACATTGACGCCTCCGAGCCCGCCTTCCACGCGCCTCCATTGTACACTCTGGGTCTGGCTTCTTCGCTCTTTGTGACCAATGGAGGGGCAGAACCCAATGCAGTGTGAAAGCAAACGTGACCCTGTTGAGCAGCTGGTGGCGCTGGGGTTCTGTGGAAACAATTCCTGAAGCTTACTTATGTTCTTTCTTTCACTGCTGCTTTGGATGTACTCAGTAAACTTCATCTGCCAACGGCCCCTCCCCCACTTAATGAGGGAGAAAGCTTGGTCAGCCGCATCCTTCAGCTGGGGCCTCCTGGAACCAAATTCCTTGGGTAGGAGTGACTTAAAACAAATTGATGGCTGCTAGCCCCATTCTTCTCCTCCTTCTGCAATATGATTTCTCTTTTTGTCATTGTCCCCATGACATGTCCCTCTGTATGATTTAAACTCTGTATGACCTATCTCTAGTGGACCATTGCTGACCCCTGTGGTATGTGACTTTTATTTTTGAGTGATGTTTGATATCTTTCCCCTTAAAGTGCTGTGACCTTCATTTTCGTTGACGCATGAGATCTGCCTAGTTGTCCTCCGTGCTAGTGATGATGTTGTGACAATAGATTTGGAGTCTGTATCAAAGCAACCTGGACTCAAAAATCCAAAGCCTCTGTTCATTTTGAGCTGGAATGCGACCCGAAAATAGCAGGGCCGTGCATGTTCCAGAACCTGAGTTTAATAGGCATTGGGCGCAGCGGGAATGCCGGCCCCGGGCGTCTGCCCAAGGCCACGCTGTGCCCAATGCCTATTGATTCCTTGAATGAAGAAAACACAAGCCCAAACCCGAGTGCATGACTCTCGTTCCCAAGTAGTCGACTTTTCTGACATCTCCTCATTGACAGCACATCAGAGTCTGCCACCTCTGAGCCATTCTGCCTTCTAACCCACGTCGTCATCTTGCACCTTGTAGAACTGGCACAAATCATACACATGCATGCCCATTTCTTTTGGTTAAATGTGTCAGACTTACATTGATCAAAGGAGAAGTTCCAGAATGCCACATGCACTCACAGGGAAACGACATTTGGCTTATGGTAGCAGCATGTCCCAAGGACTGGCCCCCCTGGTGAGGCAGAGGGCTCCCGAGGACGGTCCACTATGCCCCTGTCCCCAGAAAGAGACGCATTCCAGGTCACTTTGCCACAGACAGAGTCACGGTGCTTGTCATGCGGGTGGTGAGCTTCCGTGCACACTAAATGTCCCGCGTTACCGTGTCAGGCCCGTGATTGTGGAGATCCCACACTTTGCCGCCCTTCGCGGGAAGGAGAGGGAGCTGGTGATTCTGCGCAGTGAGAATGGGGACAGCTGGAAAGAGCACTACTGCGAATACACCGAAGAGGAACTGAACGAGATCCTCAACGGCATGGACGAAGGTACTTCCTGGTCAGGCGGCTGAAAGGGTCTTAAAAGTGAAGTGTGCAAACGATGCATGTGTGTGAGGAAGTCGGGGGTTGCGTGTGTGTGCGTGTGTGTCTCCCTGGCTTATCACCACACCGAGGATTCTGCTGTTCAGTTCTGAAGAGCTGCAGTGCCTGTATCTTTGCCTAAGTCCTTCCCGTGTGACCACATGAGTGAACTACACAATCAGGACAAGTCCTTTGCCTGCATGCCAGGAGCTTGCCAAACCTGTGCAGAGATGATGGTCACCCAGGGTCTCCTACCGCTGCTTCTCAGTCCTCAGGAGACTCTGGCCAGGCTTACCCTGTTCAAGAAGTGGAGGAGAGGAAATAAATAGATGGAGATGTAGCTCTCCTAGATGTTTTTTCTAAGCATGCAGGAAAGATCCAAATGAATGCAATACTTCGCTGCATCTACCTGTTAGACCTCATGCACCTTTGGCCTGTGGTCAGGTTCAGGACATCTCTCCTGAACTGCTTACCTGTGCTTCACGCTGCCATGTGCCTGGCACCACGGCCTCACAGAACTCAGCTGGGGACCCGCTGCACAGCCTTCCACAGACGTAAAAAGCTGGTTTTAAAGTCAGAGCACTGTGGCTTCATATTGTGTTTGCACATGCCTTCCTTATAAGTGTGTGCTCACACAGGGGTGCTGTCTTCTGTCTCATGTGAGCGAGTTCTTGCACTCAGTCTTTGCTGAAACCTTCTACACCTAGTTAAGAGCACACAGTTATTGCTCCTGCTTTTGCTATGACTGGGAAATGGTTCCTCAAGATGAACAACTTTCTGTCATCACCTCCAGGCATTTGGAGATCCCGTTAATTTACATTTTGTACATTTTAATCCAGTCTGGTTATGGTGTAGTCTATAAAGCACCTTTCACCCCGGCCTCCTCCTGCTAATGTGTTCAGTGAGTTCACAGGCTCTGGACAGTGTTGACGTCCTGCTTTGCCGGTCACCGATCGTCTCTCCTCTGCACCGTGACTGACACACAGCTGGCAGGCGGCAGGCCACACACACACAGACCTGACCCTCCCAACACAGAGTTTATTTCAGCTTGGGTAGGGCCAGGTTACTTCTTAAAGTGGTACTAAACTGCCTTTTGGGGTAACTGATAACTTGCAAAGAAAAGGAGGCCGTAAGCGATTTCCTCTCCATCCCAGGAGCCAAGGACAGAGCAGGTGACGTCCGCGCGGGGCTGCCCCTCCCGCACTCTCATTCATACGGGCCCCGCCACTCCCCATCTGGAGCTCTGTGCTTTTTCCATGCCCTGAGACAATCTAACTTCCACTGAGCAAGACCATTTGCAAACTGAATGCTGGCAGATGTTGAAAGATAGCATTTTTTTTTTTTTCTGAATAGCCTTTTTCAAGATCCCTGGTTTTTTGTTTGTTTGTTTGTTTTTAAAAGATTTTATTTATTCACACAGGAACTGGGGCAGACTAGAGGTGTGGGAGTGAGAAGACTCAGCAGAGACAGAGTGAGGAATAGAACAGGCAGGTCTAGTGAAATACACTGCTGAGGGGGGCAGCGAGCGAGACAGGAGAGGTCTGCTGTGCCATGTGGGTCAGCTCCCTGGCTGGGGTCGAACTTTTGCTGCAGTGGGTACCCATGGCTTCATAGTGCTGTGCTTCAATCCATTATGCCACTAGGGATGGACCTCCAGTTTCCTGTTTTGTAAAGATGTGTGTTATGCTGTTAAGTGTGTTCGCCTTTCACTCTGCCCATGAGTTTGCTAGAATGCTTTCAGGAGGCGCTCCTTCCTATGTGAAGATGGCTCGTTTGTTGTCTCAGTCCTGGATAGCCCCGAGGACCTGGAGAAGAAGCGAATCTGTCGCATCATCACCCGGGACTTCCCACAGTACTTCGCGGTGGTGTCTCGCATCAAACAGGACAGCAACCTGATCGGCCCAGAGGGCGGGGTGCTGAGCAGCACGGTGGTGCCACAGGTGCAGGCCGTCTTCCCGGAGGGGGCACTTACCAAGCGGATCCGAGTGGGCCTGCAGGTATGCCCATCAGTGGGGGTGTCCCAGCCCGGATTTCATCCCAGTGATACCAGCTTTCAAAGGGGAAATAAATATGGAAAGCTGTATGGAGTTTCCCTCAGACTACTAAAAATCAAGCTACCATGCGACCCAACAGTTCTACTCCTAGGGATCTACCCAAAGGACACAAAACAATGATTCAAAAAGATACATGCACCCCTGTGTTTGTTGCAGCGCTGTTTACAATAGGAAAAACCTGGAAACAACCCAAATGCCCAAAATTAAATGATTGGGTCAGGAAGATGTGTGTGTGTGTATGTGTGTGTGTGTGTGTACACACAGATACGTATATACACACACATACATATATATATATACACACACATACACATACATACACTATGGAATATTACTCAGCAATCAAGAAGACCAATGCATGCCATTCACAGCAACATGGATAGAGCTGGAAGGGATCATACTCAGTGAAATAAGTCAGAAGGAAAAAGAAAAAAAAAATGGATGGTTTCACTTATAGGGTAAATTTAGGATAAATAAGACATAGGGAAAAAATAACACAAAACAAAACAAAAACCAACAGACAGTTATAAACTGGAAACATGCTGCAGGGGAGGGGAAGAGAGAGGAATTGGAAGGAAGGAGGGAGGGAGCACAGAGGACTGTGATGATGGTGCATAGGCGAATTGGGGGAGGAAATTCTACGGGGTTTACACCTGGGGTGGGGGGAATAATCAGTGTTTTAAAATAAAGAATGATGGAAAATATATATAAGTAAATAAAGAAGCAAAGGGAAATTAAAGGGCTCAAGAATCATGATTCCTGGAGGAGAAAAAAACTGCCGTCCAAAATTGCTAGTGTAGCATCAGCATCCGAAATGATTTATGAAAATATAAGCAATGTGTGGAAGTAGGACGCTGGACATGCCATGCCATGCTAGCCTGTTTATTGTAATATGCTTTCCATTCTCTGTAAAGGCTCAACCTATGCACAGTGAGCTGGTGAAGAAGATTCTAGGCAACAAAGCTACCTTCAGCCCTATTGTCACTTTGGAACCCAGAAGGAGGAAATTCCACAAGCCAATCACCATGACCATCCCTGTCCCCAAAGCTTCCAGTGACGTCATGTTGAATGGTTTTGGGGGAGAGGCGCCCACCTTACGATTACTATGCAGCATCACTGGTGAGTCACGTGGCCGAGTCAGTGGGGCAGTCAGAAGGAAACAGCGTTGTCCATATGAAATGTTACCTTCCCCATAAGGTACCTGCAGGGTTACATGCATTTAGTCAGGCAAACAATTCCTTACGGACGTCTCCGGGAAAGGAAGAGAACTAGCTTGTGCTAATATATATAGCCCTTATCCTGCACTACAGATATTTCATATGTGTTTTCATTTTCATCTTTATAGTCGCACTGTAAGTTTAAACACCATTTTACTAAAAAGAGAGATCAGTATTTAGAGAAATTCTGTCAGTTGCACAGGATGAGACCACAGGCATGTGGCAGACTTGGGTTTGAACCCAATGCTGTATACCCCAGTGCCCAGAATTTTTAAGCCTTCTCTGAGGACACCATCTAATAGCTGCGGGGGAATAAAGAACATCGTGAATAACTATCTACGAGTTCAAGCCCATCTTCTCTGTATGCCAATTGGTTGTGTCTCTACAATTGGTCTGTTGGAGCTGACTTTGGAAAAATGAAGTAAAGCTACTTAAGGATTAAATGAAATGTTGGTCTTTTCAACTGGAGATGGTAAAAGTTTTCAAACAATTAGCTAACTCCTGAAAGATATGCCTAGCATGATGGTAATGTCTGCCCAATATTTGTTATCACAAATGAGGAGAAGTTAAAAAAATCCATACAAACAAATAGTGTTACAGCTGTCGATTTGATGGATTTCCTCATTTAACAATAACTGTAGAATATTGGTACTCAGTATACACTTTTTGTCAGTAGAAATAATTACCCCTTGTTGTTTAGGTATCAATAGAATGATTTTTCACCTTACCATCATTTTTCCAGAAATGTCCATCCCTATTTATTCTCTTTCTGATGTTCTTTTCTTACTAATTTTTCTTCCTAAATGTATGATAGCGAATCACTGAGACCTTACCCCATACATTTAACCATGTGACAGAATTTAAAGATCCTTGGCCTAAATGAATGTAGGAGGAGTCTCAGGCTTCTTTTATGATATTTTTGCAGTTGCTTATTCCTGATTACTATTACCATTTCTGGGTATCTCTGATACATTTTTGCTCTACATGTATATAATTAACCAAATGTTAATTATGGAAGAGAAACAAGGAAGATTATATACAACAAGTAGGTTTTAGTCATTTTGTTTTCAGTTTGTTGTTTTCGTTTTCAAGGAGTGGGATTACAGCCAGAGCCATAAAGACTTTATTTTACAACCCAAAGCCTGAGTTTTGCCGTATTTTTTTCCACTTTCATATTATTTCAGGTGGAACCACCCCGGCTCAGTGGGAAGATATTACAGGAACTACGCCATTAACATTTGTCAATGAATGTGTTTCCTTTACAACCAATGTGTCTGCCAGGTACGGAGTCACAGCACACAAAAGCTCAGAGTTATTTGTCTTCCACCAAAAATATGTCCTTGATTTTAGTCCTTATACCCTTTTTTATTTTTTATTTTTTTTAAATTATTTGCTTTTGTGTAGATGCACTGGGGTGCAGGCCAGAGGTATGGGGGTGAGAGGATTCACCAAAGACAAGAGTAGGGAGCAGAACAGGCAGATCGATGAAGTACACTGCTGAGGGGAGCAGCAGGTGAGACAGGAGCATCTTGCTGGGCCATATGGGTCAGCTCCCCGGTTGGGGATTAAACTCAGACATTCGTGGTGGTAACACTAAGACTTAACTCCTAGGCCACCAGGGAGGCCCAACAGCCTGAACTTTGCAGCAGAATAATAATGAAAACATAGCTCACCCTAACCTGCTTCAGAGCCTTAGCGGTTATAGTGGCTCTGATGATCATACCATATTTAACAATTACCCATGTACACATCCTTGAACAGCTGAAGCTATCATTTTATTTCACATGTACATGCTAACTCAATCCCTGTATTAAAATTAATGGTCCTTAATGGACGGGTATGTATTTTCCTATGCACTACGTTGGCTTGCTAGAACCATTTTGTGACTTAATTCAGAAAAAAGATTATGAGCAATGAGTCAGGGGAAGATGGATCTGTGATCTCAAAGCCAGAAGATATGTAATAAACCTTTCTTTGGAAGTGAGTGCACAGGAAATAAGAAAATGGCCTTCCTGCAGGGCTCCACTTACTCGGAGACATGATCGTTCTTTGGGCCTGGGGTAGGGGTGGAAACTCAAGGATTTTGAGGAAGGTTTGGTGATGCTACTATAGTGAGTAATATGAAACCTAAGGAGCAAATTCCCACTCAATGTCACAGACTTAGCTGACACTAGACCATAAATGAGTCAATGTCGGAAACCCTGTAATACCGTCTCTGCATTATATTCCACGATACTTAGGAGTTGTAGAACAGAAGCCAAAGTTTATACAACATTTGGGCTGATTTAACCTGTGTTCAGCAGTTTCTCTATAAACAGCTTCATCTAAAGTATTTTCACTGCAAACATTTTCGCCTCGAAGCTAGTTGGCAGCGAGGCAGTTTTGCTGTAAAACAGAAAAGAATTAACTAGTTGAGAGTTTGGTTTCATTTCTCCACTGCTTGAATAAGAAATCAAGTCCTAGCAACCTGCTATGTCATCATTTTCTAGTACATTAGTATGCCACCTGGATTCACACTCTGAGACACAGCCAGTAACTTTGGTCACCAAAAAGACACACAAAAAATTATAAGTTACTCAAATGAACCAAAGACTTGAAAGTCAAATGTTCAAGTATAATCCTCAAAAGAAAATAATTTTCCCCACAGTGTTGCTGTGAGTAGACACATTTGTAAACGTTATTTTGTATTTTGTTACTAATTTTTCATGTTTCCTGAGGTTCCTTCCGATGTCCTTTTCTTCATTTCCTCTTTTGTGGCCAATTAACTGTGCAGCAAAACTGCCTGAAATCGATTCTACCTTTGCTGATGAGAGAGTTGTTTGGAAAACAGTGACGAGATGAGATAAGGCTAAGCAGATTTTGTTGAAAAGAATTTTAAGAAATAAAGTGAAGAGTGGGGTGGGTGGAAATCTTGAAAAAAAAACTTATATACAGAGATATGCATCATAATAACTGAACCAGACCAACACCTAAGGCAGATTTCAGATGACTACAGACTGAAACTTGAGTTTTCAGAGGGAAGTACAGATGGGGGACTTCATAGTGGCTGCAAACCTGAGCTCTCCTCTCCTCTGCCCCCACCTCCTCCCTTTTTCCCTGTCTCTGTCTCTTTACCTTCCCCTCTCTTGCTCCCTTCTTCTTCCAAGAAATATTTAATGAGACTAGTTAGATCATATTGGGGGAAAAAAAACCTCAGATCTTTTTCAGATGTTAGGCTTTAAACTTCAGATAACTGTTCTTATCATTTTGCAGGTTCTGGCTGATAGATTGTCGGCAAATCCAGGAGTCTGTTACCTTTGCATCCCAAGTGTATAGAGAAATCATCTGTGTCCCGTATATGGCCAAATTTGTAGTGTTTGCCAAATCCCATGATCCCATTGAAGCCAGGTTGAGATGTTTCTGCATGACTGATGACAAAGTGGATAAGACCCTTGAACAACAAGAAAACTTTGCTGAGGTGGCCAGAAGCAGGGATGTGGAGGTACGGTGTTAAAATACATATATTTATGTTGCTGTTTTGTTTATACCTTTATTTTTAATTTTTTTTAAAGATTTATTTATTTGTGCATACAGAATACAGAACTGGGGTACAGGCCAGAGGCTCAGGGGTGACAAGAGGATTCACCAGAGACAGAGTAGGGAGCAGAACAGGCAGATGGACGAAGCACACTGCTGAGGGGAGCAGCGGGCGGGTCAGGAGAGGTCTGCCGCGCTATGTGGATCTCCCCGGGGCAGGCGGGAATCGAACTCATGCAGAAGTGGCTTTAGCTTCTTAGTGCTGTGCTTTAACCCGCTGCGCCATCAGGGAGGGCCCTATACCTTTATTTATGATTTTTTGAAAAAAGATCAAATAGGTAAAACCATGATTGGTTGGTTGACATCTCCGTCAGTTAGAAGGTCAGGTGCATCAGACATTTTTAGCCACTCTGGACTTTTTCCTGTAGGTATAGTTTCAGTGTAGGCAAGAATTCTCTTTAAGATTGTTCTGGAAAAATTTGGAGTTACTGATAAGTTCAAAATGTCTAAGTATCTGTAGCAGTTTTGAGGTTTTTGTCTTTCCTCATTGGTTTTGTTTTTATAGAGTAAACCAGAAAGTCTAGGAAATATATCCTTTGTGTAGATGGCAAAGTATAATATCCAGGACTTTTCTCTTTTGTTCTTATCTCACAACCATCCATCAGTGGAAGACTTTGGATATTGAAGTTGGGTAACCTTTATTGTGATGTCAAAATTATCCAGTCAGACAGTTACATCTAGGACTTAAGTATGTGTTGATTTTTTGATAGCATTTTGGAAGTAAGAACATTGACCACAGTTAAGACGAAAGTCCATCGTTAGGACTGGTATATGGGTTTTAAAAAATTTAAAATTCTAAGTGGCACCCACCACTTCTGTGTGTTGATAATAAGTAATAATTACAGTTGTTCTATTTTGTGTTATTTCTCTTTTCGCCAGGTATTAGAAGGGAAGCCCATTTATGTTGATTGTTTTGGCAATCTGGTGCCATTGACCAAGAGTGGCCAACATCATATATTCAGTTTTTTTGCCTTCAAAGAAAACAGACTTCCTCTCTTTGTAAAGGTAATGCATATATGGAGGCTTGGAAGACATTTTATTGAAGACCAAGTAAGGACTTGATTTCCTTTAGTTGGAGAGAATATTAGCTTTTCAGTCCTTTCCAGTGATTTTTCAATCCTTGTGTCCATATTTATCTGTATACATAGATGTATATACATGTAGTTTTAGATCTATAAAAATTTAAGGAGAAACTAACGGTTTCACTTTAGGAATTCAAATTCAACCTTAAGTTTTAACTATAAACTATGCTTAGGACAGCAAATGAAACACAGCTAACTAAAGATTCCTTAGTTAGAAATGCTGACTATTATTTTATAAGCTTGAAGAAAGAATATTTTTTAAATGTATTTTAAAAATATATTATTTAAAAAGTATAAATATAGGCTTCTAAAAAATATTTGTGTTTGAAATTTTAAAATGTGTGATATTTACAAATGCAGAGACCAAATAAGTTTTAAGTGACAACTTGATAAAATAAAAGCTCTCGAGACACCAACCATATCATGCTAATGAGATTATTCCAGGCAGAGTTGTAGTCTCATACACTTTAATAAATATATTGAGTAAACATTTATAGACACGTCAATGCATGAAATTGTTTCTGTTTAAGAATGTTAATTCATATTTGGACTTGTCAATGATATATACAGTTTCTAGATTCTAATTCTAAAAAGGAGAAAAATTCCTTTGGGAATAAAGGAGAGATTCCTTTATTTCATTGGGAATAAAATCGAGAGGAAGTAATAATTCCTTTCTGCTACATTTTTCCAGCCACCATTCTCCCCATTTTTCAAAATATATTCCACGAATCTGGAACTCTCACATCTCCATCCTCAACAGACAGAAGCTGGCCTATCGGTTTCTTCCTTGTGATTATTCATTCACAAGCTGTACATCAGCAATAATGTCTTTTATTATTTCGCTATCTCATGCTATTTCCAAGGACATCTTTCATTAAATTTTCCCAGGATCACTATTGACTCTTTAAGTGTGCCATTTTTGGTTTGCTTGCTTTACTATAGATTCTTAGATGTCACTCCATTAAGCAGTAACTGCTGAGAGATAATGGATCTGTTAAGCATAAACAGCTGTGTCATTAAGCTAATATTTGATGACATTGATATACAAAGGTCATTTTATAAACAACCCAATTCTAAAATGGGCAAAGGACTTAAATAAGCATTTCTTCAAAGAACATATACAAATGGCCTATACCCACATGAAAAGATTCTTAGTAGCTTAGGGAAATGCAAATGAGAACCATGTGGAGACAGCCCTGCCTACCCACTAGGCTGGTTATGATCAAAACCAAAGTGACAAAATAGAAGATAACAAATGTTATTGAGGATGTGGACAAATTGGAATCTTGATGCATTATCAGTGGATATATAAAATGGTGTAATCACTGTGAAGTTAAGAGTTAAATGTAAACCATCGTATGGGTTCCACCTGTTCCACTTCAAGGTATAGAGCTAACAGACTTTAAAGCATTCGCACACTCATGTCCATAGCAGCAGTAGTCACTGTAACTCAAAGATAGAAACAACCCACACGCCCTTCAGTGGATGAATGGATCAATAAAATGTGGTATGTGTGTACAAAAGACGCTGGACAATTATTCAGCCTGTAAAAGGCAAGAAATCCTGACAGCATGGGTAATGTTAAACGAGTGAGACACCAAGTGAGAAATATCGCAAAGCTCCATTTACGTGGAGTAGTGCTATAAGCGGAGTCGTAAAGTGGAATTATGGTTGCCAGGGTAGGGGAGCGGGAATGGGAAATTACTTGGAGTAGTCAGTTTCAGTGGGAGAACATGGTGAAGGTGGTGTTGATGGTCATTCAACAGTGTGAATAGACTTCATATCACTAAACTGTCCACACAACAGTAGTTGAAATGGTAAGTTTTGTCCTATCTCTATTTTGCCACAATTAAAAAAAGAAAAAGAAATTCTGATCCAGTTGCAACATGAGAAAACCTTGAAAATATTATGCTCAGTGAAACAACCCAAATACTATAAAACTCAATCATAGGAGGTGCCTGGAATAAGCGAATCCAGACAAACATAAAGCAGAATAGAGGTTTTTTTGAGGTTGGGGCCACCCGGCAATAGAAAATTTACTGTTTAATGGGTACACCATTCCTGTTTGGCATGGTGAAAAGTTTGCAGCAATATTGAGGACAACACAAGTTTAATAATAGAAATAATGCCATTGAATTAAACCCCTAAACTAGTTAAATGGTAAGTGGTATGTATGTGTTACTAGAACCTATTAAAAGCATAAGAATTTTTTAAAAAGTCATCCTAAGTAGACATAGGAAAAGGAAAAAAGGAACATCTCTAGATCCTTAATTAACTAAATTTTATTTTTCACTAGTTGTGTTGAGCACCACCTCATTAAATTCAGTAGATGGCAAATAGGGTGAAGGACATGTTTGTCTCGTTCAAGGTACGTGACACAACTCAGGAACCTTGCGGAAGACTATCATTCATGAAGGAGCCAAAATCCACGAGAGGCCTGGTCCATCAAGCTATCTGCAACTTGAACATCACGCTGCCAGTCTATACAAAGGTATTGTGAAGCCTCCTACAAAGCCATTCAGACTTTGAAGCCTTCCAAACCAGCAAAAGCTAAGAGACCAAATGCAAGGGCTGTGACAGTCACTTCTGATCCCCTGTCAGGTGTGGTTTTCCTTCTATTAAGGAAAAAGCAGCTTTACACGACGTTGCATGAAATTCATGTTGGTGGAGAAATTTCAGTACACTTGTATTGGACATGGAAGGAAGAGAGAACAGACGAATTGAACATTTTGGGCTAAATTTTAAAAATAAGACTGGCTTTGTTTATTAATTTTTATTTGCTTTTGTAGAACCACCCTACTGCATTGGGCCCTAGAAAAATAATTCTGAGTGCATTAGCCTCTGTTTACTGCCAACTCCTGGCTGGGTTATGCATTGCTGACCTCAATTCTCTCTTCTGCTACCTTGTTGCTAAAACAATACCTGGTCATAGTATCACCTATAGCATTTTAGGAATTTCCGCCATATCTCAATTATTTTAATATAACCAGCATACACAGTACTGCCTTGATACAAGGACCAGATCTAAAACATTGTCACAAGGCAAAATTCACTGACTCCAAATTTGACCTGCAGGTATTACTCCCATTCAAACCTGCCCCTGTTACATAATCCCTTACTCCTCTGATCAAATCAGAGAACAGCATAATTAAAAAAATGCTGGCAATCATGTTTTTCTATCATTTAAGAAACTTTTGACCAGTATCCTTTTTCATGGAGACTGAAGCAGGTTGTCCACGTGTGTCCGAGGGCGTCAACAGTGACAACAAGACCTAGGGAACAGAGTCTGATGGTCTTCATGACACAAGGCCTTTCCTATACTAATTTCTACCACCACAGTCTATTTTCCTGAATGTATTATTCTTGTAAAGAGCCCGGTCACCAAAGGAATAACAGTATCATGTTGAACGTTGTAAACTCTTATTAAATGATAAAAAGAAAAGGGTAATATTCATAGATCTGTCAATGAACATGTTATTCTGAGCATCTGAATATAACAACAGGTATGTAGACTCACACTCATGCTGTCTGGGTGTGCCTGGATCCTGCAGTTTTCTTTGGCACTTGTAGTGTGGCTCTTTTATCAGTCACCAAAGCAGAGGCTAAATAAGAACCACAAAAAATCAAGTTCCAGCATGGACACATCACCTTAGTGAGCTGCAAAGATGTCCAGTGGCCAGTGAGCTTCCAATCTCAAAGAAAGCATTTAAGTTGTCATTATATTTTTAAGTCAGGAAGTATCAGACTGTTATGAATGCTGTGATCACTCAGGACATTTTTCCATTTAGTAAGAAGAAGAAGAAAATGCCAAGCATTGCATGCTTCAGGTCTGCTTTACAGTGGACTCGCTCTTTATTGTAACAGGACTCTGGAATGTTGCCTGTGTGTTGAAAATATTTTCCCCTTATGCTTATTTGTGGCTTTTAACATTTTCGGCCAGCACTGTAGGTGATGGGCTAGCTTCTCTGTTTTGATAGACATAGCTCATCAAGTCCATTAAATGTGGAAATTTGAGGTCGCTGAAAATCTACCTTCAGGAATTGGCATAGTCATCATTTTAAGGCCTTACTCTAATACACTAGCCTGTAATCGTATTCTTTTGTCTTTAAGGTCTACAGACCTTTATATTTAAACAAACCCTCCTAATTGTGTGCCTGTTCTTTATAAACCATTAATAAGGAAAAATAAGACAAGGCTGATTGTATGCTTGCCTGTGGCTGTGTTGGCAGGGTATTTAATCTTTGCTTTTCTTCTAAATACTCTCTACTCTTCCTGCTTTCTTTTTTTCCATCTTGCATGGCATCTTGGGGCGGCAAGGAGTCAGAGTCAGATCAAGAACAGGAGGAAGAGGTAATTTCTGACAGTGTCACTCGGTAATATCGTGTCTTTGTTGTAACCTCTGATAAGAGCACATGGTTACCCTGTGTTCTAAGAAGGATAAACGACTACCCTTACTCATTAAAGGGCCACCATTTCCCCTGATCCCTCAGAATCACTGTCTTCTCATCTTGCGGACTGACTTCAGAAAACAGGAAAGTTCCCTTGTAAATCTCTATGAATATAATATGTATTTCTCTCCCACCTGTGGAGAAGACCAGAACATCTCAATGAGTCACAAAGTTTATAGATGACAGAAAATAAAACCTTTTTTTTTTTTTCTGAATAGCTCTTAAGATACAAACTTGTGTCACTAGCTACAGGGGACTGTTCCAGATTGCATACTACATTGCATATGATATAATCACTCTGATTATTGATGGGATGGGTTCTGGCATTTTCTCAACTTTAATTTGTAATGTTTATATATCACCTATCACACGCATAACGTAAGTTCTTCGGCTCCTCTTCGGGCTCCTTAATAATTTTGAGGATGTAAAGGAGTCATAAAACTAAAAGTGAAAAAGTTTGTCAACCACTAAGACTAAAAAATTTAAGGGCATACAATTCATCCTTTAGACTTTAACAACATCATAATGGAAAGCCTTCTTGTAAGATTGGATCTTTTCCAAGTGCTCCCCATAAATCACCAACACTCACCTCTCTCTCACCCTGTGACTTGTGTATTGTCTTATGAGAGACCCCATTTCCTAGGCAAAGAATCAAGATGTAGGTGACCTTAAACATTCATACATAGCCACGTGCATTAGTCTTTTAAAACAAGTACGTGATGCTTCAGTCTTTTAAAACAAGTACGTGATGCTTCTTTAAAAAGATCAGAAAATGCCCAGACATCACCATCACAATGAAAGAAATCACTGAAAAGGTCCTTACACTTACCTATCAACATGTCATTCATTTCCTATTCCTAAGAAGATATAATTACTTGCACATGTATGTTTACAAGTATACTTAAACATGTTTTAATCGTGATGGTAATGAATTAGAAGTACAGAAATATCAAGAAAAAATAATAAATAGCCTTACACACCCACCCGCTTAAAATGACAGGCCTTATCAGTTTAGACAATCCCCCTGAATTAGTTTTATTTTAGCTACCCTGGCCGTGGAGCAGGACAAGAAAAGCGACCATATATAGTAGTTTCCTTGTCCTGCCATGTGTAAGCATACACATGCTAACCCATGGCAGGACTGAAGTCCTTGCTGGCCTCACCGATAGCCTTTCTTAGTCCCGCCTGTTCAGTTTCCCTGCTGGCCTTGGGACTTCATCACCAATGCTATTCTAATTTATAATTACATGCCTTCTCGAAGGAACAATATGTTTATGAAATCAACTATACTCCAATAAGATGTTTTCCCTATTAGGCTTACGATTTTTCAATTGAGCTTTTTTTTTTTTTAAATGAAATTTTCTGACCTTACCATTCTTTTATCAACCTGTGCTATTTGGGGAGTATAACTTCACACCTCCATCAGTGTGTGTGCATTTGAAAACTTAGAGGCAACTATTCAAGGTAGTAGGTCCAGCTTGTATTCTTGTTGGGATCTGGAATGCTGCCTTGTAATGAGTGACACTGGAAATACTTCTGTCCCTGGCATGCTGTTTGTTTTTTCTTTCCCTTTCTCAACTAAATTGACACTATTGAATGCCCACTTCGTTTTCCTGGCTTTGCCCCTAATGTGTATTTCTAACATCAACCACACCCTCAATCCCATCTCCCCAGAAGTAACATGCGAGAAAGAACTTTCTACCGGCAGTGTCCAGAAAGATCAAAATTAATCATGAGAGAGACTCTCAGGAAGAACTGTAGCAATTACTATGCCCGTCCCCTACCAAATGGTGTGCATGTAGTTATGAGTAGTAGCGTATTGTACACATTGGGGGCTGTGAGACAAGACGCGATTTGTAACCGTTCAATTTATGTATGTTTTCTTGCAGATCGATATGACATCAGAAAAAAGTAAGACTTTAAATAAAATTGAGTTTGTTTGAAAGCTGGCTATCATAAAGAGAAGCATGAATTAAGATGCAAGCTAGTTGCCATTACTAACCACCATAATAATGATATTTTTATATTCTTATTAATCATTAATATATATTGAGAAAAGCAGCTTGGCCAGTTAAATTACAAGGATATCTAATTTGTGAGCTAATTAGCAGTAAATGCGATGATTATTCATCTAAGCATTCACTTTCTTTTGATATCCCTGTTAACCCTGCTATTGCTGTTTTGCTTGTTTAGAAACCCAACCTAGCTGCCGTTTTTGTCCATTTGTTAGCATAACATTGTCATCTCATAACAGTATCACTTTTTATATGAAGCGGCACTGACTTCCGCAAAGATCACTATATTTGTAGACGTCACCTACAAAAGTGATACTGTCCAATAGCTCTGAGCTATTAGCTTACTGCCCCCCCCCCCAGCCCCTTGCATCCCTTACTGTGGTGAAGTGTACCCAGGTTATTCAGGGTGAAGACCTAGTGGATTCTGGTGAAAACTCTCCAAAAAAATTAAGTGCCCAGAATGCAGAAAGCCTCCTGGTGAAATCAGTGGTCGTGGCCATGTATAACTGATAAGGCTAGTTGTTAATAATGATGCAGGATCCAGATGTTATCTAGTATAAAGAGAACTGGGTTTTCTAGACCTTCTGAGAGTGCTCTTAGAGGTTAATTCAGCTTTGTAGCATTCATTTAATTCATTAATTTGTTGGTCTGTTTTGGGGACTCTCTCTGGCTACTTGTGTGAAGAAATGGAATTTTATAGGGGTCTGTATTGCCTTTATACCCCAAATGCTTTTTCATTTTTTAAAAATTTAATGTTAATTCATGTTAGTTCTTGTAATTTATTATATTTGAGGGTAGCATTTCCAAAAGGAGAAAACATAGAACTATGTTTACTGTGGTCCTCTGTCCCTGTAAGAGACTAGAGGAATTCTTCAAAAAAAATTCTAGCTCAGTGCATTTACTGCTAACTTGTTGGAATGTTTGTAACTGAGTCTGCCTGCCCTCACTTTAACTCATTATCCATGACTGGAATATTGGAAATGCTGGACATTTTCACTGCATTATGTATTGAAACTAATTGTTCTCTATATAAATTCGTTTCTGTGTTTGAATATGTGCATCTTCACAGAATAGAACTCCTCAGTAAATACTGATTCTCTTAAGAAAAGGACATTCATTAATTTTTTTTTTTAAATAAAAGATTTTATTTTCCCATTTTCTCTTTGGGACTACTGTGCTTATCTTAAGTGCCCTTCTCCTTTATCACTAGATACAAATTAATAAGAATTAAAAATTTGTCCACCTACCTGGTTCTACCATTAAAAAATGCCACAGATTCTACTGAGTGACTCCTGGGCATTTGTGAAACTTTTTAAAAAGTAAATATGGACTCCTGTTTGGCCTTCTTTTAGCTTAAAGACAATCACTGTATGATCTCCCTCTAGACATAAATGATCTCCACACCATAGCTCGGCTGATTAATTCTGTGACTTAATCCTAAGCAGTTTACTGAGTTTTCCCCCTTGCCGTTAGGACGCCCACCTCTCGATGCCTGTATCCACTGCATTCAGCATCCCAGGGACTTTCGAACGTGTAGGGGAATGAATATGCTTCACCACAGTAATGTTCCTCACATCGTCTGATTCCCACCCATCCTTCTGCCCATGCTCTCAGCAAGGCCGCCTCTCTCTCTGGTTTCCCTTCACCTTTGCTTTGCATGGAAATAACTTGGCTTACATAAACTGTGCGTGTGTCGTGTGACTGTCTGATTTTGGTTGCCATGCATCACATTTTAACTTTGGACTCACATATAAGTCTCATCACAATTGTTGTTCCGGTTGTTTTTCTGTCCTTTCCTTTCTTTCCCTCCTTGGTCTGTCCATTCTGTGTCTCAACAAGGAGGTCGCTCGAGGAAAGGGCCATGCCTCTTAGCACAAGACCGTTTGTTTCACTGTTAGGTGTAAATTTCCCTTAGCTGAAACGCCAGTTTGCAGCTGATTCAGATGTATTTTCAATCGTCTTCATGTCTTGGCAGATCTAAAACACACGGAATCCCAGATTGTTTTTTTTTTAATATACGAGTAAAAAGTGATATCTGTGTCCTTCAAAGGTCTACTGAGTTTGCTACTACTGGCTTTCTCCTAGAGGAAATCGACTTTCTGCGATTTCTAATGCTTTTTTCCTTTTTTTCCCATGTTTACTTTTTTTTTTTTTCCAACATTGATCGTAACATCTGAACAATCTTGAGATCCTCTGTGTAATTTCACTGCGTCCGTTCTTGTTTTGATTTGTGATGTTTGTGTGTGAGTGTTAATATCTGTTAGAGCCTCGTCGTGTGTGTGGATGTGCTACAAGTGAGAAAATTAAGCAAGTTATTTCCTGCTCATTTTTCCTTTTCAGTTGTATTATTATTATTTTTTCCGTTAGCCTTGCTTTGCTTTTGTATCCTGAGACCTGTGGATCCACCATCCCCAGCCCATTTTGTTGTCCCTCCCACCACGACAGGAAAAAGACACTGTGTCGTTTCAGTCCTGATTACATTTGCCAATATCTTTTTTGATTTCCATTTTACTTTCGATGTTTTTCATTCACATCAAAGATGATGAGACAGAATCTACAGAAACATCTGTCCTGAAAAGTCACCTGGTGAATGAAGTTCCTGTCTTGGCCAGTCCGGACTTGCTCTCGGAAGTTTCTGAGATGAAACAAGAGTTGATCAAGATGACGGCCATCTTGACCACAGATGTGTCTGGCAGGGCAGGTTCCGTGAAAGTGAAGGAGCTGGCGAAGGCAGCCGAGGAGGAGCCAGGAGAGCCTTTTGAAATCGTCGAACGAGTTAAAGAGGACTTAGAGAAAGTGAATGAGATTCTGAGAAGTGGAACCTGCAGCCGAGACGAAGGTGGTGCGCCCAGGTCCCAGATAGAGAGAGAATTAGCGGAGGAGGAATGGGTTATTGTCAGTGACGAGGAGATAGCGGAGGCGAAGCAGAAGGCAGCTCTAGAAATGCCGGAATACCCGTGCGTAGAAGTCAGGCTAGAAAAAGGAGCCAAAGTCAAAGTAGACAAGGACCCAACCGGGCTAGTGAACTACCTGGCTGAGGATCTAAATTCCTTTGCGCTGCCACACAAAGGGCGAGCGCAGAGCGTGGGTGATGCAGCCGGGGACAGACCTGAGGCCCTGGCTGAACACGGAGGGAAGGACGCTCCCCCAGGCCAGACCCCGAGTGCACAGAAACAGCACAAACCCAGCCCGGGCATAAAGAAGCCCGTGAGAAGGAAATTGAAAGAGAAGCAGAAACCCAAAGAGGATCGTTTGCAAACTAGTGCCGATAAAACGGAGTTTAAAAAATGTAGTTCGGAAGAGTCACTAGAGGAGGACACGGGTCTGACCCCGGAGCCTCTTCCCACAGCGAAGGCCACGTCACCTTTGATAGAAGAAACTCCCATCGGCTCCATAAAGGACAAAGTAAAGGCCCTTCAGAAACGAGTGGAAGATGAACAGAAGGGTCGAAGCAAGTTGCCCGTCAGGGTCAAAGGCAAAGAGGACATGCCCAAAAAGACAACCCACAGGCCGCAGGCCTCTGTGTCGCCCTCCCTGAGGCATTCACCAGTCTCCCCCTCGCCTAAAACGGAAAGACATTCTCCCCTCTCCTCTGCTAAAACAGACAAGCATCCCCCTTCCCCGTCAAGTAAAACCGAGAAACACTCACCCGTGTCCCCTTCCGCAAAAACCGAAAGACACTCGCCCATGTCGTCCTCCAGTAAAACGGAGAAGCACTCACCTGTGTCACCCTCAACCAAAAATGAAAGACATTCCCCTGTGTCATCTTCCGCAAAAGCAGAGAGACACCTACCTGTTTCGCCTTCAGGTAAGACAGACAAACGTCCACCTGTATCACCCTCCGGGCGGACGGACAAACACCCACCAGTGTCACCTGGGAGAACAGAAAAACGCCTGCCCGTGTCACCCTCTGGAAGGATGGAGAGGCACCCTCCAGGACCCGCCCCGGGGAGAACGGAGAAGCACCTGCCTGTGTCCCCTGCTGGGAAGACGGAAAAGCCACCACCTGTCTCCCCCACCTCCAAGACAGAACGGATCGAGGAGACCATGTCTGTCCGGGAGTTGATGAAAGCTTTCCAGTCGGGTCAGGACCCGTCTAAACACAAGACTGGGCTCTTTGAGCACAAAGCAGCCAAGCAAAAGCAGGGACAAGAGAAAGGCAAAGGGCGGGTGGAGAAAGAAAAGGGGCCAACACCAACACACAGAGAAACCCAGAAATCAGAGAGCCAGACGCTCAAACGGGGCCAGAGGTTCCTGGTGACGGGCGCGTCAGAGTCCAAAAGAGGGCTCCGGGTCTCCTCCCTAGGGCTAAGGAGAGAGGAAGCAGCTGGAGAAAAGGAGAAAACTCCCAACCACAAAACACCTGAACCTGTTCAGCCGGCCCCAGAAGAGGAAAGCCATAAAGAGGGCGACATCCCCAGAGACCAGCTGGCTGAGGAGCAGGCAGACCTGGATCTGCAGATCAGCCCAGACAGGAAAACCTCCACGGACTTTTCCGAGGTCATTAAGCAAGAGTTGGAAGACAACGACAAGTACCAGCAATTCCGTTTGAGCGAAGAGCCTGAAAAGGCCCAGATTCACTTAGACCAAGTGCTCACCAGTCCTTTCAACACGACATTCCCGCTAGATTACATGAAAGACGAGTTCCTGCCGGCTCTGTCTGTACAGAGTGGCGCTCTCGATGGCAGCTCTGAGAGCCTCAAGCAGGAAGGGGTGGCAGCTTCTCCCTGCGGGAGCCTGATGGAAGGGACCCCCCAGGTTAGTTCAGAAGAAAGCTATAAGCACGAGGGGCTAGCCGAGACCCCCGAGACCAGCCCGGAGAGCCTGTCTTTCTCACCGAAGAAAGGTGAAGAGCAAACTGGGGAACCAGATGGAACTAGCAAGTTAGAAGCACCAGTAGAGGCCCGTTCTGAAAAAGAACACCCCTCAGTCAAAGACATGACCACTGGTTCTGAGCCAGACACCGCCGTCACTGTGGGCACGGAGCCTCCTGCTGAGTGCAGGCCCAAGGAGGCCACTGGCGACCCCTCCGAGGACACCAACCGCGAGCAAGAGGGCGATTGCCCTGGCAGCTGTAGTGTGCCATTAGCAAAAGAAACGCCCCAAGGACTGATAGAGGATGAGTCCTGTGATGAGGGGCAACTTGGGCAAGTTAGTTCAGCCCACAAGGCACAAACTGAGAGTGCCTCTCAGGAACCCACGACCACAGAACCCGCAGATGAGACCCAGACCTCACCGCCACTGCCCGAGGCTTCTGTAAAGTCAGAGGCAGGGACGGGGACTGAGGCCAAGCCCCAGGGAGCCATTAGAAGCCCCCAAGGGCTAGAACTTGCCCTCCCTTCCCGAGACAGTGAGGTCCTCAGCCCTGGAGCTGATGAATCCTTTGCAGTGAGCCACAAAGACTCGCTGGAGGCCAGCCCCGTGCTGGAGGATAACTCCTCTCACAAAACCCCAGACTCTCTGGAACCCAGCCCTCTGAAAGAATCCCCTTGCCGAGACTCTCTAGAAAGCAGCCCAGTAGAACCAAAGACAAAAGCTGGCGTGCTGCCAAGTCACTTTCCTCTACCTGCAGCCATGGCTAAAGCAGAACTCTTGGCAGAAGTGGCCTCTGTGCGGTCCAGGCTGCTCCGGGACCCCGATGGCAGTGCCGAGGATGACAGTCTGGAGCAGACGTCACTCATGGAGAGCTCGGGGAAGAGTCCCCTGTCTCCCGACACCCCCAGCTCTGAAGAGGTCAGCTATGAGGTGACCCCCAAAGCCACAGAGGCAAGCACTCCCAAACCAGCAGTGATTCATGAATGTGCAGAGGAGGAGGACTCAGAAAATGGGGAGAAAAAGAGGTTCACACCCGAAGAGGAAATGTTTAAAATGGTAACTAAAATCAAAATGTTTGATGAACTTGAACAAGAGGCAAAGCAGAAAAGGGACTACAAAAAAGAACCCAAACAAGAAGAATCTTCGTCAGCCTCTGACCCAGATGCTGATTGTTCAGCAGATGCTGAAGAGCCAAAACCCTTGGAGTATGTTGAGGGGGAAGGCAGTGTTCCCATGGTGGTAACATCGGAGAGCAGAAAGCCGTCTTCCTCCTCAGAAAGTGAACCTGAGTTGACACAGCTGAAAAAAGGTGCTGACTGTGGCCTCTTACCAGAACCTGTTATTCGAGTACAGCCCCCGTCCCCACTTCCATCCAGCATGGACTCCAACTCCAGTCCCGAGGAAGTGCAATTCCAGCCGATAGTTTCCAAACAATATACCTTCAAGATGAATGAAGATACGCAGGAAGGCTCAGGTCAAGCAGAAGGAACAGATTGTGAATCCCATGTGCCTGAAGACAATCATGGTGTTTGCACCAGTGGACCAGCTGTGTCTTATAATGATCTCAATAAAGATGCCGATCAACCAAAAATCTGCGAAGGTCATGGGTGTGAGGCTAGCAGCCCCAGCAGCTCAGCCACACCTGGTGGTTCAGGTCTTCAGAGTCCTCCTGGCCGTGATGTCAGTAAAGAGCAAGACGTCCGTAAGGGATCCTTAGTTCTCCAGGGCACTGATGAAGAAGACTCAAAAGCTGAGGAGATTGAGGTTTCTGAAATGGAATCCCCACAAGTAGATTCCCCCAGGCAAAGTTGTTCATCTTTGTCCTCTTTGCCTCATTGTCCGGCATCCACAGGAAAAGAGTTAGATGAAGCCTCTGTATCTTCTACTACAAAAATGGAGGCCACAGACACTGAGGAAACTTTGGAGGATCTACCAAAAGACTGCTCCACTCAAGGCTCATCGGTTACGGCTCAGACAGACAGATTGTCCACGGATGCTCTGGCCTCTGGCTCTGCTGAGACTGATGACACTTATGACCCAGAAATCATAAGTCCTTATGAAAATGTCCCTTCCCAATCCTTTTTCTCTAGTGAAGGAAACAAAACCCAAGCAGAGGCAGGACACACAACTTTTCACTCTTCTGAAGTGTATGCCGTTACCATCGCATCCTCTGGTGAAGACGTCGTTATGACGAGCTCCTCTAGCAGAACTGTTTTGAGTAGAGAATCTAACTTTCAGGGTGAGAACTCAGAAATAACATCCCATCAAGAGAGTACCTTGTGGGAAATGCAATCAGACAGACCCCTCTCATCTTCAGAGACCACTATAGCAGACGCATCAGTAGTCGTCGGAGAACAGATAAGCAAAGTCATCATCACAAAAACTGACGTGGACTCTGATTCTTGGAGTGAAATCCGTGAGGATGATGAAGCCTTTGAGGCACGAGTGAAAGAAGAGGAGCAAAAGATATTTGGTCTGATGGTAGACAGACAGTCACAAGGTACCACCCCTGACACCACTCCTGCCAGGACCCCAACTGAGGAGGGGACCCCAACCAGTGAACAAAATCCATTTCTCTTTCAGGAAGGAAAATTATTTGAGATGACCCGAAGCGGTGCCATTGATATGACTAAAAGGTCTTATGCAGATGAAAGCTTTCACTTTTTCCAAATTGGGCAAGAATCGAGGGATGAGATGCTCTCTGAAGACCTGAAGGAAGGGGCTGCTGGGTCTGAGTCCCCACAACTGGAGACGTCGTCTGGGTCACTAGCACTTTCAGAATCAAAAGAAACAGTGGCTGATGAAGTAGACTTACTTCCCGATGACCTGGCTGAGGAAGTAGAGGAAACCTCTGCTTCAGAAGCTCAGCTTAACTCCTCAGTGGGGAGCTCAGCCTCCACTGAAACATCAACCAAAGAGGCTTCTTCTTCAGGGGTGGAGGATGTCCCCACCATGCACATGGGTGATACACCCCCTCTGTCCAGTGTGAAGCAGACACCTTGCTCTGAATCCCCTGAACAGGTTGTACAAGTTCAGTTAGATTTTGCTACAGTCACTCGGTCTGTATATTCAGGGCGGGATGAGGAATCACCCGATTCTTCCCCAGAGGAACAGAAATCAGTCATTGAAATCCCTACTGCACCCATGGAGAACGTGCCTTCTACTGAAAGCAAATCCAAAATTCCTGTTAGGTCACTAGCCATTTCAACCCCAAAGCCTCCATCGACAGAGCTCAAGAGTTCCCTTTCTGAAGAGTGTGTGTCCAGCCTGGATGAGGAAAACAAAGAGGATGAAACTAAACCAAAGTCTAAAGTTCCCATCAGAGCACCCATCCAAACAGTTGAACAGCAGCTTTTGCATCAAGAGTCATCTCTCCAGCAGACAGTGGCTCTTCAGGGACAGGATATGCCAAACAGAGCGCCGGACAGCAGGAGCAAATCTGAATCTGATGCCAGCCCTTTGGACTCAAAGACCAAATGTCCAGTGAAAACTAGAAGTGACACTGCGACAGACACACAAAATGGAGAGAGGGCAGAGGAGTCTGAGGTAGAGTCAGAAGACGGGGCCACAAGACCAAAGATATTTGCATCCCGACTGCCAGTGAAGAGCAGAAGCACCAACTCTTCCTCCAGAGGGGCTGTGAGCCCCACCAAAGAAAGTAAGGACCATTTCTTTGACATTTACCGAAACTCCATAGAATTCTTTGAGGAGATTAGTGACGAGGCTTCCAAGTTAGTGGATAGACTCACACAGTCGGAAAGGGAGCAGGAACTAGTTTCAGATGATGAAAGTAGCAGTGCCTTGGATGTGTCCGTAATCGAAAATCTGCCACCTGTTGGGACCGAGCACTCAATCCCCGAGGACATCTTTGACACAAGGCCCATTTGGGATGAGTCCATTGAGACTCTGATTGAACGCATCCCTGATGAAAATGGCCATGACCCCACTGAAGGTATTTGCCAGCCACTGGGATTCCCTGTGCTAAGCATGTCATGAATTTGATATAGTTTTTGTGTGTGTGTGTGTCTGTTTTCTTTGGTGATGTATGTCTCATTTCCTTTCAGCTTTCTGTAGTGATTACTGTGTTTGTGTAAGCCCTTGTGTTTTGTGCTCTCTTTGTATACTCTTGTCTACAAAAACAATCTCAAGATTGAGTAATGAGAATGCTTATGGAAACATCAACATGACAGTCAGGCAATGGTGAGATTGCCTCTCTCAGCCGCTGCACGCAAGGCCATGCAAGCTTTGAGTTTTGTTGTTCTAAAGTCCCAGGCTGAGCCTGCAAAAAAGCCCTTTCTGCTTTTGCCCATGAATTGATTGGGTTCTGTTTCACAGTCAGAGGATTCATTACTATTTCTTGTCACCTTTGTGAACTTCGAAGTAATTTGTGCTTAACAATTTTGTGATCATTAGGAAGCCATTTGCTCAAGAAGATTTCACATATCATGAAATTCCAATGGTTGTGAATCAGAATGGTTGTCTTTGATACCATTGGTAAACAGTTTAAACAAACAAACGTAAGGTAAAAGTATGCTTTTCATATACATGACAGATGAGTTCAGAATGTGCTCCAATTAGAGGCAGCAAACAACAAAAACTCAAACTTTGCATGATTTCACTTGACTATGAGGGGAGAATGGCTCTTTGGACTGTAAAAAAGGAAGCCATATTTGACTTTGCAAATTGACCTCTGGTCTTCCACTATCTCTACAATAAAGACTATGACTCTTAAATTTGTGCTAGAAAACATATCATGATACAATGACCTACAATGTTGCCCTTTCATGAATGGGGGTTAAAAATGAATAGGAAAATTAGTGTCTGTGGGAGCAATAATTGGGCCTATGAATAGTAAGCAGACAGAAACTGTGACCAAAGACATGCACATATGTCTACACCAATAGAGGATAGACATACAGACACACTTTATTCCCGCTTCTTCAAGGTGCCTAAGACCCAGGCACATGTTATTTTTGGCCACACTCAAAAAGCCCAGGATGGTCTGGTCAACCCACGATCTACCTCTTTGGTGAACCTCAGATGTGATTTCCTTCAGACTTGACCTGGAATGATCCAGCCACAGGCTACATGAGGAGGGCCTTTCAGCCTGGTCATCTGTGCACCCTTGACAATTTTCTCTGGTGTTTGACAAGAAAGATGATTGTCTTCGGGTGGGCAGTATCCTCTCAGATAGTTTGCAAGGAAAGTCCTAAGATTACTAGAAATCAGCAACTTTGTGTAAATTACGTCCAGTGACTAGTCTTGATTAAAGAGATATGGAAGCAGATGGTTTTCATGATTTAGACTAGATTTCTTTCCCATTCCATTCCAGAAATCATACAATTTAATATGACTTAAAACCTAACAACTATTCTGTGTTATTATGGACTATTTGGACAAGTGACTTCCTTGCCTTGGATATCAGCCCCCCCAACCCCCCCATGGTTCCTCTCCCGTCATAGACAACCTTTGGCCGTTCTGTTTTTGACCTACTGTAGATCAACAGGATGAGCAGGAACGGATCGAGGAAAGGCTGGCTTATATTGCTGATCACCTGGGCTTCAGCTGGACAGGTAACATGAACATGACCCATTTTTTCCAACGCAACCTCTGGTTTAAATAACACCATTGCCTCCACTAAGTGTCATTAACATTTTCCTCGGGAATCCAGGCTCTGCATTAACTCCCTGTGTCTGCCAAGCCACACCTTTTACATTTCTGGAATTTAGAATAATGGGACTCCCATACTGGGAGGTTTCGAGACTATCGCAGCCCTCTTCCAACAGCTGTGGCTCTCTAAGCTTTGTGAGATCGCTGCATTTCAGTACAGTAAGATGAGATTGCCATAAGTTTAATTTGAGATGTAACCAGGCTCTCTATCTGAGATTCCTGCCATTGGCCGTCTTATCAATTTGCTTTGGCTGAATGTGGACATGTGTGGATTGAGAATGGTGATTGATTTTCTGAGACGTGAGAATATTTAGATATGTAAATTATAACATGTTGAATAAGTTATGGGGGGTAGTGAATCCTGAAATCAACATGGTTTAGTTACAAGTCGTAAGTTTTAGATTTTATGCTTACCCTTTCATCTTAGCCGTGCCATTGTATTAATGCAAGATTGTCCATCAGCAACTTCCTCTTGTGTCACTTGTGACTACTTTGATTATTTTATTTAGACAAACGTATAAGTAACGTAAATACTATTTTCCTTTCAGATTTTCAAAGATTTGATGATGATAAGAAATTCATATCATATTAATGGAACTGATTTAGAATGTAGAAGAAATGATTGGAAGCAAGAAAAATAGCCATTTTCTCACTTTTTAACATTGTAAAGCAAGTTTAAAGGATTGATCAGATTTAATTGAGGAATTTAGGGAAAAGTACATCAAAATCCCTCGTTGACTTATTAAATAGAAAACATTCAAAACTATTAATTTTGCTTCTTAAATATGTCTGTCTATTTACTTATATATATATATGACATTGTATAGATATATCTCTATGTATCTATATAGATATATATACACATAGCTATGTATTTTGAGAGTTTTCAAACCCTAAAACCATTCAGAATGAAAAATCTGATGTTTGCGCCGATTCCCATACTTTGAGGGTAACTGTTAACACTTTTGCAGATGTTCAGAAAAATAATATTCATACCTGTTTTTAAAAAGTAAGTAAATTTGTACTTAATATTTCTCATATTCCATCAGCACAGACATATCCATGCTGGAATTAAATAGCATTTAATTGCACGATATAAAAGTAACATTATTTTATCAGTAGGCTGTATTGATAAATGTTTAGCTTTCGTCCTGTTAATAACAATAAATATATTTGTATATAAATGTATTCTTGTAGGCATATCTTTAGGGCATATTCAATAATCCAGGAGAATTACCTAGTAAAGGATATCTGTATTACTATGTAGACATTATAACTTTTGAAAGATATCCAAAGTGCCTTAAAAGAGGTCCCCTCACCCGCAAGAAAGAAGTTTATTCCAGTGCCAAAAGTGATCCAAAGTTAGAATTTATCCAAGTAACCAGAAATAAGATTTGTGTTACTTTAAATGTCACCAAATAATAATAAAAAGTGAGAAGTGCTCTATTTCTCCTGTTTGCAGCCATTTATTTATTTTTTTGATATCTTGGTTAAGTTGTAACGATCTCTGCTATAGTTTGGAATTAAATGGGCCTGAGTTATACATACTTTATCACCATTGCCTCAAATGTACTGTTTCCATGATGACAGCAATCGATTCTATACCCGACTTTGAGGAAGAAACTCTGCAGCTAGTGCTAAAAGAACCAAGACTATGAGCTACACTTCTTCGATTAAAAAAAAAGGGGACTCCGTCACACTGCAGTAACAAGAACACGTCATTTACACGAGTCCCAGACCAGGTACAGAGACTCAAGCCGTGATGTCCACTCACTTACAGAGTGCTGCTTTGTCTTGTAGAATTGGCGAGGGAGCTGGATTTCACTGAGGAGCAGATTCATCAGATCCGAATCGAGAATCCTAACTCTCTGCAAGACCAGAGCCACGCACTGCTGAAGTACTGGCTGGAGCGGGACGGGAAGCAGGCGACAGGTGGGCTTCGGGGTAGCGAGTGGTCAGCTATTGGCGGATATGAGTCTTGCTTGACAAACCCTTTTTTTTTTTTTAAGATTTATTTATTTGTACATACAGAACTGGGGTACAGGCCAGAGCCTCAGGGGCAGCGAGAGGCTTCACCAGAGACAGAGTGGGGAGCAGAACAGGCAGATCGACGAAGCACACTGCTGAGGGGAGCAGTGGGCGGGTCAGGAGAGGTCTGCCACACCAAGTGGTCGCCTCCAGGGTAGGCGGGAATCGAACTCATGCGGAAGTGGCTTTAGCTTCTCAGTGCTGTGCTTAACCCTCTGCGCCACCAGGGAGGGCCCTCGACAAACCCTTTCTTAGGGCATAATTGACAAATGTCATGGAGCTCAAGTGCAACTGAGCAGAGAAGCAGCTCCACCCTTCCTAAACGTACCTGCTGCCTGGATTTGCCCTCTGTTCCCGAGAGCAGCGGTACTAGTGGGAAGCGAAACCACTCGTTGCTGGCAGGAAGGCGTGTGAACGACAGTCCTAAAAGCTTCTCAGTCTTCCAGTGGACACCGCTGCTTCATAGCGTTGTTTTACCACTAGTATGTTCCCTTCAGTTCCTGCTTCCCTTACCACAAAGGCCTTAAATGGGACAAATGTCCAGCAGATCGTCTGTATTATCATTCATATATGATATTGTCACCATATCAAAGAAAATGGGAAGCAATCCAGGCCATAATTTCTCATTCCTCAGATGCTCTAATTTTCTTGCACCCTTGAATGTCTCTGAAGATCAACCTAGGCACCTCAGTTATTCACATCTGTGCTATAAATTTATCTTTTCTTTTGCCGTTCTTCTAGTTCAGATTGTCAGAAAGCAAATAAAAATAGAGGACACCTAGTCAAACTTCAGTTTCAGGTAGTCCACACATACTTTTCAGTCTTGGTGTATCCCATGCAGTGTTTGGGATATACTTACATTAAAACAGCATTTGCTTTTTAGCAGAAGCTCACTGTGCCAGGGTGTCCTTGCATTATCTGGCAACCCTGGTTTTTGGGTGCCTACACTGTACCAGCACCCTTTTCTGCATGTCTGCTTGTTTGTTTTTTACAAATGTCTTTAATTGGGCTTGGGTTGACTCCCGTACACACGTCACAAATTTGTTATGGCACTGGAATGAAGGCGATGTGTAAATGGCTCCCCCTCAGATATAACAAATCCTGTTTCTCTAATATCCCAGATGTCAGTCTCATCGAATGTCTCACCAAGATCAACCGAATGGACATTGTTCACCTCATGGATACCAGCACAGAGCCCCTGCAGGAGCGCCTCAGCCACAGCTATGCTGAGATGGAGCAGACCATCGCCCTGGACCACAGCGAAGGTCAGACGTGTGTGGGGAGTGTGCGTGGGGTGCGTGTGGTGTGTCACGCACGGGGTGTGTGCGCACATGCAGGGAGGGTGTGAGTGTATGGAGTGTGTATATAAATGAGTGTGTGTGTGCATGCATGGGGGGTGTGCCTGCATGTGATGTGTGTGGTGTACACGTGCAGTGTGTGTACCTGTGTGGGCAGCTGTGGGCACATGGTGTGTGTACGCATGGGATGTGTGTGTGTACAGGGAGTGTGTGCATGTACGTGTGTGTGGTGTGCGTGTGTGACGTGTGTATGGGGTGTGTGAGTGTTGTATACGTGTCATGTGTGTGTCTGTGCCATCTATGTGGGGGGTGTGCTGGAAGGCCAACTCAAGGCACCAGACCTACCACCTCTCTTCTCTGGAGGGTGCGCTGTGGCCGTGCGGCCTCAGACATTGTTCCCGCCGCCCTGAGTGCTCCCTGCCCATTGCTTAGGCGGCCATAGGCTCATGCCTTGTCCTTCCACCATGGCCTCCATCAGCTCAGGTTGCTCTGACAAAATGCCATACGCTGGGTCATTTCAGTAGCAGGCATATATTTCTCAGTCTCCTAGATCAGGGCGCCAGCTTGGTTGGATTTGGTGAGCACCCGCCCCTAGGGTGCAGACACTGCCTGCTCACTGTGTCCTCCTGGGGGAAAGAGAGCAAGCTAATTCTTGCCTCTTCCTGAGGACACTAATCCCAGCCATGCGGGCTCTGCCCCGTGGCCTGTCCGTCTGGAAGGCCCAGCGGCCCCCAGTCATTCCCTTGGGATTAGGCTTCACCTTGTGAACTTCAAGAGGACACTCACATTCAGTTCACGACCACTTGCGTTCAGTTCCCTGATGGCACTTCTGCTCTTGTGCTTGTGTTGTGCTCACCCTTAGCCCGCCACCTCTGTTCACAGTGGGACCCTGTCACTGGCGGGACCATCCTCATCATGGGAAGCACCGCAGTCACTTCCTCTTTGGCTTCTTAATCAGCAGTTCCCCAAGCCTGCCCCGAGGAGGGGGTGTAGTCCAGCCCTGGGCCGAGCCCCTTTCAGGGCTGATGTTTCTCTAACCCACTCACCTTCATTTGCATGCCCTCCCCCCCCCTTCCTCAGTTTCTCCTATCTTTGCCCTTTCTTCTATCAAGCCTCCAATATTTCTCTCTGTCTTACTTATTCTAAGATGATGTGTAAGCTTCATGTTTCCTGGAAGAAAAAGAAATGATTATGAGCAAATATTCCTATCCTTCCATCTCAGAACCCAGCACCCTCAGTGCATCGGAATGTCTACACTCTGCCCTGCCATTACAATGTATAGAATTTCTTGGCTTTTTTAAAATCAGCATTTCTTCTTTAGTAGGAAGATCTCATTCCCTCTTATCCAGTGGAAGACTTTCTTCTGACTTCCCGTAGAGCAGGTCTGCCAGCATAAAGGCACTGTTACACACCCCTCTTTAAAGATAAGATAAAGAAAAGAAAAAAAAAAATCCTTTCTCCTTGCATGGTCCCTGATGATTTGCCCACTTCAAAGTCAGTCTCTCCAAAAGAAGAGTCTGAATGTCCTCTACTTCTTCCCATTCTCTTTAGAATTCTCTCCAGAGTGCAAGAGTGCACTCCATTCAGGCTCTTATCATCACTCAGCATAAAAAGTGTTCTAAAAATCCACCAATCAGGGCCCTCTGGTGGCGTAACGGGTTAGGACTCAGCACTGCAGGCTGGCCGCAGCCACTTCACTGTGAGTTAGATCCCTGGCCCCGGAGGTGACCCACCTGGCACGGCAGACCTCTCCTGACCTGCCCACTGCTCCCCTCAGCAGTGTACTTCGTCGATCTGCCTGTTCTGCTCCCCACTCTGTCTCTGGTGAAGCCTCTCGCCGCCCCTGAGCCTCTGGCCTCTACCCCAGTTCTGTATGCACAAATAAATAAATCTTAAAAAAAGAAAAAAAATCCATCAGTAATATCCATAGTGCCAAATGCAATGAGTAATTCTGAATTGTCTTCATCATAACTTCACCCATTGGTGACATTTGACATAGCGGATCTTTACCCAATTTTACTCTGCTCTTAGAGTTATCATAAATATGTATCTGTACAAATGTGAATGCAGTGAAGACAGAAGCTTCTCTCTGTTCACTGCTCTGTCTTCAGCATCTACCCAGCATCTGAACATAGTTGATACTCATGTATATCTGCTGAGTGAATAGGTGATGGTCACTCACACGTTTGCTAAACACCTTGTGTGACCCCTCACTGCTCTGGATGGAGTAAAACCCCTTATCCTGGCATGAGCTCTTCCTTAAAAAAAGGACCAAGTTCCGAGTGTTAATGCAAGTTCTCACTTGCAGATAAGTTTGAATAGTCCCTGACTCGTCATAAATATTCAGAATGTATTGATAATTATTTCTGTTGTCACCAGCACCAGTGCTCGGGCTCCTTACCACTTAGAGTCTATGCCTGAGCCATCAAAGGTGGTGCCTGTTTATCAGCAGGTCTCCTGAAGATATCACACCCTCTCATCTTCCTTCCTGGTTCTCCAACCTCTGATGCCATTCACTGGCTGGCCCCTGGGGTCTGTCCCCTCTGCTTTTAAGTCACCTCGCTTGCCTGACCTGCCCTGAATGACCAGCATTTTGAAGACAGAAGTGCCTGGTTCACCCAGAGATGCCTGTTCCTTTGCTTTGCTCCTTCATATTCCATATAACAGTGACGTTATCCTGTATTTGTCTTTCTAACTTATTTTTTTAAAAGATTTATTTACTTATGCATCCAAGAACTAAGGTACAGGCCAGAGGTGTGAGGGGTTGAGAGGATTCACCAGAGTCAGAGTGGGGAACAGAATAGGCAGATTGACTGACATACACTGAGGGAAACGGTGGGCAAGACAGGAGAGGGCCACCACGCCGAGTGGGTCAGCTCCCTGGCCAGGGATCAAACTCGTGCTGCAGTGGCTGCAGAGAGCTTCATAGTGCGGTGCCCTTAACCCATTGCACCACCAGGGAGGGCCCTTCTTCTGACTTACTAAATGCTCATTTAAGTAGACAAGCTGCGATTCAATACTAAACTTACCGTGTTGTCCTGCAGGATTCTCGGTGCTTCCAGAGGAACTCTGCACTGTGCCATGCAAGCAGAAAGAAGAGCCAGCCGCTTGTAAAGAAGGCGAATCCTCCGATCACCCTCCCATCGTCTCCGAGGAAGACATTTCTGTTGGCTATTCCACTTTTCAGGATTGTGTCCTCAAAACTGAGGGGGACGGCTCAGCCACAGAGCTCTTTGCCCACACTCCCAAGGATCAAGTGCAACAGGATTTCTCAGGGAAAATGCAAGACCTGCCAGAAGAGTCACCTCCTGAACGTCAGCAGGAATACTTGTGAGTTTCAAAAGAAAGCCTGTCAAAAGCAATCCCAAAGAAACTAGCCCCTGTGGTCGGGGGATGCCAGGCAGGCGCAAGCATAAGTCACCACACCAATAAAAGTGCTAGGGCTAGAGAAAAAAAACAAAAAAAACAAAACAAAACCCACAAATATATGCCTATGAGTCCACACTGTACCTCTGATGAAGGCTTTATTTCTAAAAATTACGTTTCTTGATGCAGCATTGATTTACAACAGTGCATGTGATCTGTTGGGGTGGGCTTGCACTCCTCTGGCATCGGTGAGCACACCACCAGAGAGACCTAGAATCCTCCGCCAGTGCTGGGCCTTCTCCCCTCTTGGCTCCCCACCCCCTTCCCTGTCTGGTGGCCTCAGTTCTGCTGCATATTTCTAGTTTATTTTGGCTTGGTTCTCTCTGTCCCTGTGCTTTGTTCCTTTATAGTCACATAGCAGGGAAGTTCTCCTGCATTTGTCTTTCTTCTGACTTATTTCAAAAAGCAAAATGTTTAAGAGACATCGCTGTGACAGGTCTGTCGGCCCAGATTTGCTTGAACCACCTACTGGTTCTGTGACTTTCATCAAGACCCTAACCCCTTTTAGTCTTCATTTCTGTATCTAAAACTCACGCTGATAAATGGGTAAATGCACAACCTGTGGCCTTGACAGTGTCGAAGGTCAAGGGCATGCCCTGGAAAGCCTTGCTTAAACTGGAAACTCACGCAGACCTGGCAGCGCACAGGTGTGAGGCGCAGGGCTCCCCTTCTCTGTGGCCCTTCCATAGGGTGCCTGTGTGCCCTGGCCCTGGAGCAAGGATGGTGAGGGCTGAGGGGTCCGCCCTATGTCGTCCAGCAAAGTACTGAGGTAGGGAACCATAAGAAAGAAATGCAAACAGTAGAATCTATAAAAGAAAACAGAAGTGCAAGGCACTTCTGTGTTCTCGCAGACCATTGAATGAGACTGTTGCCGTGGAGCGGGACAAAGAAAGGTCATCTGGGTGCTTCTGGCTGAAGGAAGCTGCACAAGCAGTGCAGGGTGTCATTCCAGGCTTTATGAACACAAAGGAGAGGATGTGGAGGTACACTTGTCTAGGAGTCAGACCCTGAGAGAGCTGAAGCGTCCCTCCTGGGGTCTGAGAACAGGGAGTCAGCAGGGAGCGCCATAGCGTTTCTGTTGCTGCTCAGTGAGTTTGTGGTTTGGGGTGCCTGGAATGTAAGGAGAGGGAGCTTCTTCCACTGATCCCCAGCTTGCGGTTATAAGGGAGAACAAAGAGAGAAGGAAAAAGGGGAAAATGGGAAGCAAAGAGGGAATATCAGAGCCATGTCTAGGGCATTTAATCTTATAGCCTGTGGCAGAAAATAGCAGGCAATTGTTAAAAAGAGCAGCCAAAGAAGAGTTATTTTCTTAATCCCTCAGATGATAAAAATATCACACGTATAATTATAACTATATTAATGTGGCGTTCATATGTTGCTTTTTTAAAATATTGCCAAATTTTGATTTGCTCCAGAAGCCTTTTGATGGTAACCTCCTCAAGCCTCCAATATCACCTTCAATCATCAAAGAAACGCTAAAGTGAAAATGTGTATACTCACAGAGATGGGGAAACGGCACTACATTTTAGGATAATACTAATGTGTAGACTGGCCCCTTCCCATTCCATGCTAGGTCAGCGTATGCCTATACTATATCTTACAGGCTGATTGTCCTTCAAATGTCATTTCTTGGCTAAATCCGTGAAGGCGAGCTCCGTCTGCCCGTCCAACGCGCGGAGGGAACTGCGCATGCGCCTTGCTCTAACTGGCATTTCCTTTGCAGTGTGACTTCCCCAGGGACAGAAGTGTCAGAGCCCAGGGCCGCGGCAGTCTCGGGTTCCCCCAGCCAGACCCCTGAGGAAGTCAGTACCCCTCCTGACGGGGAGCGGCCCTACCTCCAGACCCCGGCCCCCAATGAGCGGGGAGACTCCCCCATTATACAAGAACCCGAGGAGCCCCCAGAGCACAAGGAAGAGCACTCTCCCCGGAAAACCAGCCTGGTCATCGTGGAGTCCACTGACGAGCAGCCCCGGGCCCTGAAAAGAGCCGATGATGATGCAGCCTTTGTAAAGGTAAAACGTTCCTTCTCCAATTCATGGCCCACAGAGTCTGAGGACTTCGTGTTTTTTTGCAGTAGCACAGAAATGTCTGCAAATCAGTTCACCAGGACTGTGGAAAAACCTCAGTGATCCCCTGTAGACTGGGAACCAGTGAATCAAGGGGAAAATGGCATAGTTTCAGTTCTAACTATCTGACCGTAACCCTTACTCCATCTCTGGAAACCCTTTTACTAAGAAAAATGAAGAATGACGTCAGAAATATTTCTGACTTAGCTCTTCAAAATTAATAATTTTAGGTATGAAGTCTTTGGGAGGGATAATAGAGCCTCTGGTGAGCCTCCAGCACCTTAGCATTTATTTCTGAATGGAGCTAGAGAAAAGCATCTATTTCTTTGCATGATTCTCAGAACCAGTTAGAAAATCTCACTTCTAAATTATTTAACTAAACAGATATGAAAATCCTTCTATGTGGCACTTACATTTTTCACAGAATATTATATGATGTGATATAAAATATCAGTGAAATCATAATGGGAAAAAGGTCTGATAACTGTGAGATCACATCACAGTGTTTCCCTGTTCATTGAGATTTGACATTGTAAAGAGGCTATCTTAAGAAATCATGAAGTCACTTATTCTCATGATGTGTTCCAATGTTGATTTCCCTCAGTTTTGACTGAGAGGTTTGATCACTCAGAATTCCTGAACCAAAGGAATCGAGTGAGCAAAGGGAGACCAAGAATTTGCTTTAACTAATTTAATAGATGCTTCGCATAGGGACAAACATGAATCTCTGTTCAGTTAAACTTAAATTAGGTAATAGTTTTCCTTTAAAAAACTCAAAAACTGGTCATGGAGCAAAGTGTTTTTAAAGCATTTATATATATATGTATATATATATATATATATATATATATTAGAAGTAAAAGTGGACTATAAAGAATTAAGGGGTGGGGGGGAGTCATATATCTTTGGGTATAAAATTTGCATTTCTTTTTGTTCACTGTGAGGTTTGGGCAGTTATAGATAATGACATCATTCCATGAGTAGATTTTCATTCCAACTTGGCCTCTACACAGAGTCACACAAACTTCAACTGGACTAAAATGAATTCTAGTAAAAAGTGTGCTTTAATGGTGTCTGGGCTTAAAAGTTACCTGATTTAGTTAAAAGACTGTTGGTGAAGCGAAGCATAGACTTGTAATTGACATATGGATTATTTGTATATTTAAACTATTCTACGCATAAAATAAATGTTGAAAAGTTAGTCTGCAATCCAAATCCATTCCATTTCTGATGAACTTCCAGTTTGCCCTCTTGTTTCCTATCTTGACTATTCACTTCCCATAATCCCGACCTGAAGATGCAATTTTGGTCGCTCTTCTTGCTGATCATTTTGCTGGGCAGCCAAATCCTACATGTATTTAATGTTTAGAATTGACATGTTTTTCTTTAGCAGAAAGAATATAAAAACATATTGGGCGTTTTCAAGTATGTTGAAAAAAACTGAGTTTTTGTTTCTTAACAGCATTCCTTTACGACAGAATGACTTCACATACGGCTCCCAAGACACATTGTTATCATCTAAAATGATCTTCCTAGCTCACCTCTGGAATAGGCCCATGATTATAGTGGGATTTAGCTCTGCATCTCAGCTCCATTATAGAATGCATCTGTGTTATTTATAGCTGCTTTTCTTGATGCCAGGGAGATGGACTACTGGCTAGGTACTAGCCACAGGAGAGTTTTATTTCTTGCACAAAACGTCTGCTATTAGCAGAAGACAGGTTCACACCTTCGGGTTCTTCTGGCAAACCTCAGTCCAAGTGTCAATGCTCGAAAGTGTTAATTGTGTCGCTTGCATTCTGTGTTTACACTCGAGTAGCAGAAGTTGAAGTCCTTGTGGGCAGGCTACCTATTTCTTCTGGCAGATTTTGACAGCTGGGCACTTAGCTTGCTGTCAGAATTCCAGAATGATTTTGCATTTGCAGAAAAGCTTTATATTCTCACTCAAGTTTGAGGCGAGCCTTCTTGCCAAAGCCTCTTGAGTCATACTTGTAGAAAACCATGTGTGCCTAAGCAGAAAGCAATGGAGAAGTTCCTTAGCGTGATAAACAAAACCATGCTTCCATGCTTCCACCAGGAGCTAACGCAGGAATTAGGGGAGCTGGAGGTCAGCTCAGATGAGGAGACCATGGTAACTACCAGGGTGGTTCGCCGGCGAGTGATCATTCAGGTACCGGCCATCAAATGATGCACGTGCAGGCCAGTCCTGTCCCTGTAGCTCCTAGAGAGTGGTGGCCTGGAGCCGTGCAGGCTTGGCATGCTCCCTAGATAGTGCATGGCCGCTCCAGCAAATGCCTTAACTCTTCCCGGTTCTTCTTGGAACAAACATGGAGGCAATGCCAAGCGCAGCCTCCCTCTCAGAAAACCAACGGCAATCGCACGACTTACCTCCTTCGGGTCCCACTGCCTCACCTGGCGCTTCTCTGGTTTTGTTACACGTTTTACCTAACTTCGGTCAGATTTTCCTAAGCATGTCCTTACCCACTTCTTTTGGTTGTTTTTCTTTTGAACATACTACTCGACAGGATTTGGCATCTGAGCCATGCTTCTGGAGTGTTCTTTCTCTTGACTAACAATGCTTACCTGATAAGCACGTGGGAGTAATTCCTCAACAACGCTGCCCACACTGACGGGCTCTTTGCTCTCCTTTCAGGGTGATGATATGCCCGATATACCCCCGGAAACGGTCACAGAAGAAGAATACGTGGATGAGCAGGGACACACGGTGATAAAGAAGGTACAACAGGCCCCAGTCTGCGCACCGTGGCTCTCAGCCCCTCACCCCAGCTAGTGGGAATCATGCTCTGGCCCCATCCCTGAGAAACCAGATACAAGAATAAAATCTCTTGCAGGTTACCAGGAAGATCATTAGGCGGTACGTCTCCTCGGATGGCACAGAAAAGGAGGAGATTACCATGCAGGGAACACCCCAGGAGCCAGTGAGCCTGGAGGATGGGGACGGTTATTCCAAAGTCATAAAGCGCGTCGTCCTGAAGAGTGACTCGTCACAGTCAGAGGTGAGTCCACCACCCATCCTGTCCTCCATCGTATCGGCCTGAGGGCGCCATGGAGGTGGCTCTCAGTGGCACCTGCATTGACTGCCTCTCGACTGGGTGGGGCCTTGGAAGGAGCATGATCACCACTCTCGACGTTGTCTTTCTTTGGTTCTTTTCATTTCTGTTTTGAATTGAATTTGTAGTTGACCGCAGCAGAAACCTGAATGACAGATTCTAAGAGCTTCAAGGCCCACTTTCTGGGCAGGCTGTGTGTTGGGAAAAAAACCCATCAAAGTCCAGTTGGATTCCGGAACTCCAGGATGCTGTGCACGCAGGCTTTCCTGGGACACTGCAGAATAATATTTGAAATTGTAGTGTCTACATTTCATTCACTGAAGTCAGGACCCAGACACTCCTTGATGAATGGTTCTTTTCATCTGTTTCATGTCTCTCTTTTGGGAACATGTTTATTCCCTTTGACATGTGGTTTGTGACATTCCCACTGTCTTGCGTTCTCTCACCTCCTCAAAATTGTATTGTTATACCCACAGTGTGCTCTAGAAATGTGCCTATTAAATTTCTCCCACCTCTGAGAATTCCTGCTTGGAGGGCTGCTCTCAAATCCGTGGTGACAAAAATAAACCATTTAACTGTGGGATAGCGGCCACCCACATGTTGTCCCCCTACTTCCTCTGAGCAGTTGACGCCTTACTCAGGAAACTTCCTGGCAGATTTTCACACCAATGATGATGTGGTTGGATTTAGTGCAGGTAAAGTCATTATGTAGATGTTACCAATGCATTATCACTTGTCTTTTTTTTTTTCCCTGTTTCTTTTTTTTTCCAGACTACCGTATAACATTGTGGTTTTTTTTTTCTTTTGCCTCATCACTTCCTTGTTCCATTTGGGCAGCCAGAATTTGCATGTTATGTGTCCTTCATTCATTAGGTGACTTTGTCTGAGCCCAGCGTTTTGTCCAGTACCTCAGAGTTTCAGGCTGAACCAGTGGAAGGCCGTAGAGTCAGCAAAGTTGTTAAAACAACTATGGTTCATGGAGAGAGGATGGAGAAACACCTGGGGGATGCTAGGTTAGCCACTGATCTTCCTTCAGCCAAAGATGACTTTGAAGAGGTATAGAAGCTTCATCACTTTGTCTTTGTGTGTGTGTGTGTGTGTGTGTGTGTGAGAGAGAGAGAGAGAGATTGATTCA